AAGGAAGATCCTGGAAGCAAAAGCTGGATTGCAATTATGTTTGAAGGAACATATTTTTCATTGATGAATTGTCAGAGGAATGAAGATGAATCACGAAGACGTGTTAAGTCAAAAGATACTTTCTTGAGCATAAAACAGATCTCATTCTCAGCAATGTAGGTGAAGCGTCTTGAAGCTTTCTAAGGACACAACAGCAGTTTGGCAGCTTCCCCACTGTGGCACCTGGTGTTGCCAAAGGTCTCCCATCACAGTACTAACCAGGCCTTACACCTGCCCTGCTTAGCTTCCAAGATCTGCCAGGTTGAGGCTTTCACATGGAGGTATGGCCACAACAATAAGAGAATACCAAGGCGTACCAGGTTTGAGATAGGAGTATTTAGACATAAGGGACTGAGCCTAAACTCTTTTCGAAGACATAAAACTCAGAGGTCACTCCACGTAAACCTGGTCTTAGGCAAGGCAAGGCACGTTTATTTGTATAGCACAATTCATATACAAGGCAAGTGCTGAAGAAAACTTCATACAAGGCATTAAAGGCATTAGAATCATAAATAAGCACAGAATCTTAAAAAGAGTAAAGAAAAATTGCTCAGTTGTATGCACGGCTAAACAGAACTGTTTTAACCAGGATTTGAACACTGCCAGAGAAGAAGCCTGTCTCACATCTTCAGGAAGTAAGTAAGTAAGTAAGTAAGTAATCTTTATTTATATACCGCCTTTCTTTATTTATATACACCTTTCACAGACCAGAGTCATAAAAAGCGGTTTACAATTGTTATTTATGGGCACTTGTCCTCTCACTCCACACAGAGATGGGAGCGGGGTCGCCGAACAGGAGGCGCATGCCAGACCTATTGTACATATTTTTAGTGGTAGGGGAAACCGGAGTACCCGGAGGAAACCTACGCAGACACGGGGAGAACATGCAAACTCCACTCAGAAAGGCCCTGGTGCGACCAGGATTTGAACTCAGGACCTTCTTGCTGAGAGGCGAGAGTGCTATCCACTCAGCCACCGTGCCGCCCAAGACTGCCCAATGGGCCGCCCAACAGACCTCTGAGGTAGAGCCGTGAGTGTAAAGTGAGGCCTTTCCGCTCTGACAGCGGTCCATGTGAGCTGCAGTGACAGTGACACCCTGGCTGCTCCCTGGAGTATTTTTGTCCCGCCAGGCTCACCCCTCTCACCCACCCCCTTCTTCAGCCTCTGTACAGTCATGGCGCCCCCCTATAAGTGCACACATTCCTAGAGTTGATGCTCACGACAACATTTGGGAGCGTTCGCAGCATCTGACAGCTCCAAACACGGAAGTGACAAGAACATAAAGAAGCTTATCTTTTTTGACCAGGACTTCTGTACACTATCAATGCAACAAGTCCTGTTTAGATATGATAAGAAATACTAGAAACACCATAAACAAAACTAAAACTAAAATTGAATATTTATAAATTATGAAGCCTGCTGTACGATGCTGGTCCTTGAATTATTTACAATGCAAGATAAGGAGTAGATGGATATCAAAGGTCAAAAACAAAGAAAGAAAATAACAGAATAATATAAGTTAACCCACTCAAAAAGAGAAAAAGAAAGACATTAAACCCCATCTCAGAAAGTCAAAGAATCTCAAAGCATGTGTTTAAGAAAAGTACATCACTGATAATGCTTTTCTGAAATGATCGGGAAATGTTTTATTTTTTTTTAAATGTCATTGGCTCACCGAAAAGTCCGAAAAGTCACCCCTTATAACCAGACATTCAGGAAGACGGACGAGTGGTTGACAGAATGAGGCACTTAACTTTCACAAAGTATTATTTATTTATTTCTACTGATCAATTATATTCGATTACTCCATGGGGACGTTCTTGGGCCACTGAAACATTACGCCACAACAACTGCAGCTCCAAGATATGTGGTTTTCGCTTGACTGGGTTTCAGCTCGGTGGACACCTGCCTCACGAAGCCAGATGGACCAGAGCAGCATGCATCAAGTGCTATCAAATTCAAACTTGCCAGAATGTGATAAATATAGTATGCCGACTGAAAATTATACAACATTGTTTTCCATCACAATTGCGTAGTCGATGGGTCATGTTAAAATAATGGGTAACGTTTTATATTAAGACAAAATTAACTCATATTTCATGCATGATAAAAAGAGTTCTTGGTCATCGTGAAACTTGTACAATCATCATTTATGAGTTTTGACTGTTTTGAACCTGGATTTGCTCATGTACTGTGATTATTTATGTCTGTGTGGGATTTTATTGTTTCCCGTCTTTGTTTGTTAAGCACTTTGGGTTGCTTTGTTTATGAACTGTGCTATACAAAAGAAGTTGCCTTGCAGTTAATGAAGGAAATCCATGAATGTGAATTGTGAATGACTTCATAATGAACTAATGGATAACGGACCAACTATAGCATTGATTCATGTCTAGTTATTGTAAAACGTTACCAAATGATGTTTATGATGTGATCAACAACATGGAAGAAATAAATACATATTTGCGTCCTGACCTAAGATACTTCATCTAATAAATACATTTTCAGATAATCAGATAAGTTATGTTGAGATATTGTCTTGTAAAGAGATAGATCACATGTATTTGAGTTAGAAAAAAGGCATTCTCCTAGGACTCACATGTTACTACCACAAACCCATCATTTCTGAAATCAATCAAATGGGAAGAAAATTTATCATCTGCTTGTTGTTATTGGCAGTACATTTGAAAGGATTTGCTCAAGAAGGGGTGAAACTTTAATTGTGAAAATATATTGGCTACTTTTAAGGGCAAGTTGTAAGCCTTTCAAAAAATTAAGATTGCAAGATCCTTTATTCTTCCCACAGTGGGGAAATTTCAGTGTTGCATCACCTCAACTCTATACTAAAGTCTTTACTAAATAAAATAACATAACATTTTTAGCTTTAGCATAATAAGGAAGCAGTGTATAATCTAAATTAAGAAGCAAAATGTCTAATCTAGCATAATAAAGAAGCAAGTATAGACCCTGTATGTGTTTGTCTAATGGCACTCATTTGTTTATGTACTCATTAAAATAACTACAATCAACACACTCGTCTGGTCCACTGTGTTGTTATTGGCTGACCTGTATGTATTAATGGATTTGTTTAATTTTATTATTATTATTATTGATCAACCAGTGGCGAAAGTGTGGTTACACCTGACATGGTACTGTCCTACTTCTACTTCTATTGAAACTATAATTGGAGCCAGCTGTCAAGATCCACCTGACACAGTCAACGTTACGAATGACAACAAATACTCAATAAAATCTCTAAGAAATAACCTTTTTTAAATATGGATGAGAAAAGACAGTTTGGAGACGGGTTGACATAGCTCTTGGGAGACTTACCGTATTTACGTGGCAGTCCATGGAGAAAACAACATAAATCAAGAACTGACCGCGATCTACGGCCAGAGAAAAGGTTTTAATCCCTGCGTTTTGTCCAAAGTGTAGTTCCACCAAGAGTGTCCGCTGTTTGGTTTGTCTCTGTGGAAGTTGAGCGCTCTACTCTGCTCAGAATAAACGCTCTGCTCACTAGACGACGACAACCAGCATGCAAAACTACTACTTCCGCTTTGGTGTGATTTCAAAATAAAAGCGTAAAAGTCCGTTCGACAGGATTTTGCTATTTTCGTTATTTATTTATTTTTATCTAGACCTATATCATTGGAATGACACAGAAAAAGGTTTTATTTTTGCACCAATAAGGCCACAGATTATAAATAAAAATCCAAAAGTACATTTCTTACCATTTTTTTTTTAACAAACAAAAATATACTTGTGCAAAACCTCAGGCTAGAATTTCAGATTTTTTATCTTCTGGGGAGTCCATATGTTTAGTATTTTAGTTAAATACTACGATTCGTAATACACAATAGCGTTTTAGCCATTTTGCAGTGTAATGCTTGTTCGCTATAACATCCTGAACATAACATTTAAAAGGGCAGGTGAGTCTGGCATCGCTCCATAGACAAACTATTATGCCAGGTATAAAATGTACAGAACCAATCAGAGTGTAAGGGCGGGCTTTGTACGGTGATTGGCAGGTAACAGTAACATAGCGGAAACGTCTTATGAAATGTTCTGTAGGCGGGACTAAAGGTCAGCTGGAGCAAGACTAATTATAGTCGCGACCAATAAGTAAAATCATAACGCTAAATATAGGGTCAATATAAAATTTGCAAAATCTATTCTATAATACATGACATGGGCAATGTAATATATATATATACATATTTGTCCAGTTTGGACGGGCATGTCCAAACGCCCAAACTGGTGTCATCCAGTGTTATCCAGCCAACTTCAGCTCTACCATTATCCGTCATGCAAAATCTCTCTCTTTCCCATATCTTGACCAAGAAAATCATATTGGGAAAATATACAAAGGCACACCAAACAACACCTCAAGGCACACTAAGTTGCCACAGCACACTGGTTGACCAACACTGAACTAAAGTGCTAAAAAGAAGATAAGATTTCTGAAATTCTCGTCTGAGTTTATACAAATGCATACTTTTAGTTGAGTTGATGTCGCCACATTCAACTGAAGTTGTTAACGAACTAAATAGGTCCAACTTTAAACGTGCCTATGGTTTGACTTACGCTGGTTGACCTACACTGCCGCCATATGGAATAAAGCGGAGATGCACTCAGTAAACCCAACGTAAAGTACATTTCAATTCAAACCTTCTGCAAAGTGTTCAATGACCGATAGATTCATGGTTATCATTTCAATATGCGTTTGTTTTTAAGACTATACAGGGATAGGTGATTGAATAAAACTCGCGATGGCAGAATACGGTAAAAATATACTGTAAAAATAATAATATTAATACTAGCCTGGTCTTTTATAATATTTAGTTATTGGTTGTGCTGTTTGAAGTATACACACTATTAATGCTCATTGGTTGCAGTCATTTTCCCTTGAGGTACTTGTCATACTTTCCAAATAAAAGTGGTCCAGCTGTGTGCGCGCCTGGATGTGTCACTCCTCCACAGTCTGCGCGCAGAGGAGAGGAGACATGTCTGGGACCACGCTGCTGCCCCTGGTCCTGACCCTGGCTTTGTGGGCCCTAAACGGGGTCCTGGTTCACTCCGTGGAACCAGAAGAGCCCGCGCTGAGCCTCACCGACATGTTCCGAGAGGTGGAGGAGTTAATGGAGGACACACAACACATCCTGGAGGAGGCCGTGGACCAGGTCTGACGCACCATTACGCACGCAGACATCAGCGGTCAGATATGCTCAGGGAGGCAGGGTCAGGGGAGCGGTACTATAGTGTATACTGCACTGTCTGTACCATCATTTTGACCATAAGTAAAAGGCATTTCTGTCTCCACACATGTTTCTATATTCTGGGATTTGATGAGTGATGTTTTATTGTTGTAAATTGGAAAATGTTGCTATGTAAGTGTTCCAAGTTGTTTTTACTGTTTGTGCCACAGATAGCAATAGAAAGTGCTAAGTCCCATCCTCATACTACTGACATGCCTGGTTTGGACAAGACAGCAAAGGTAAATTAGTTTTCTCATGGTTTTTCTCATCTAGACAGGCTGACCTTTCATCCTTGACTATTGTTGTCATTTGTCAACCTTTGCATTTGCATCTTTTCCAGAAATTGAATAATGAGACAAACCCATGGAATAGCCTTCATCATGTGAGTCTGATAAAGAAATACAAATAAACATTAAATTGTGTTTACACATTCAATATGTGGAGCTTTGCATGTTCATTAAAGACAGACCACATTACTTTTTCGGAATGTATGGTAGTGTGATTCAGTGGACATTTTAAAACATAATAATTCATAATACATATTTATCTATTCATATATTTTAACCCAAGGTGATATTTGCAATCCTAATAAATGCGTATGTCTTAGCATACAATGAACAAACGTGAATAATATGATCTCATATGATGGCAGTTACCTCACGCTTTCACTGCCTGAGCTGCAGTATAAGTCCAAAGCAGATTTAGATAATTATTGGAGTACTATAACAGTGGGTTTGATCTTTCCTGGCTGCTCCCCAGAAGTGGTTACATTAATAGAGTGAGCTGCTGGAAGAAAAACCACGGAAACTAGTCATCTTATAGGCCAGATGGGCCTTTCATATGACATATTTTCCTACAGAGGCAAACAGCTATTCAGACGTCTTAATTAGAGGAGAAAAGACATTACTAGATTTGTTTATGTGTGTTTAAAGTACTTAGTGAAGATGGCTTCCGGATAATTGTCAGGTGTCTTGTTGTAGTATAAAATAAACTATATGTTTGTTTTGTCCAATATGTTTTGCCACTGTGAACTAATGGAAACCAGAGAGAGAGAAAGCAATGGGCTCTAAATGTTGTCAACTGGCAGTGCAGAATGTCTGGAATGAAATTGGTGTATTATAGAATGTGCGTAATTTGACCCAAATGATTGTATAAAGCAAAGTCTTCTATCCACACGTACATGTAAAGATTTTTCAAGTCCCAGTTGATGTTTTCTTTACACAAAAAAAAAGGCAAATAAACGTTCAGTAATGGATTCTTACAAACAAAGCTGTTTCCTTCTTATTGTTATTTCATTTTGGCCGTAAACGCCTCGGATAAGATGTTTTGTAATGGTCCATCTGCAGGCCACTTTTGTGTATTTCTATTGTATTGTTTTGGAAACTTTACTCATTCACTTCTTAGTTGCATATTTACTGATGTGGTTTGTGCGTGCCCCACAGGAATGCATGGTGGACGAAGACTGTGGAGAGCTCAGATACTGCCTGTATGAGATAGACAACTCCAAATGCCTGCCCTGCATACTCACTGATATGGTGAGCTAGCTACCCTGGACCAAAGCATTATCACAACAGAGTCTGCTAATCTTTCAATGTGTTTCTATTGATGTCTAATGGGAGTAAAGTGCTCCCACATGGTTCATTTTCCCGTGCAGGCCACTTCCTCTGTGCTTTGTCGGCCTAAGTGGTCACAGAGATTGATCAGACAACAGGAAACTTGACTTTAGTATACATTTCAGCATTTGATCTCACTTCAGTCCGATTTCTGTGTGGACTTTGCATGTTCTCCCAGTGTCTGTGCAGGTTTCCTCCAGGTGCTCCGGTTTCCTCTACCACTAAAAACATGTAAAATAGTAATGAATGTACAGTAATGAATGTACAGTAATGAACGAGTGAATGGATGGCGATGCTCGGAGCGTGGAGAGAATGCAAAATGTCAGTATTCCAAAAACATGGTCAAGTATTTGTGTGACCTCAGTCTTTGATATGCGCTATGTGCAATATCCACATTTTGAACAAACTCTCTGGTCTTGTTTGACGAGCACTGATCACCAAAGTCTTGATGATCCACCTGGAAGTAGAAAAAACTTCTATATACCTTTAAGTCTTGCTTCTTTGTCATGGAGCTTTTAAGACTTCTTTCCTCATTATGCTAAAGATAGAGATTTTATACTGCTTATTTTTATGCTATAGTTAGGGTTAATTTTAGTTATAATTAATTTATCCTGTTCCTACTGTCACTGACATTTTTCTACTGTGGGATGAAAAAATACATCTTAATCTTAAATAAAGATTGTGCACTTATTAAAAGAGAGGACACATTTTAACATTATTATTGTATTATTTATAACTGTTTTCAGCCCTGCATCAAAGACGAGGAGTGCTGCTCTGATGAAATGTGTGTGTGGGGCCAGTGTACTGCACATGCCACAAGTGGAGAAGAGGGGACCATCTGCCAGGACCAAAGAGACTGCAAACCAGATCTGTGCTGTGCTTTTCAGAGAGGTGACACTTTTTAACATCATATTTTTCCGCAATTTGACGTTTTTCTCCATGCCTCATCTAACAGTGCAGTTCAGCCTTGAGCAAGAGTTGGAGAACTTTTGTAGGTTGTAAATCAGTGTTTTTCCACCAGGCCTTGAGGTGTTGTTTTGCGTGCCGTTTAAAATTTTCCAATATCACAGTTCTTGTTAAAGGCCACTCAAAGTGCCCAACCAAATCACACAGGACGTTAAGATCATAAATAGGCCAAATCATTGGTAATTTGAAAACAAAATAATGTGAGAAGATACACACACTTTTTATTGTCCTTGTTTGATTTTCTATATTATACACTATGATGAGAACTACTTTGCATTATTATATCAAATCAAAATGTAACTGTAGTGTAGTGCAACTAATAGACTCTACTCTTTTTATTTGTAATCAAACAATAAAATGTTGATTTGTTATAATATTATTAAAAAATGTGTTGATGTTCTCCTATTATTTCAGGTCAATTCCAATAAATTTCTTTTTTTAAATCACTAAATCACTACAGCAGTAGTCTCGGAGGTCTTTACCAAGTTGTCGATTCACCAACAATAGATCAGAGAATAAAACTAACACATAGGAGCCATTGGTTCATATACGGAGCATGAATGTTAATAAACGTCCATAAATGTCCTCAGACCCTAATATGAGTTTTTATCTCAGCAGTGATACCTCTTTTATTTAGTTTGTTCATTCAAGACTCAAAATACATGACTATTATACTATTATGTATAATTTACACTCCTCTTACATTGTATTGACTTTGCCTCTCAGTAAACATCGCTCAGTTTTTACAGGTTATGTTTACCGAGAGGCAAAGTCAATATAATCGAAGGGGAGTTTGTATGTTGAACAGACCACATGTAAGAACTACTTTAAGAGAACATTGTTTATCCAGTAACGGTGTTAAATTATGGAGCCGTTGCATGTGATGAGCTTAAAGGCGCTACTTCTCTGTTTCAGTTCAAAGAAATCTTCAAGAAAATGGAAATAATAAAATAATTAGATGTTGGGTTTAATAATATGATGTGTCCTGTCATGCGCCTCCATTACTGACGACCCGCTCCAATCTCTGTGTGGAGTGAGAGACAAATGCCCAAAAATAACAACTGTAAACCGCTTTGTGACTCTGGTCTGTGAAAAGCGGTATATAAATAAAGATTACTTACTACTTACTTACGACTTACTGTCCCACAGAGCTGCTGTTTCCAGTGTGTAACCCCAGACCAGAGAGGGGGGAGTCCTGTCTGAACCAGCCCAACCCCCTCATGGACATGCTGGCCTGGGACAGAGAGGGACCCCGCGACCACTGTCCCTGTGCCCACAACATGCAGTGTCGGCCTCAAGGGTAAGAAACACACTTAACAATTTGTGATTAATGAATTATCAATGAATAAATGAATGCTATATGATTCTTTTTTTTTCAGGCGGGGTGCTGTTTGTGGAGACTGAGTTATACAATACGTTTTTTTGTATTTCTGTTTGTGGTTTTAGACAAACTGTTGGGATACAACCCTTACATACTGATGCAACACTTGCACTATTATTTATGCCTTATAAATGTATCATGTAATAAAGTTTTTTTTGTATATACATGTTCCCTCTGCTCTCCTGTTTGCAAATCATTCATCAGTGGTGTTTTAAAGCAATAGACACAAGGGGGCGTACTCTTCCTGTGGTCAATGGGGGAAACTTTGGTTACATTCAAATTCTTCACCTTTTGTTTAATATTTCCAGTCTATGTTACGTATCCATAATTGATCACCCTTCTCAGTTTAAAAAATAAATACATACATTGCATTTAAACATGGTATACTATTTAAATTAAGACCTATATCATATCACTATACATATATTCACTTGATCCTTGTTTCAAGTTTGATACAGCAAAGCAGAAGGAAGTATATGTTGAATTTGGATGCAGCCTTTCTCTCTAAACATGATGTCTACACAACGATTAGTCTATAAAATAACTCTCTACAACAGACTTATACATAGGGAAACCTGGTATAGCTGTCTTTCATAATCCTGTCTGTATCTTTATGAGATATGGACCCGAATGCATGTACCTGGGATAAAAGCATCATCATGACAAATGTAAAAATCTACAGACAAGCAATTAGCCAGCTATGAAAACAGTCACACCTGGTTTTTTGTATTTCCATTTGATACCAGACAACGAATCTTATTGCTAATATGTGTGTATAATATAATGCAGAAAGTGTAGTCACAGACCCTATCCTTCCTATCAGCGCGCAGAGCCGTGCGTGACGTAGGCGGCTCGTCCCCCTCTACTCCCCGCTCTCTGGCTGCACTCTGCGGGCTTCCTGCTGCTGTGTCTCTGCCTTTTTTCCCTTCTCTCGTCCACGCCACACCTCAACCCCGAGTCCTCGAGCCTGGATACAGTGGGAAGTCTCCATATTTCGGGTAGGTTACACTATAATATCTCCATGATGGATACGGTGTGAATAGAGAGATGATCCAACGCGTGCGCAAATGGGGCGCGCATATGGGGCGAGTGCGTAGATGAGATGATACAAGAATACGTGTACAGAAATGTTGCTTAAAAAAAGAAAAAAAAACTATTTCACTACAAAGCAACTAAAGTAGGTCGTGATTGCCTTCCCTAACCCTGCTATTCTCTCATCCGCCCCACAATGAGCGCGCAGGAGGCCATGCAAACTTCTCACTTCACAGTTCTCGAGTTTATGAATATAATATTGTGATCTATGAGATGTGGTGCATAGACCGGACCAGGAAAGCCAGCTGTGGTGTCATCTGCACAGTTTTCCGTCCCTCAAAATGACATGATTCCTGACTAAACGTGTCCAAACGTGACATAGGTTCTACAGGTGAGCATGCATTAACTTAGTAGCAGGCCTATCTCTACTGAAGCAACAGTCACTGGATTTTTAATTGACTCTTGAGCCTTTGCTGTAATCACATTAAAAGCTGTCAAGTCAATAATTGTAGTTTGAATGGTGTCCCGCTGTGCAAATGGCTGCTGACTATACACTGTGGTAATGATAGGAGGCAGCTGCTGTAATGACAAGCACAAGATCTGTTGCATTTGCTTTGGCTCGGGTTGTTCTCTAGTTTCAGTGTCTAGTCTCCACACTATTCTTATTTCTAATGATTGTAGCGCCAATACAAACCGTTTGATTCCTATCATGATAAATAACATTCCTGTTTAGAGCTTGTCATCAGCTTGAGTCAGTTAATCCTGTTGTAAGGCAGGTTTGGTAATAAAGAGGAGGAGATATCTTTTTGTAAATGGCAACCTGTATTGTGTTCTTAACTGTTCATATTTTTACGATAATGCCTTAGTTAATAGATTTATGTTGTTGAAATAGGTGTAAATTGGGCTCATTCCACACATGACACTGGTGGCTCATGGGACAGAGTCTAAACTGGTCCGTTTTGCCTGGTGGTGTGCAGGGCCTCATGACATTCCTCATGCCTGGTGAATGTCCCAGTTTGCAGGTTGGGACATGGCATGCATGCGTTACATCATGAATAACTGTACCAATGTGAAATGAATGAACTAATGTACTGTATGTCTCAAAACAACAACATCAACCGCCACTACACAGCACACAGCAATTTGGCCACAACCGAGTCTTGTGAAATGCTACTGTTCCACTGACAGGATTGTGTGCCCTCTGATCTTTGAGGCCAGGGTGAACTTAGCAAAGTTAGAAAAAGCTAATGCATCTGACCATTCATTCTAATGCTCTTGAAGATATGGTGTGGTATTTTGCAACGTATTAAACATGATCTTATTGAGGATTTAGGTCTAATTAAAAGTCTTTGAAACTTGAATGTTGCATTGATTTGATCCTTTTAGCCTCAGATACTGTGGCCTCTGTAAGGATTAGTGAGTGCATTAATAATGTATAATAAATACAGCAGATCAACTTGCTCGTCTGACTGTACACTTGCTTAGGCTAAAAGGTCTCTTCTTTTAGGTTGATTTTTAAGACAGTCAACACAGACGGGGACAGTTTTGTTGTATTGCTTTATTGGCGACAAATGTCAAAAATATGTATTGCAAAAGTGGGGTTTCAACTGAATATTTTGTGGGATATTGAGTTGAAGCACCTTAGGGAAAACATCTGTATGTGAGAGAGGATCTGTATGGATGGATATAGATATAGATATAGGGAGAGAAATGTCTTGTGGTCTAAAGTGGAGCTCTTTGGCCATGGCTTGTTCGGGGCTGATTTGTTCCAGGAAGAAATTAACAAGTACTGGTCCTCTCAAACAGTTTACAAAGTCGGTGTTTGGGAGTGGCCATCGCTAAGCTCTGATCTCAATCCCATTGAAAATGTGTGGGCAGATCTCAAAAGGGCGTGCGAGAGGTGGCCTACAAAGCACAGGACTCAGTTACCGTGCAACTGTCCGTGTAATGGGCCAGAATTCAAGCCAAGTCTTGTGAGTGGATGGATCCTGTTTTACTCAGACACAAACAGTTGTGTTGGCAAAATTCTTAAAAGTGTTTCTCTAAATTGTGTGATATTGATCAAAAAAGTGATCAAAGATTATTATTTTTTAACTTTAGACAGAAATACAGTTCTGTTTTCCATTGTTGTTGGTTAGTTTTGTCTATTCTGCACATGGGTGGATTTTTTTCTCGTGGATCTCAGAAATGGGGCAAGGAACAAATGATTAGAATTTGAGATGATATGGAACCCGGCCTATTTATACCCAGTGGGCGACAGTAGCTCAGTTGGTAGAGCATTGGCCTTTGGGCCTGAAGGTCGTGGGTTCGAGCCCACCGTAAGACCTACTTCACGACTCCCACTGATGACTGCTGTCGTTGTGTCCTTGGGCAAGACACTTAACCCTACTTTGCCCAAAGCCCCAACTGAAAGATCTCAGCTCCTGTGGACTCAGCACCTGCAGGAGGATCAGTGAGGGGCTGGTGCTATGTGGACTGGGTGCAGCTCTGACTGCCACCCCCCGACCCAGAAATGGATTAAGGGGAAGAAAATGGATGGATGGATGGATGCACTGTGCCTCTTGGTGGAAGTCTGCACTCTACAAATAGTACATACAGTGATATGAATATTAAAGTGTGTTGCGGCTCACACATAATTGTAGAGGCTTTGTTTTGTTTTGCTTTGTGGAAACTCATGATCGTGATAGGAGTCCGTTGGAGGATATCTGAGCCACACTATGACCAGTGAAAGTGAGTGTCTCAGTGTTGGCAGAGCAGAGGCCCACAGCCACTGGAAACTACAGCCTCATTCATTCAGACGCTGAGACTCACTGGGATGAGTCATGCGCCCTTTTACGTTGGACTCCTGACTTCATTAATTAGATCAGTGCGATATTCGATATGAGGGTTTAGTATTGCGATATTTTTGTCTTTCATCTAAAATGGCAATCTGCAAATAAAAAAAAATAAATAAAAAAAAATAACAAATAATAAGCACAACTAAACAAAATTAGGATTATAAATGAGTCATTCATGCAAATAATGCACACTGCTGAAAGGAGAAGGCAGGGACTGGTTTGGACAAACTTCTACTTGTTGGTACTACAAACAAACTACTTGTCTCTACACTGCGAGTAGTCTTTGGTTGTTTTTTGTTGTATATGAGATTGCATTAGATTTGTCAGCATTAGCCAGTGCCGGTTAGTGGATTACTCCAGTGATTCCCAACCTGGCATCTGTCTGAGCAAACCGGGAAAGACAGGGAGCACTGGATCAGTGGTGCATGCACAGGACGTGTCTGTCAACCTAGAGACAACCCAATATTCGAGAATGCACTAACCTGGACCCTAAATGTGAAGTTGAACAAAATGACTTCAAAGTCTGAAGCAGTGAACCAGTAATCTAAAGTGGAGTAACTGGTTTTGTTCATACTGCTTTCGGCCTATGCAAAGAAAACATAGGGGAGGGCAGATGCAAGCAGCACTGTGGCGTCCCATTGGAATTCAGAGGACAGGTTTTTGTTACGTGGGTTTAGAACAGGGGTGTCAACCTGCAGCCACTCGGGAACAAGTTTTTCATCCCAATCCAGCAGTAAACACAATCCTGGTTTAGTCCAAAATGTAAAATAATGGTCCACTGTCAAATGATCTACTGTGTTGTGCTTTATAAACAAAGACACCATTTTTATAAAAAAAAGGCACAATTTTCTGATAGTGCCTTTTTTGGACACTCAATGACGCTTCACATTTATTCACTCCATACATGGTGGTGATAAACTACTGCTTATCACCACATAGCCACAGCTGTCCTGGGGCACGCTGACAGAAGCAAGGCAACCAGTTATTCTAGGCAATTTAGGCACAAGGATATTTTGGTACAGCCACAGCCCCCCCACTCTGGCACCAGGTGTTCCCAAAGGTCTCCCATCACAGTACTAACCAGGCCCTGCTTAGCTTAGCTTCAGAGGTTAGACAGGATTATCAGACCTGAAATATTGTATACAAAGTAACAGATAACTGTGAATGTGTCTTGAAAGTATCTTTTAATGAGTTATTTTAAAAGTTGTCCAGCCACTTAGATTTTTTTATTTTTTATTATGATACAGTGATGCTATTAACTCACTATTACTAGTTATTTATTAGACAAAAAGTATTTATAATTGAACTTCCTCAACATCAAACAGATCGGCTGTTCGGTTTAGTCTAGAATTTAGTTAATGTTTGTAGAATTATCTGTAAATAGCCTTGTTATCGGCCTCGGAGTGTCTGATCAGTGCACTGACTGATAAGAACTGCTCTGATAACTCTCCTGTGGTCAGTGCATGTGGGCCCTGTCAGTGATGGGAAAGGAGTAAACTCATAAATAACCACACATTTCTTTAAGAGCTGCAATTATTAATCCATTCATTGCCATAGTTATTTCAATAATCAATACATTATGTAGGAATTGATTGTTGACTGTTAATTTATAAACTGGGCTGTGGGGTGTGATTTTAATGAGTGCAAGTGTATGAATGCAATGGAAGGAAAGACGTTTGCAATAGAGAAGTGTGTGTGCGCAATAGAGGGTTGTGTGCAACGGGTTTTGTTTTTGAAAATAAATGGCTCTACACTGATTCTGTGTGTGAGTGAATTTCTGCTGTTGATGGTTGCTGTAAATTTATATAATCCCCTGTGACCCCGCCCCCCTGGGACTACAGATGAAAATTGGCCATGTGCTACAATCTGGCGTATCAACGATATGTTCAGCCATATGACATGTCCCAGTCAAATAAATTAATACAAAAGTAAAGGCACAAACAGAGCTGAATTACTTACACATTTGAAAAGAACGGCTACAATCCCTCAGTTAGATAGAACTCTTCACACTATACAACAGCTTTAATCTGGAAACTCTGTAAATATGTTTGTAATCAATTTAATCAGATGCGATGATGTTCATATTAGTGTCTGGTTTAGCCCCGCTGGTTTCGTTTCGTTACTGTGGACTTGATCATAATTCATCCTCCTATTGCCCTCACCTGGATCCTGCATGAGTTCTTGTGGCCTGAACTTATCACTGTAGTGCACACAAGCCACAGTTTTGGCTTGAAATAAAGTTAACTGTCAGGTTATGCTAGCGGTTATATGATGTTATTGGAGTACACATATGGTGCATGTGAACCGTGGTGTAAAAAAGCATGCAAAACAGCGAGGGACCATTGTAACAGAACTTTGTCCGGCAACAAATATAATTGCCGGGCTCTGGTCTGGTGTGTTTTTCTTGTGACTTCTCTTAGGCACTTTTTAATTGTAATATTTTGTGTTCTCCAGGTGTGGTGCGGTGCAGAGGGAAACAGGACTGACGCACCATGGTGAACATCCCGGAATATTATGCAGGGAAAAATGTTCTCATCACGGGGGCCACTGGATTCATGGGGAAGGTAAAAGGCCATTTCAAATAACCAGTGTTTCACAGAGGACCATCCTCTGGCTCTCGTCCTCCAGAGGAAGTCTGTCAAGTCATGGACTGTAATGTCACTAATATTATTCAGGCAATATGTTAGTTTTGTTTAAATTCTTTTTTTTTCAAACCTGCACAATACTTATTTTTAAATACATGTATATCAATATAACAAATTAATAAAACTTGTACCTGGTTTGAAAAGTTACGGCTATGTCTAGAATAACTCTTAAGCAGCATCATGTTCAGAATGCCTTTCATGCAATACTTTTTTGTAGTATTAAAATGATGTAATCTTTTTTCCCTCTAGGTTCTTTTGGAAAAGCTTCTACGCTCATGCCCAGACGTCCGATTGGCTTATGTCATGGTCCGGTCCAAGGCAGGCCAGTCTCCTCAGGCTCGTATTGTAGAGATGATCAGCAGCAAGGTAAAGCAATGGAGTAAATCCGTAGTTCTCACCCGCAGCGTGTCAGGACCCAAATAAGACCTGAGTGTAGGTCTAAAACAAATGTTAAATACTGAATATTTTTAACAAATGATGGTGTTATGAGCATTGAATACCACTGAAAATCCAAAAAAAATTAAATAATTACTACAAGACTCTGGAATAAAGAAAAAATAACAATTGTAAACCACTTTGTGACTTTGGTCTGTGAAAGGCAGTATATAAATAAAGATTACTTACTTACTTAAAGGAAATGGATGCAGATAATTCTTAAAAAATGTGGGCCTTTTTTGTTTGTTCTTAATTTAAGTATAAAAAATTGGGTTATATTAGAAGAATATTACCCACTTTTTGTTACTATTGTTTCTACATTTGTAGCATATCTTGTACTGTGTGCTCCTCATTCTTGCTGTTCTGGAACTTGTTGTTCTGGAACAAGATTAAGAGATCCTTTATTTGTGGGACAAATAAAGGATCTCTTAATCTTGTTGCAGTCCAGTAAGGCATATTTTAGACATTGCCCAGGAAATTGGCTCGTGACCAGCTAGAAATGAGTCATTTGATTTTGCCAGTTGAGAACACTGCAGTAGATCAGACTGTGCCTTGTACGGTTTCATGATGGAGATCGGCAGCATCGAGGATAATAAATGTTGTCATTATCTGGCGTCTGTGCAGTTGTTTGAGAAGCTGCAGATTGAGCAGCCCGACTTTGCACAGAAGATAGTTCCTGTGGAGAGTGACCTGACGCAGCCGGAGATGGGTCTGAGTCAGGACGACCAGAGAACACTGGCTGAAAACATTCACATCGTCTTCCACTGTGCGGCCACCATTCGCTTCAACGAGCCGCTCAAGTGAGTTAAGGTTACGCTGCGTTTATTCACCAATGCAGTTCAAGAGGGATTACAATCAATGTGTGCACTCACTCACGTCTACGCAGGAGCTCTGTGTCTGCAGACTTTTAAAGTAATTGCACGGCTGAAATCTTGGCATCATAAAAGTATTGAGTATGTATAGGGTTCAGACGGATTATAGATAAAAATTAATAAGAACCTTTTACCTTGAAACTTCCTTTTTCAAGGTTTAGTTAAAGCTGGGTTACTAAACTTTCAAACCACAAAAGATCCATATAACTTCTCTTAAAATGATCTTTTAATGATAATATTTCATTATAATAATATGTTGCGTGTCTGGTGCTATGAGCATTGGGTGGCAGCTCCCATTGCACCCCCCACCCAGAAAGGGATTATAAAGGGGTAGAAAATGAATGAATAGTCTTCACATGTTTTTTGTTTGTCATTTGTCATTTTGGCTTTGTCGCATCTTTAGATTCGCTTTTTCAGACAGTTAAGTTAAAATTTGTCTTTCCACCTGTTGGCACTACAGATGGAAAGAAGCCTGGTGATAAATCTGGTGCAGCCATCGTTTTAATGTAACTGCACATTGTCCTTAATAAATTAAACGCTACCTCCATAAGATTAGACCACTCTCATTCAGCCAATCAGCTCTGACCAATAGTGACTCATGGGGCTCCTTCTTAGACGTATGCGAAAGATAATGTTTTATGATTAAAGACTGTGCGTTTGGTCTGATTTACTAAACTTTTGTTATACAAAACTTTGCTTTTACAAAACTGTTCTTTTAGAGCAAGCTGGATGTATTATGTACTGTAAATAATGTGTAAAATAAAGTTAAGTACCCCAGCTTTAACATAACAATTTTAATTTGCCATTTTTTTACTTTTATCATTCAGATTCAGTTTTTGCCATTTGCAGTAAAAAAAACACATTGGAATACATTAGCAAAAAGTCTCCAGTGTGCACAGACAAATACAGACATAACACAACATTAAAAGACAGAAATAAAACAAATAAAACAGAAAACAAGTGTCACTGTGAAATCGATCGGCTAAAACAGTTTCAAGACAAGTGCAAATCATTAAAAATGGACATCAGCTCTGTTCAAACTGATGCCCGAGGAATACAACTTCTTGACACAATTTAAAAACGGGGTAATCTGTTTTGGGAAATAAACTCTTCATTTTTTTTTGCTTGGCCTCATTGTTGACAAGTATGACACAGACCTTCTTCTATTGTTGCAGAGATGCCATGCAGCTGAATGTCCTGGCCACTCAGAAAATGCTGGCACTGGGTCGCAAAATGAAGCAGCTGGAGATCTTCCTGCACGTGTCGACTGCGTACGCCAACTGTGACCGAGAGCTCATAGAGGAAGTCATCTACCCTCCCCCCGTGGACTATCGCAAGCTCATCGACACGCTGGAGTGAGTGCCAGTCGATTAAACTTAACTAAAAGCACCCAGGAATAGTGTTAAGATTAAGAACAGATGTCATTTTGGCCCCGCTCTGAAATCTCCCTGGACCACTGCTTCAAGTTTTAGCAGAGCACTAGCGCATTCGACTAGGGAAGTTTATATATTGCACAACTCAAAGTGCTACACAAAACCAAAAAAACACAGAAATAATCAGATATAATATAGATATAGATATAATCCTTGTTGTATGCACAGCTACACACAGGTTAGAGAAACTTTATTGATCTCACAATGGAGAAATGTACACACATTTGGCATAGATAGAATCACTCAGATTGTGCAAAAAAGACAAGTGCGCAATATGTCAAGGTTGAAATAGAAGCCTATCTCACGTTTTCAGGAAGACTGCGGTAGATTTCAGTTGCATGAATCTGAAATGCTGCCTCCCCATGTTTAGTGCTGACCGCTCCTCAGGGTCCCAAGCAGGAGGCCAGTCCCTGTGCTCCTCCGAGTCCGAGTTGGTTCATAATATGTACTTTGGTGCGTCATTTTGTTAATGGCCCAGTTTTTTATTGTGAAAATTCTATAACTTTGCTGTAACTCTTGGAATTTTAGAGTTGGTTCACAATGGCTTAAGATTGTCAATTTGTCATTAATCATAAAAGATGACTAAGGTATTGTGCTTCTAACTCTATACAAGCAAGCTTTTATATTTAATGACTCATGCCAACTCTAACAAGGAACACTAAAGTCCAGTAGAAAATGTCACATGTCACTTGAATAAACACAAGTCTTTCTGTGTTGTAAGAGTTCTTAGCGTTTAGCAGCTATTTTTTGTTAAAGCATTCTGTAACCCAGAGGTGTTCAAACCGGTCCAGAAAGGGCCGCTGTGGCTGCAGGTTTTCAATCCGAGCTAGCAGGAGCAGAGCAGTCTCCATGGATTTCCTCAAATCTTCAGGTTAAGACTGAACTCACTTTAAGAGGTGGAGTCTTCTCTGCTCCTCCTGGGTCTAATAAAAAACCTGCAGCCACATCGCCCCTTTCTGCACTGGTTTGGACACCTCTAGGGTACATAATGCAAAAATAAAACAGACTTTTAAAACAGAAAGATGCGCGTTTTCTTGGCCGGATTGGACACCTCAGAAATTAACCTCAATCAGTCATCTTTTGCCTGCCATTTATGACGTATTCATAAATGTCTTGGTTTATTTTGTCGTCCTTTCAGTTGGATGGATGATGATATGGTGGCGGTAATGACCCCAAAGCTGATCAGGGATCGCCCCAACACCTACACCTTCACCAAAGCCCTGGCTGAGTACATGGTGCAGCAGGAAGCCGGAGACGTCAACGTGGCCATTGTCAGACCCTCTATTGTCGGTGCCAGCTGGAAGGAGCCATTCCCCGTGAGCAGAAATTATCTTTCACACAAAGCACAAAGACCATATTGCAGGGTCCTAGCAAACTAATTGAAGGTCTGCTAGCCTTGTCACATTAAGTCAGTTCGCGTTTTCATACTGCACAACCGGTATTTAAACCTGGAACTAAATTTACTGTGAACACGAGACTCTGCTTGTGAAAGCGGTGGTTTGGATCCTAAATCGGTGTTCCGTAAACCCTTTGAACTATGGCACATCTTTTTCATTGAGAAAAATCACATGGCATACCCCCACCTGAAACAAAAATGCTACTCTAGCTTTTATCAACAATAGTCCTTCTCATCAAAGTGGATTGAATAGTAAAAATATAAAATTCTCCAACAACAAGGGACTTTCATTCATTCATGCGTTTTTCTTTCATCCCCTTAATCCATTTCTGGCTATGGGGTGTGGCAATCAGAGCTGCCACCTAATTTTCATTGCACCAGCCATTTCTTTTGACCAATTTCATCATTTCAAAAGGCACACCCAGCAACAACTTGAGGCCCCCTAATGGGCCGTGGCACACTGGAACCAGCGGGAATCCCATTGGAGAATACACTACAGTCAATTTGTCATCCACGTGATGCAATTATAGACCCTTTTTCATGTTGTCCTTGTAAGAAGTATGTTAGAAAAAGGATGGAGCAGTGTGTGCAAAAGCCCAAACTCTGACAATAAGCCTTTTACACAGCTCCACGTTTTGTTACGCCGTTAATTCCTGCTTCGATTGGCCTGCTCTCTGAGCAGGTCCGGTAAAACGTGTAGGGTAGAATCTGCGTCAATTGCCGAGTCGTCCTGACACACCCGCCTCAAAAGAACTTTAGTCTCCATCTTGTCATTCGTCACTTTTTTTATTTTAGACTGATTACTCACTGTTTTTTATTGTTGGAATGTAAGCGGAATTGTATAAATTATAAAATGAATGTATCTATGTGTGTAATCACTGAGATTCCTGTTTCCATAGGGTTGGATAGATAATTTCAATGGGCCCAGTGGAATTTTTATAGCTGTAAGTTTAATCTTTTCTTTACCTGAATATACAGTCTTCATCCAATCTGTTATAGTGTAAATAAATGTGTGTCCTTCAGGCCGGGAAGGGAATCTTGCGGACGATGAGGGCCTCTAATGACGCCGTGGCCGACCTGGTGCCCGTGGACGTGGTCATCAACACCACTCTGTCTGCAGCCTGGTTCTCGGGCTCACAGCGGCATCACAGGTCAGCAGCAATCACTGTTGGACTCTTGTTAAATCTGATGTTAAAACTTGAATCGAGATCCAAATAATCACATAATTTAAACCTTTTTTTTAATGGTTCAGACCCAAAAACATACCAGTGTACAACTGCACAACTGGTGGCATCAACCCGTTCCACTGGGGTGAAGTTGGTATGTGATTTCTAATGTTATTCAATGTTAAGTTAAAATCTAAGTTTAGTCAGTCACTTCACACACTTTTTACTGTACATATTTGTAAATAGTCACCTTCTAAATCCACATGGTTTGGCGAGGTGAACATATAAATCAATCTAATATTGTTATTTTAATTGCATGCCTTTTGTAGAATGTAATGGCATATTTATAATAACATTATTTGGAAGACTAGCCTCTTTAAATTCTGACTTGAATGTTTGAAAACCTTGTCTCTCTTAGAATACCATGTTATATCCACATTCAAGAGGAACCCCCTTGAGCAGGCTTTTCGCCGGCCCAATGTAAATCTCACGTCCTATCACCTGATCAATCAGTACTGGATTGCTGTGAGCCACAAGGCCCCAGCGTTCATGTATGATCTGTACTTAAGGATGATTGGTCGAGAGCCCAGGTAATCCGCGCCCAAGATCCCATGCCTCTCCGCCTTTTACGCCAACGCTTCTGTCTCTCACCTCTCAGCTGCTTTTTATTTTATTTTTTGAATGTAGATGTTTCATAAATACTGTGCTAATATACATTTTCTAGTTTTTTTAATTTATTATTATTTTAGATTTGTTTTATGTCTGATCCCCATACTTGGCCTCCGGAGCAGGTATGGGACGTTTTTAAGTTGTCGACAGTTCAGCTCATATAAAAGTGTAAGTATAGTTGTGATACAGGGGAAGTGATGGGGTTCGGATGGTTGATGGACCTCAGTTGTGATGGTTCTAGTCCTAGACCTGTTCTTGACCAGTTGCCGTGTGTATCTCAGTTGCCATATGTATCTTTCCCTACAGAGTATTGTATAAACATGACATTCAAGACCAACCCATTAGAGCAGGCTTTCAGAAGGCCCAATGTTAACCTGCGCTCCAACCCCTATACTAATCAGTACTGGACCGCGGTCAGCCACACGCTGCCGGCCCTGCTTTATGATGGCTACTTGAAGCTAACGGGTCAAAAGCCCCGGTAAGGCCTCAGCAGTCTTGCCTGTATCCCTGACCCTCTCACCTTCACCCACAGCTCTTTGTTCTGAGTCTGATCTGTGCCGAGCCTTAAAAATTGCACTGCTTCCAGCTTTGGCATAAAAAAATCTCACCTACTGTATAACTCATATTTTTCAGTAGTATTAATGTGGCATCAAGTTATTTTACTGCATAAATGAGGTCTAGGACATGGTGCACTACCATTTTGAGAATGTAAAATGGGAGGAGTCTTGCTGCCTGTGCATGCGAATGAGAGGAATGGCATGTTTTATTTACTTATACTGTATATACACAGTCCAACCTATTTTGATTGCAATCTTTGGGCCTGCATGTCCCGGTGTGTGTGTGTGTGTGTGTGTGTGTGTGTGTGTATATATATATATATATATATATATATAATACAACTAAAAATGTAGTTGTAAGTAGTAACAGTAATGTAATGTTATGAATCAATCAATAATAAACGACGTTATGAGATTATCAGGACGATGCCATTATGTCTAGTGCCTTACCATTCTGAGCATATCCACCAAAATGTATTCTACAGTTAGCACATTGTCACTGGTAGAGGATACAAACCAAAAACAAACTTATTTATTGACTTTTTAGTGTATATTTGTACGATAGTGCGTTTGCCAATCTGATGCATAAAACCTGCTAAAGCTGCTGGTCAGTAAAGAGCTGGAAAGTCGACGGTCTCAGAACAAATTGTATGCGGTGTACTTCCTGTGTTATGCCGTCCCTGTCACATGTCGTCAGCATTGCCGTGTGTGGAAATGCTGTGATGTGGCGTTTTTGTCATTCTCCACCAATCACTGGAAAGGGCCATACTTCATACAAGTGTGGGCTCATCAAAAGAAGTGTGTGAGATTCTGGCAAATACCTGGCAAACGGGTATTTCTCCCTTTTTTTCCCTATATGATCAAACTCCGGGCAAAAGTAACTCATGGTTTTATTGTTTTAACGGTTGGTTGGTGATGTGGTTTGATTTTTAATTTGAACAATCATGAGCTGTGTTATTTCATATTGAGCGTTTTTAAGGCTGATTTTCAACACTTTTATATTGGAGACGTTTTCTGAACCTGTTTGAAGTATTTAATTGAACTGTCGAAAAACTATTGTGTGTTTACCATCTGGTTCTAAACAGAGTAAATATGATCTCGCTTGAGGATTCAGAAAACGTCTGCCTCTCACTCACATGCTCCAGTTCTCCATCTTGAACCACTTGACTAATGTCTGTTGAATATTTTTCCTCTGTACACTTTTGTGTGTTGTCTTGTGCATTAGCCAAAATTCTGTTGTTTGTTTTAAGATATCATGAGACTTTTTACTTTTATTATTTTGGCATCAATGGCATTTTTGTTAATGCACTCCTACTCATGATTTCTTTTAGTGATTTAGCCAGAAACCTAATGTTCCCTGGAGTCCTGCAAAAAAAGAATTGCATTGACTTTTCCTCAGTGAATTTATATAATGCAAACTGATGTTAACGTAAACATACATTAGATTTAATTTCTTATAAACATGTATGAAACTACTAGATCTCCCAGAGCTGTCATTTTGACTGCTCCCATTCAAACCAATTAGGAATTAACCTAAACTCACTTTAACTAAGCTAAGACTGGTATAACTTGAAATATAGCCAAAACAGTTTGTCGAAAAGCTACCAAATGCTAACTGCTGGCAAGTAATCGGTGTGTTGCAATGGTAACTATGGTAACTGCTCATGTTTCAAAAAGAAAAGATAAATTCATAAGAATAATGGCGTAGAAATAAACTACACTTAGAAGCAGAAAAAGTCAGTTATGAAGACCAAACGAGTACATACACCGAGGAATTACTCTTCCAAAACTAAAAACAAATTGACTGCCTTCTAGTGTTAAAGCTACTTCTCCAGAGTGCAGTGGGTCTGGTCTGTGTTGTGGCGCCACTGCCCTCGTCATGTCTAACCTTGTTCATGTTCCCTGACCGTACCCTGTGTCAGGATGATGAAGACCATCAGTCGGCTGCACAAAGCCATGATGGTACTCGAGTACTTCACCAGCCACTCGTGGGTGTGGAACACTGACAACATGACCACGCTGATGAGCCACATGAGCCCAGAGGATAAGAAGGTAACTCCTCCGCCATTGTTTAGCTTTCAAGTCTGACTGTGCCAAAGGGCTTTCTATCGTCTAAGTGCACCTTCTACTGCACACATCAAACAAACTCATACTTAATAATGAGAAAAGGGAAGACCCGAGGCACTTTTTTATGTTATTCTTATTACTTATATTTGTATACATTTATTTTATTGTCGATTGTCTTAGATAGCACACATCAAACAGGATCTATTATTTGAAATGTCTCCACTGTGGGACAAACAAAGGATTATCTTTTTAAATAAATATCCTTTAACAGGGACAAGCCTATGTGTGTAAGCCACGTTGCGCCTTCTTCAAGAGATCACGGGGGCAGCGCAAGAACAATCATAATTACATTTAAACCTCCAACATCCATCTATCTTAAACTTTTCATACTTTTCAAGGTTTACCTTCCTAATCTGGTATGCAAAAAATGAAAGAGTGGTTTTACAAGACTGGTGGAGTTTCAAAACGGGTCCTTGTGCAATAGTGCTACCTGGAAACGCTCATGGCAGGTTAACCCTTTAGGTGCCAAAGTTATTATTAGTCATCTCTGTTTTTAAGTTCCCGGGATCTTGCAGGCTTTCACATAACATTTCAGTAAAAATGTTTAGACACCTTTTTGGAGTTTAGCTTTGCACAGGCATTTAGTCACAACCTCCTTCAAAGTAAGTATCTCCCCAGGGCTCAGTACTAATTACATAGAGGCGTGGTACTTATCAAATTGTCTGTAAATATCATGCTCTTTTTGTTTAGTTACTAAAGTACAGATTGTTCGAATAGCGCATTTATTAGACACACTTTTTGGCCAAATCGCTGCAAAAAAAGACTGACAAGCTGATTTATTATATTTTGATTTCTCCAGATGTTCAACTTTGACGTGCGGCAACTTCACTGGGCAGAGTACATGGAAAGCTACTGCATGGGAACCAAAAAGTACGTCCTGAATGAGGAGCTGTCGGGGCTGCCAGCTGCACGCAAACACCTCAACAAGTAAGTGCGTGTGTGTGTGCGTGTGTGTGTGCTGGAGAATACATTATCTACATGGTGCATTATAGCTTTATCTTTCCATTAACCTCTTATGTTTTAAATGGACAGTCAATCTGCTGCATGTGGAATAATCCTCGCCTTTAACAAATGTCATGTAAATGTCTTCCATTGTAACAGAATGTATGTAAAGCATTATACCAGTTTGCACTCAATCTGATAAACCCGGTGGGCTGATCTTTCTTTGATTTAATATTAAGAGAGATGATATGAAAAAGCAACTTCGGAACCTGCTGAATTGATTTCTCACACTTTTAAAGCACATTTAATGTAATATAATGTTATCAATGTATGCACTAGCAATTGCAGCTTAGCATAGTCCCACATATACGTGGTCCCTCGTTTATCGCTGGGTTTACGTTCTAAAAATAACCCACCATAAGCGAAATCCACGAAGAAGCTGCTATGTTTTAAGGCCGTATAAACCCCTCTCCACACACTATAAACAGTAGACTTTTCTAACCACCTGAACTCACGACTGCTGAAGTGTGATCGGGGAGATATCACAGTTGTTTGTTGTAGGTCTGAGCGCTGCTACAGTTGTCAAAAACCGTGCATACACAGTAAAATACAGCTGCAGAGGACACCCACCGTGTTGAGGTGCAGGAGCAGGACTGAGGGCTATGGGGAGACCTCAGTAGTCACAAAAATGTTCTTCTAATTTTGGATAAAAGCATCTCATGTTATGCTAGCAGTTATATGATGTTGTTGGAGTATATACACATTAGAAGTGTGCTGTAAAAAAAAAAAGCACATATCAGAGAGACAGAGTCCGCAAAAGGTTCTAGTGAAGGGACCACTGTATATTTATCTGTGTTGTAGATATGATCCAAAACTAGAGTTGTTGGATGCTAAACTGTATTTCATTGCATTGTTCTGACTTTGTAATGACAATACAGCTGAATATGATCCAATCTAACGCCGTTCCCTCATCAGACACTGACCTGGAGTTTTTAGATCCATTCTTGTTAATATCAGGAACTATTTGACAAATTCCCAAAACAGGGATGTCTGTTTCTTTGACAACAAACTCTTCACTTCTATCGTTTTTTTGTTTTGTTTTCCAGATTGCGAAACATCCGCTACACCTTCAACACGGTGCTGGTCGTCTTCATCTGGCGCATTTTCATCGCCCGTTCGCAAATGGCGCGAAACATTTGGTACTTTGTGGTCAGCATGTGCTTCAAGTTCCTGTCCTACTTCCGGGCTTCCTCCACCATGAGATAATGAGCAGAAGAACGAAAAGTGCAAAAAAAACCCAGCTTCTTCTTTTTTCTTTTCTTTTTTTTTCCAATTTTTAAGTCGCTAAAACACGGCCCACAGATTTGCCGAAAGAAGGAACAAGGCTGCAGAGAATGTCGCAAGTGGAGAGGCGGCGATAAAGTCTATCAGACATGAAGCGAGGCCTGGAATGAACCCTGGACTAGATTGCTCAAGACCACCTCAAGTGCTTTGCCTGTATCCCATTATTCTTCAAATTTTACATTTTGATTTGATTCAAGTTACTTTTGTATTGCCCTAAAACACAACAGCAGTCGCCTCATAGGACTTTACAAAATTTGCCAACAACATAAGAGAGAATGAAACAGGTTGTTAAAAGTCCCTGAATGTCCCTGAATGTCCCAGATCATCAGTGTCTGTAGACTTTCCTGCATAGGCAACAAAAAAAATGAAAGACTCCATTACCCAGTGGGATTTTGATCCAGGTTTTGCTGATCTCACACAGAACATCGAAAGACGCACAAATCCAATGCATCAGCTTGTTTGTGGTATTCATTTTTGAATACCTTCGGCAGGATTATAAATTATAAGATCAATAAAGGCAAATTTACATGATAATTTCTGTTAGAAGCAACTTGACGGGCTGCAATGGCTTTAGAATATTTTGATACAATATTAATTAGTATTTTTCTTTTGTTTCGAGGTATTTTTGAGTGGGTAAATTCCTTTTTATTTCGTTTTTTTTTTTGCTCACATTTGCCAGAACCGATGCAATCATAACTTTCAAAATGGCTTACCTTCATTGTGCTACCTCATGGCTCAAAAGAGGATGGATAGGTTCAAGTTTGAGTGGATTAAGATTCACTCTGGATTGGAAATATAGTTTGAGTTAAATGCAGCACATCCTGTTTCGCTGTTGTAGTTCACTTTTTTGTTCAGGTCAAAGTTTATATTGATTCATGCGTAGGTAAAGACCTTCTGTTTTTCTGTCTAAGCATTCCACTTCATTTACAGCTTCTGCCGTAACTATTTCAGCTCCAAAAATTCAACAGTTTCCAATTTACTTTTAAAGAATTTTGTAAAGATACATATATATTGATTTATTTTCTCGTAACAATATATTAAAAATCATTCATCACTTTACAGTCCCAACTCTTCCCACTTTAACTTCACGCAGGTGCCAGTGTGTTGGATAAATCAAATCTTTGTGATTACATTGTGCAAGAATCGTGCCTGAACATTGGTCTGTGGTCTCAATGTGAAACAGAAATCAGTTCCATGTTTTGTACTTGGTGTGTGTAAAGCTATATTTATGTAGACAGAGTAAAATATGTATTTTTATGCTATCATCATGGTTGCCTGTTGCTCAAGAGGCGGCATGTGGCCTCTGGCTCTTGGTATGTACGTTTTGTATGATGTGAATGTAAAGTCTGGAAAGATTGATAATGAAGTTAGCATGTTTTGTTTGTGGATGATGCTTTAGGACCTACATGCTGTGGCTTATTCAGGCTTCACTGTTTAGAGAAGTGAGTTCAGGTCTCTTGAGAACATGACAAATTAGCCCTTCTGTGAAGGACATGGCACAAGCTGCAAGTTTTTTTTTTTTGAGTTTCATGTCAAATGTTAATTTGTGTGATGGGGTGTGGTATGTAGTAGTAACAATCACAGTAGTACATTGATGGTTAGCATGGTGGAGGTTAGCTAGTGGAAGAGGGCAATGGCATACAACGCAAAAATCACATGAAAATATAGGAGATTCTGAGAGTGCTCGGGGCAGGTCAATGTGGAGAAAAAATTTCTGAGGTCATTCTGATTGCTGATTTTTAGACAGGGGTCTTAAACTGGTTCCAGAAAGGGCCATGTGGCTGCAGGTTTTACTTCCTACAGTTCCAAACTGAGCAGGAGATGACTCCACCCATTTCCTCAAATCTTCAGGTTAAAACTGGACTCACCTGAGGAAATGGGTGGAGTCATCTGTGCTCCTGCTCAGTTTGGAACAGTTGGAAGTAAAACCTGCACCAACATGGCCCTTTCTGGAACCGGTTTGAGATCCCTGTTTTTAGAGTTTATTTTATGGCAACACGTTTCGACTATAGTGTCTTCATCAAGGCAGTAACTGTCGTCGAAACACGTTGGTCTAACATGAACTGTAAATATTCTGCAATTTAACATATTTCAAACATCTTTGTTTTCTTTGTTTTATGTATTTGTAAAAATGATTGACCATTAAACATGTTTTGGCTCAAAGCTGAACCAAAACGGACAATGGGTTATAAACAAGATGCCAGTTCATTTGAAGGCTATTTCGGATGCCCAGGGCGGCTGTGGCTACAATAGTGGCGTACAACCACTGTGTGAATGGTGAATAGAAAACCACCAAAAATGTAAAGTGCTTTGTTCGTCTGAAAATCGTTTTAAGATCATTCCCTGTATGTTGTCCAAAAAGCCAAGCTCTCGTAACAACATATTCTTCTGGTCCTTCAGACGTCTTTCATGGCATTTACAAAAATGAAGCAGTCTGATTTTGTTTTTTCCCCAAATCCAATGTTACTGTCTTTTGTTGTAAATACTCCCTGTTCTTTATTGTCAAATGTTTCAATAATTCAAGGGTGCCTTTAGTTTGTATACCCAAATAGAATAAACATGTACAAATACTCTTTATTCAACTGTGTGTGTGACTTTTCTGGCTGTTAAATGAATAGATGTCAAAAGAATGGAGGCGTTAGTAGCACAGTGCCTGCTCCCTGATGCAGAGCCCATCACCTCGCTCTCAGCGGATATTGAATGAGTCCATTAAGATTTAATAACATCGCTCAGGATTAACACTGAAGGCTTCAGTGGAAAGCCTGGAAAAGATCACACTCATAGTATTATAGTTTGTAGTGTGGTCGTTGCTAATGTAGAATACAGGAGAAGAGTCGATGAGTAATAATGCTGGGAACTAATCATGATTCGTTAATGCCAGTAAATCTTTGTTCAGAAAACATGGAAGTTCTGTCTTGTTCATAGAGTATAAATTGGGAGATTGACCAAAAATATAAATGTTAATCTGTGGAACTGTTCATATTAGTATGTGTGCATAGTGTGGAGTTTATACTACCAGACTGAGGGACGTCTCCATGGCAGCAATGGGTAGATAGTCATCAGATTGTAATGATTTAATCGTTTTGTATTGCGTCTTTGTAATCTTGTGTTATGTGTCATATTTCAGCCCCAGTTCACTTTAACAGTCCTCAAAGTCACAGATCTGTTTCAAAAGGTAAGCATTGTCTTAAGTGACTGCAGGATCCTTATGCATTGGTCTGGTCGTTTCAAATCTCCATTTAAAAAAGTGTACATGCTTCAGTGGGACCAGGAATAGTCCTTGTGAACTCTGTTTCCTTTTGGAGAAAAGTGTGAACACGGCCTCAGTCTCCCAGCAGCCCCTGCTCCACACTGCTGTGTTCCATGGAACCCGCTGTTCATTTGAGTCAACAGGAACCAGCGGCTTTCAGGGATTAACTCTGAGGCACAAAACACACGCACACAAACACACAATGGCACATGCACACGGACACACACACTTGCCCACTCATGAGTGTTTTTTGGCCTAATTTTGAATACGCTGATGTATTTGTATCAAAAAATTGCTGTTGTCACTTTGATGCTGTTTTTCTTGGATGAACCTCAAATTAATATTGTCTAATAACAGATAAGTTTACTGCTCAAATATCTGAAATGTGCTGACTCTGCAGATAAGTCTTGTATCTTCAGCGTCAGCATCAAGTGAAAGCTCTCGTCTCAAATACAGACTGAAAATGTTATTACGGTAATGCACCTTTTAATGCTTAACACTTTCCATAAAACACAGTCAAAATAATAACAAAAAATATATAACAGAAGAAACTTGGGAACATCAAAAACCCAATCAATAAACTGGTAAACTGGAAAACCAAAAACTCAATCAGCATCAACCACTGGATCAACTCCCTCACTCATCACATCACCACACATCACCCATCATCTCAGGATGATAACGTACTGTCCTTTACGGAAACTTGGTCACCCTTCACCAAATACCTCAATATCACCATATACTAATCACTAGTGTTTGGAAGTCCTTGCGCGCACACACACACACACACACACACAGAGAGAATCCTAACATCATCAGTATTATGCTGCTAACCCTGTCACCACAGTAACCAACCTCTTTTTACCAAACCAAAACTGAAAAAATGATTAAAACCAACAACAGACTCACACCTACTAGATCAGGCCATTCAGGAGGGGAGGCATGCGCTCTAGGGGTGACTCCCCTGGAGCGCAGACCTCCCACAGACCCCTGGATTTTTAATGCATAACATAAGCCACGCTCAACACACACATACAATACACACAAGATTAAACAAGGAAGTGGCCCTGCTGTTGCTGGAGGAGACCCCTCCAGCAACAGCAGGTGCATGTTTTTAATGCACTAGACGCGCACAAAAAGAGGGAAATGAATGAAAAAAAAAATATATACAAATAATAATAATAATAATACAAAATAAGCAAATCAATATATTGTCACATAAACAGCCAAAATACGTTACTGGGATCTGTGGAGACAGCAAGTGGCAGCACTCACTTTATTTTTTTTGTTTTTTATTTTATATATTATTATAATTTTTTTTTTTTTTCTCGTTTTATTTACTGTTATTGTTCTGTTTTTCTATTTCTTCTTCAGACACATATGGTCACACATTTATACATATACACAAACACTCAAATACATTAACACCCACACTTACACATTAGAACCTACATATTTCCACGACAGTACTTGCTTGTTATTTAGTTTTTTTATTAAGTATTTTGTTTTCTTTGTTTCATGCTCTGGATGCCTTAAAAATGCCCCCCCCCCCCCACTCCCCCTTCCCTCCCCCACCAATATATTCTGCACTACTATGTTGTACATAGTAATTTATGTTTTTTATGGAATCTGTATCACATGGTGTTAAATAAAAAAAAAAACAAAAAAAAACCCAATCAATATTTCTTAACCGCTCACATCTCAAGTACATTTACAACCCTTCTGAGTAAATTACCGGTAGGGGACTGGATCCGTCTGCTTCCAGCAAACTACTTTTGTTACATTGAAGTAGACACACAGTTACTGCCTCTGCCCCACATACAGATGAGCTGCACTTGTCCCCGTCCCGTTCGCACCAGCCCTCTGCCTGTCCTGTAAGTGCCTTGAACCTTTACATGTATTGCTGCGGTAACAATAGAGCTCAGAATAAAAACGCAGACCGAACTTGTTAACCTTTTATGCATTTGTGTCACAGCAATAAACAGTTCTGTGCAGTCCAACTCTAAAAGGTGTTGTAAAGTTTGTCTGTTGTAAAGGTCGTCTGCATCACTCCAGGACTTGGCATTAACAAGCTTTTCTCTCCCGTGTCAATGGTCATGTTGCCTTTTGTTTTTTGTTTCACTTGAGAATTGATCTTATTAGATTTTACACCATATGGGATTTGTACATTATACTAATAGTTGAGCAACGGTGAGTTTAACCACAAAAACATTGCAAAAAGTGAAAAAGAAGTCTAAAATGGTTCAAATCTGGCAACATGTATTTGAATTTGAGCACATTTTGACTGCCTCATGACAAGATTTGCCAAAGGGAGAAGCGAAATTATCTTGTTTTAAAAAGATGCAAGACATTTCTCCCTTGGAATGAGAAAATAACGGTCTAAATGGCTTGTCCTGTTGGCAAATGTTGTTTTAATATGGTCAGAATGTACTCAAATTATCTCAATCCAAGCAATAATACCTTATATTTTATCATCTTGTTCGTTAAGGGGGGAAAAACAAACATATACAAGATTTTTGGGCCCAGTTCGGTCTTACTAACTTTCTATTTTTACAACCGCCACACAGACACAGTTGACCTTGACGACACAAACCTTTTGGGTGTGTTCTTGTGCCCTTTAAGATCAGACTCCGGCGCTCTTCATTGGAGCACCTTTGAACTGCTGCTGCTTCTGTCTGGAACTGTCCTTTTTAATCATGACAAAGACAATTCTAATGGTTTTGCTCGTTTGGACTAATGCAGGCACCGACACTGCGTCTCCAGGTAAGGAACATTTCTCTGGTTTATCTAAAACAATGTACTATACTATATCTTTGCAGTTTCAACTTCAGTCCTTGTAATGAGATTCCCTTCATTAGGAAAACACTGCAAAAAATGATAAAATGACAGCTTATATCAAGTGTTTTTCTTCCTTAATTTGAGTTCATTCTGACTATCTTAAAAGAGATTCATAAAAAAATTGCCAATGGGACAAAGCCATTTATTTTTATTTCAAGAACTGTTGCATTTTCTTATTTCAAGTGAGCTATTTCTTTACTTAAAGGTATATAGGAGGATTTTCTACTTCCGGGTGGATCATTAAGACTATTGGTCCTCCCAACTGTCAATCATTCTGGTGACACGTGCTCGTCCAATAAGACCAGAGAGTTTGGTTTGAAAAGTGGAGAGGGCGGTTCTTTCCTAAAACCTGGGAAAATCCTCCTATACACCTTTAATAACTATTAAGATCCTTTTACTTGTTCCATTGGCAAATCTTGTTTCAAAGCAGTCAACATGTGGTAAAACTAAGATAAATTTTGCCAACTTTGAGCAATTTTTTACTTATTTTTCGTCTCTTTTTTCAGTGTATAATTTTGTTTAAAGCTTCGGAATGTCTGTTTTACCGGCCATATAAACATTTTCTTCCGCTTTATCTGGGGTTGGGTCGCAGAGGAAGCAGTGAGCCGTGTTGCTAAGACTTCCCTATACACTTCCTCCAGCTTCTGTTATATAATTCCAAAACACTTCCTGGAGAGCTGAGGGACCAGAAATCCAGTCATGACATTTTGCGAGGTATCCGAAACAGATGTCCCAAGCCACCTCAGCTTGTTCCTCTCAACGCAAAGGAGCAGTGGCTTTACTCAGAGCTTCACCCTGCTTGGCCACCCATTATTTAGATCACCATTAGCGACTTAAATATGCAGTAGCTCCTTGGGGTCAGAAGAAGTTGAATGAATTGATAAAAATGAATGCGCAAAAATACAGAAATGTTATCACAAAAATACACACACACACACACAGTAACACTAAAAGCAACATATCTCCATTACATTTGAAACATTTAACTATCCAAAAATTCAGACACAACTCCAAAAACACAAACAAATCAATTCCATTCTTCAGTGAATAGGAAGACTTTCAATCTGTTATGGAATTGGGTGCATTAATCTTTTGTCGTCCCCAAACCGGACCCGGACTGCCCCCTGTCCTTACAAACAATGAATACTTATGACATAAAACTTATATGACTGAAGGCAAATTAAAGAGCAGCTCTGTGAATTGGTTTGGCTCACTGCAGTCATACAGGGACCAGACATTGATACATGAGACGACAAGAGACAAATTGACTTAGAAATGTGTGATTTACTGAATATAGAAGGGAACAAGTCTGTGGATGTTTTTTCCGTGTGTCCATTCCTGGTAAATTCTATCAAGGAAATAATCAGTTAATCAATCAACTTATATTTGTAGAACGTCTTTCTTACACGAGGCAACACAAAGCGCCTCACAACCCAACACATCAGGCATAAATCATAAACATTCAAATCTGCATTAACATGAAAAATACAATTAAAAATACCATTAAAAATACTATAAAAATATGATTCAAAAACACAATTAAAATACAAAAAATATGATTCAAAAAACTTTAAGATCCCAAGAAATATCAAAAACATAAAAGATAAAAGCACACGCAATCAAATCATTAAAAACCTTCAAACATTAAAATCACACATAGGATTAAAATCATAAACAGCCGCAGTCCATTAAAAAGAGTAGATAAAGAAGATATAATCCTCCAGTGAAACAGAACTGTTTTTAACCTGGATTTGAAAACTGCGCCTCTCACATTTTCAGGAAGACTGTTCCACATTTCACTAGCCTCATCACCTAGTCTAGTCCTGACTATGGGTACCAGCAAGAGGTGGTTAAAGCCTATACTTCCTGTGCTCCTCAGAGTCCCAGGCAGTTCATATGGCACCAAATACATATAAATGTTGTATATAAATGAGGCCCTGTTCCAGTATTCCTCTCTTTAAGCTTAGGTTGTTCTTTTATGTGGTCTTACAGGTCCAAAGTGTGGGGTTCCTGGTGTTTGGAGCCCCCTGGTGCGTGCTGTGAGAGTGGTTGGAGGCGCTGAGGCCGCACATGGTTCTCACCCATGGCTGGTCACCGTTTTTTTGATGCAGTTACACAAACCACTTCCTCATTTTCTTCTTCATCTGTGAGGCAAAGAGACACTGTGATCATCATGGGTTTTCTGTGTTTTGCTTGCATAAGAATAGGGACAGAGAAAGAAGTCCTGAGATGACCTACACAGTGTATGAGATGTGAGAAGCACAGCTGGTGGACTGTGCTGGCGCTGTGTTTTGAGGGTTGCAAAAGTTACAGCTGACTTTCTCTTTTTCTGTTTCATTGCATTATTTATTGCTGCATGCTGCCTCTGCTTATATTGTGTTACAAATATATATGTTTGTGCTTCCTGCAAGTGACAGCTGAGATCCTATCAGTGGTGAGGATCCAGGTCACTCGACATGCAACAACTTTTATGGACTTTATCAACATTAATGGACATTGGTCTTCTGTTCCTTATGGACCAAAGGCTCTATGTATTTTTTTATCATTGCATTTCTTGTGTTTTGAACTGTTTGATTCTCTCAAATTCAACAGTTTGGAAAGTCCTCTGAGATAACTACTGTTGTGTTTAAGGGCTATGCAAAAAATAAATTAAATTTAAATTTAAATTGAGACTCAGAACCAAAGCAGGGCTATTATTAAGGTTTTACGTTAAATAATAATGTAATAATGTCTTACAATTCACAACCCATTAACAAACATGAGAATTGTGCGTCCTAATATTTCTAAACTCATTTTTCTCATACTATTCATTTAGATCTCTCTAAGGAAAAATAAATATCACTTCTGCGGTGGAGCCATTTTGAGCAACCGCTGGATAATGACTGCAGCCCATTGCTTCTCATCAGCCTCAAAGTAAAATACCACTTTTATTGGTATAAACTTTTTGACCCAGATTTCAAACAATGCTCATGCCATCATTTTGTCTTCCCCCAGAGAGTCCCTGAGAAGAGTGAGTGTGGTGGTCGGAGATTTTGATCAAAATATTGTTGAGAAAGAGGAGCAGGTTTTTATCATCAATAACATATATGTTCATGAAAAGTACGACCGAGCTCTGCCCATGAACTTTGACATTGCGCTTTTAGAACTGAGTAAACCCATTCATTTAGGTATGGCTTTCTTCTCTGTTCTACCATTTTAATGATCACCTGGTTTAGTGAACTACTTGAATGACAGGTGAAGTTGTGCGGCCAGTGTGTATGCCTCTGCCTGAGGACCACACTGAGCCTGGCACCAGCTGCACTGTGGCTGGGTGGGGAAGAACCAGAGAAAGTAAGTGGAAAAAAAAGGAAACACAGGCCATACTGAGGCTGGGAAGGACAATGGTGTTTTGTTGTATTGTTGCATTGTTGCATTGTCATCCTATACATAATGAATACAAACCAGCACCAGTCGAACCAGAACAGTTTCTTCCCCTCTGCAGTTGGACTCATGATCACTTCATCACCCACCAGTCTCCACTGCCTTTCATTACAATTACCTTATACCAGGGGTGTCAAACTCAAGTTGGTCGAGGGCCAAGTTTAAAAACATAAGAGCTGGTTGGGGCTTTTATTTTTTTTACATATTTTTATATTTGAGTTTGGATATAATTTACATTTATGTTACTGTAATAATGATAATTGAAAATTATGTCAAGGGCCACTGAAAATGATCTCGTGGGCCGGATTTGGCTCACAGGCCTGAGTTTGACACTCTTCAGTTAAATGTCTATTGTGTACTTAGTGTGCACTTGTATATAGTAGTAATTTTAAGGAAGATTTTTTTTATGATTTTTCTTTATAATACATTGGTTGGTTGGATAAGAAATGTCAGTTCAACATATCATATGGGAGATAAACAAAGTGATATTGGTCTTGTTTGGTTTAAATAACTCTTGCACACTTTTGTCTCCTTTTGTTTGTCTCCTGTATGACATATTCAACTGAAATTTCGTATCCAAACAACCAATGATTAATGGAGGAAAATCATAAAATTCGATAGGGGTGCCCAAACTTTCGCATACCATTGTATAACTATTTTTACTGACTTCCTGTTGCTTACAATGGCAATAAGAATAATTCTGGGGGTAGGAAGATTCTAAATTCTGACACAACATCCTGTTCCAAAACTGTTTCAGGAGGACATCTTTCCACCACTCTTCATGAGGTGCAGTTAAACTTGGTGGAGCCAGAGAAGTGTAAACATGTTCTCCAGACTGTGAAAAGTGCCATGATGTCTCCAGAGAGGTTACACAGACCTCCACCTGCTCTGACTGTGCTGTGTGCCGGTCCAGAGACAGGGGGCAGGGACGCCTGTCAGGTAAACCACAAAACACTACAGCGACGCCATTTTGAAATACACTAGGACTTCCAGAATTTTGTAATACAAGAACTCAGAGGCCAAAGTAGCCCACTGTTAGATTTTGATTCTGTTCAAAGGGCATTACCAGGTTTGTCAAGATTACTATTTTATTCATATATATTTTTTTATTTTATTTTATTTATTTTATTTATTTTATTTATTTTATTTATTTTATTTATTTTATTTATTTTATTTATTTTATTTATTTTATTTATTTTATTTATTGTATTTATTGTATTATTTTATTATTTTATTTATTTTAAAAAATCTCATTGGCTTAATGTCTTAATGTCTAAATTAGTGAAATAACATAAGGTGAATATATCTATTATTGTCAAAAAAGGCCTCTATTTAGAATATCAGCCTGAATTTAAATGTGTGAAGTGTGTGGAAATTAGAGCAATTTTGTTAAAGTGCTTTTTGTGACCTTGGTCTGTGAAATGCACTATTTAAGTACAAGAAAAAAGATGAAATACTTACTAAATCCATGTGCTTTCAAGCCTCCCTCATTCATACTTCCCGAGATGTGTTTCTCAACTGTCAAAACATGAATAAGTCTGAATATTTACAGTAGCCCTTTACAAATGGCAATTTTTGTATATCAATTCTCATAATAACTCAGTCTCCATAATCAGTCTCCTCTCCTCAGGGGGACTCGGGCGGACCCCTGTTATGTCCGCTGGGGTCGGGCGGGGGGCACTGGGCAGCTCTGGGTGTGACTTCCTGGGGCAAAGGCTGTGGCCGGAGCTGGAAGCTGAACAGCAGCCGCCCCCCGTCACAGAGAGGCTCTCCTGGGGTCTTCACTGATGTCAGATTGATGCTGCCCTGGATCAAGCTCACACTGAGACGAGGTGAAAGACACTGTATCCGACAATAGTGAAGCCACTGCAGAAGCTTTTTCCTTGAGTTCCTTGATTACAACTGGTCTGAAAGGTTTGTCTTGTTTGAACAAATTTTCGATTGTGCTGCTATGAAGGTTACAGTGGGACGACCGCAGAGGGGCAGCTGTGGGTGTAATATGTTGTTGTGTCCTTTAGACCAGTGTTTTTCAACCTATGTGCCCAGAGATGTTATTCAGTGTGCCTTGGGAAATTATCCAATATCACCTATTTGGGCAAAATAATGTGAAAAAAGAAAGAATTAGAAGATTAGAAATACTTCTGATTTTCTATATAATACACTTTGATTTTGTTAAAAAAGGCTGCAGAGTAATACCAGTTTGTATAAGTTTCAGTTAGTGGTGTGCCATGAGATAGTTTTAAATGAAAAAGGTGTGCCACGGCTCAAAACGCTTGGGGAACGCTGCCATAGACAAAACACTTCACTAACATTGATTAGTTGCTTGCTCCTGTAAGTCAGCCCCAGGGCAGCTGCGGCAACAACAGTGGTATACCACCATTGTGTACAAAGTGAAGGAATAATGTCATGTGAAGCGTCTTTGGGTGTCATGGGGCGAGTGATGTCAATTCTGCTTAAATGTGTTCTAAACTGGTTTATCCGTCTAGAAGCCATTGTACTTGTAGTCAAGCCATTATGCCACATATGAGCCAAATGGAAAACACTGGAGTTAAAGAGAGCCAACCACAATGGCCAAATGAGCTGTGTTCTAAGTGCCGTATGAAACTGGATCACTCACAACTCTTAAGACTAGCTTCTAAACTCACAACAGCTTCTAAGAGTTCATTTAGATATCATCCCATTGAAAAGAAGTAAAAAAAAATAAACCAATATCTGTATATGTTTCTTGTCATCTTTGGGGCTAGCTGACATGAGCCAAAGTGGTGTGTGTGTGTGCGGGAGGCGGGACTTACATATGTCAATCACCACTCGATTTATGAGATTCTCTGTGATTCAGGGCTAATGAAAAACAACCCATTTCCGTTGTTTTGTTTTTATTATCAAGATGAGCCATCCGATGAATACAAATACTCTTTTTATACACATGTCAATAACACACTACATATGATAATAAAAGGAACTGTAAAAAGCTTATAAAATTGGCCATATTTTTCTCTTCTTCTAAGTACACCTGGTTACATCAGAATTAATACTGTTTTCCTTTACCCTGCAGCTGAGTCGAAGCGGTTAAGAAGGCCTTTATCCAGTGAGGTGTTTTTATTCTCACTTAAGTCACCTTTCATCTATATTTCATGCATGTGGCTCTTGATGTGAGCAGTGCTATGTGTGTGTGTGTGTCAGGACTGTGCGGTGTGCAAGATGGGGCTATGAATGACACAGAGGGGGTCATTAGAAACCCCACCTCCAGACGCCGTTACTATGACAACAATGAGTGAGTGACAGATCATGTATTAGTATCAAAGCAAAAGGCAAAAATGTTTGGTATGGGATTTTATGTCACCACAAATAGGCTCAGGCAATAGGAGAGATAAGTAAAATGCACCCTTTTTTCATCTTATTTATTTATAGAGCACATTTCACAAACACGTTTCTTTAGTGCTTTTGTTGATTTTTATTTTTGTTTATTTATTTGAATGGGACAGTGCATGTCAATTAACACACAACAACAACAGAAGCGAAAGAAGAGGGTCCTCATCCCGTTGTTGCACACATAAAATTACTGCACACATCCAATTATTGCACACATCCTGTTATTGCACACATCAAATTATTGCACACATTCCGTTATTGCACACATCAAATATTGCACACATCCCGTTATTGCACACATCAAATAATTGCACACATCAAATATTGCACACATCCCGTTATTGCACACATCAAATAATTGCACACATCCCATTATTGCACACATCCAGGCATAATGCACTCATCCAGGTGCTGAAGTCAAAGTCAAAGTATGTCAAAAAGAGATATAGAATAAATAAGAACACACTTTTTTTTCTAAGGGTTTAGAAGTGTGAACAAACGTGTACTTCGTTTACAATACAAAGGCAGAATAAATCAAAAAGACAAACCAAAAACAAGATAGGAATTTTTGAATCTAATTTACTCCCCACTCACCCCCACCCCAAAAAAGACAAGAAAAGACCCAATTAAAAATGTACACTTTTGTTTGACTGTTTTGTCAGGCTGTGTGTGTGGAGCATCAGTGTTCCTCCTGGTTACAGCATTTTACTGGAGATTGAGTATGTGGATATTGAGAATGACTCATTTTGTCTCCATGATCGACTCACTCTGTCTGTGGCACCTCAGAAACCTGTTGGTGAGTGGTCTACATCTTTGCATAACCACAAAAAAAACCTAAAAGCCTGTGACAGTTAAGTGTAAGTGTAACGGTTTGTATTCTTTGCAGGTATATTTTGTGGAAGTGTCCGCCCAAGCCAATTTTACCTCAATAATTCAAATCATGCAACGGTGCTTTTCTCCTCTGATGTTAGTGTCGGAGGAAGAGGATTTTTCATGAGGTACCGTCCTGTTCGGAGACTGGCTGATCCGGGTACGAAACAGGATGGTCCATGTTTTTTTGTCATTTTGATATAGGGCAGCTGACACGTGATGAAGTGAATGAAGACCCAAAATTGCAGGAATGCCAAAAATAAGGGTTTAATGATAAAAAAAACAAAAGTCCAGATGAAACCAACTCAAAATCCAAAACAGGACCAGGAACAGGACGGAAACAGACAGACATGAACAAGACAAGACAAGACCGGACGTTGACAAGACAATGGACTAGCAACAAGGGGAGAGATACACAGGGTACATATAGACACAGACACAGATGAAACACATCAGGGCGGGGCATACAATCAAGACTGGGGAACAAGACAGGAAGCAACTAAAACCAAATCACAGAAAACCAATTTCAAAATAAAACAAAAATACAAAAACAAAATCCACACCATGACACCAGCCATATTGTATGTGCATTCTTTTGTTTCTCCTTCTCTGTCAAATATATAGCTTATTCTGTATCACTTTGGATTTGCTTGAGAAGAATTGCATCTTTTGTGTGTGTTTATGTGAGTGTTAACACAGCATAGGCGTTGCCAGTCTGATTCCCGGGACGAGACCAGGTGCTTGTCCCATGACAGAAAATGAGCTGCACAAGACGCGCAGCAGGCCTGTGTTGCCATAGCGCTGGTGGGAATTGAGGAATAAGGAAATAGAGATAACATACTTTGTGTCGAATGCATTGTGCAGACAGTAAGACAATGTGTGCTTTATAACAGTTTTTATGTGGTTCTGTATGTGCCTTTTATGTGGTTCATATTATTTATAAATTGTGTGGTAGTGAGACATTATCCCTACCAAAAAGTCATGTTTACAGAATGTTACAAATCGGACGGTGTCTTAATCTTATTAGCAAACATTTTATCTTTTGCATACTTGTGATGTTAATTGATTATAATTTGATTCAGATTCAATTAATTTACCATTTGCAGTAAAACCACATTGGATTGTGCAAAGGTACCGCAGTGTGCCCCAAACTAATGCATAAATACAAATAACAATAATAGTAAAACGAGCTAAAAAATAAAAGTGCAGGAAACAGTTGGTTCATTAGCTTTGTCTGTCTGAAAAGCTGATCTAAAGTTGTAACAGAGACCAAATATACAAACACAACACTAGTGGAAGCTAGTGATAGAATCAAACTGTGTTGAGAGCGAGGAACTAAATCAAAACTAAGTCAAATGGTATTCATACACAGTTCCAGTTTTGTAGTTGGACAGTTGGGTATCCCAGCTTTGATACCAAATTCCACATCCACAGCTTGTATTTGTTCATAAATAGTTAAACAAAAATGTATTTCTTTTCCCATCAGGCTGTGACACAGTTGTTCTGGTGCAGAACGAGAGCAGCATCCACAGCCCTGGATTCCCCCAACACTACCTCAACAACTGCATGTTCAGATGGGTGGTCTACGCTTCACAGGGACACATTATCAAGGCACAACACAGAGCAGACATGGACAACACTCACAAATGGACACACAAATGTAATCACTAATGTGTTTTCCCACAGCTCAACTTTACGTATTTTGAGTTGGAGGAGTCCAGCAGATGTCTGTATGATTCCCTGGTTGTGTTTGGGGACGTGGAAGGATCAGAAGAGATAGGTGCGACTGTGAGTCAAGTGAATGCACACATGTCAATATATCAACATCTTTTGTGTGTGTGTTTGCAGCTGTGCTTTGTGGAGCCGCAGTCCCTCCGCCGGTCATTTCCTACCACCGCCTCATGGTTCTTCAGTTCACCTCCGACAGCAGCGTCACACACAGAGGCTTCAGTGCTCACCTGGAGTTCATCCCCCACTCAGGTCAGCCGCAGATGCAGGAGAGACACTTTATATCTGTATCTGTGTGTCTCATCAAGGAAGTTAATCATCTTGACAAGGTTCTAAATGGCTTTTACTCTCTCTCCATTTCGCGCTAAAGGCCAGAAAATCATAAACAAACACAATGAACAATGAGGATAAGCTCGATTACTCCTCAAAGCGACAAGGTCTATTTGGATTTACTGAAATGCAATTGCCATGTAGATGTTGTTGAGTTCTTTGGAATGCATCTGTATGTAATTGATTTGTACATTTTCATTTACCGTAATTGTGAGACTATAATTAGCTACTTTTTTCAAGTTCTTTAAGCGCTGCAGCCTGTAAAGCGATGTGGTCTGTGTATTTTTATTGTGGTAGAGTATCTCCTGGGGCACAGCTGTGGTTTATGTGGAGAGAGCTGACGTGAGGAAATATACAGGACCTGTTTTTATGTGATAAGGGCTGTTGTCAGAGTTTATTTACTCCATCAAGCCCTAGTATTGACCATTCTATTTAGGAAAGTAAAGGACCAAACATAAGGCAAGACAAGCGGTGAAAAATCCTCTCTAATTGAATTCAGAAAATATAATTTGACAAAAATACAAAAAAATTAACACATTTTTGGTGCCAACTAAAGTACACAACCTGACTAAACCTCCAACCCTCCAGTCTTGTACTTTTTTACCTGACAAAACACAACTGTGAGTGGTTGCTTTCAAAGAAAATAATAGAGTACCAAAAATAATGGTCAATGATCCCCCAAATGGAAGTCAACAGTTTATTTTTGTTAATTTTATTATTTACAAAGCTTTGTCCATAAAAAGCCAACAGTGAGTTTAAACACCTGTTGAAATCAGACTTTTGCTCCCTCAGCCGTTGAGTAAATGTTATGGTACATTTCAACCATAGACTACAACATAAAACCTGCGGCTTATATTCAAGTGTGGCCTATATGCGGACAAAGGGTATTTTTACGGTAGAGTCAGTGAAAAAGTTCCTTTAAGCCTGCGGACTGAGCATTAGAAGGCCTGATGATCCACATGAAAATAATAAGTGTTTTATTGTTGCGTTTCTAATATAGAAAGACAAACAAAACCCTTGGCGGAGGCAATAACTATGACCAGATATAGTGGAAAACATTTAAAGGCTAAATTTGCGTCACTGATGCCAATAACAAGATAATGAATAACACAATTATTTTACAGATTTACATCCAGAGGAGAAGTCGTACAAGAAGGTCCTCAGAGAAAATCATACACAGTCTACATCTCACGGTTAGTTCTTGTAAAACCAACTCACTGATTTCACTGACTTTCAAGACCCACAGAATATTGTGTGCTATGACTATATGTAATATACCAGATTCTGAAAGACTGAATGTCTGCTTTCTTCTGCAAAAATAAGTTTGTTTCTGGCTGGTTTAGTTCTCCTGTAATCCCCAGTCAAAAAAAGGGAAGTTTGAGAGAAATCACCGGTCTCAGACAAATACGTCAATGGCAGTCAGTACTTGATACTTCACAGTTTTATTTCTAACTGGGCACATTCCCATTATAACATCTTAGATCATTTGATAAGCCATTTGAAACAGTTTGTGTAGCCATACGACACTTTTGTATGTAATCTTTATTTATATACCGCCTTTTCACTGAACATCGGAGTCTCAAAGCGGTTTACAATTGTTATTTTTGGGAGTGGGGGTGCCAGTACAGGAGGCACTTTTGTGGCCGTCAGCTGATCTGGATCTTTGTCAGACTCATGGTCATGCTGTAGCCTCTGTTTTTACAGCACAAACCTCTGTGTACAGTCTGTGAGTCATGTTTTGAGCTAAACAAAGCATCAGTGCAGCGGAGTTTGGAAAAGCAAAGGGGATTTCACACAAGAAAATTATTGCTGTCTTTCATAAACGGTGCAAAATGAGTGAAAACAAAAATATGTGTGGATTATAAAACGGCCCAGCACTGGACTAATAAAGGAAATGAAAATGAATGAATGAATGATAATAAAATGGTGATGAAACGGAGAGCAAAGAGAAAAATGGCCCGATACCAGCAGAAGCAGCACACTGTGCACAATTCCCAGGCCTAGCCCTTCTTCACACATAATCATCATTATTTTTTAACTTGCGCCAGTGTTTTCACCTCCCACAGCTCAAATATACACAGATGGAGCTTGGTTTTGTAGCAGTTGCAAAGAAAAAAATAATCTATTTTTAGAAAGAAACAAAATTCAATGAGGATAGACAAGTTTTGTTCTATTTAATGAAATACCACTCTCCCACAATGTCTAAAACCCTCAGAGATGAAGTGACGCTCTTGTCGTCATGTAAGAGAGTGAGAGTCTGTTGTGTTTCTCGCACCACACCCTGTCTCCTCTGGGACACCATCACATACAATCACACACCATCACACACAATCACACACCATCACACACAATCACACACCATCACACACCATCACACACCATCACACACCATCACACACCATCACACACCATCACACACCATCACACACAATCACACACCATCACACACAATCACACACCATCACACACAATCACACACCATCACACACCATCACACACCATCACACACAATCACACACCATCACACACCATCACACACAATCACACACCATCACACACCATCACACACCATCACACACAATCACACACCATCACACACCATCACACACCATCACACACCATCACACACAATCACACACCATCACACACCATCACACACAATCACACACAATCTCACACAATCTCACACCATCACACACCATCACACACAATCACACCAACAATCTCACACAATCTCACACCATCACACACCATCACACACAATCACACACAATCTCACACAATCTCACACACCATCACACACCATCACACACAATCACACACCATCGCACACAATCACAAACAATCTCACACCATCTCACCATCACACACAATCATACACCATCACACACCCTCACACACCATCACACACACATCACACACCATCACACACCATCACACACCATCACACACAATCACACACCATCACACCACCATCACACACAATCACACACCATCACACACCATCACACACAATCTCACACAATCTCACACCATCACACACCATCACACACAATCTCACACAATCTCACACCATCACACACCATCACACACAATCACACACAATCTCACACAATCTCACACCATCACACACACCATCACACACCATCACACACCACACCACACACCACACCACCACACACCAACCACACCAACACCACCAACACCACACCACACCAACCACACCACACCACCAACACCACACACACCACACCACACACACCACCCAACACCACCACACACACCACACACCACAACACCACCACCACCACCACACCACACCACAACACCACACCACACCACAACACCACCACACACCACACACCACACCACCACCACACAACACCACACACACACCACACCACAACACACACCACCACACACCACACACCACACCACACCACACACCACCACACCACAACACCACCACCACACACCACACAACACCACACCACCACACACCACACCACACACCACACCAACACCACCACACCACACACACCACCAACACCACACCACACACACCACCACACACCACCACACCACCACACCAACACACCACACACCACCACACACCACCACCACACAACACCACACACCACACACCACAATCTCCACAATCTCACACCATCACACACCATCACACACCATCACACACCATCACACACCATCACACACAATCACACACAACCATCACACACAATCACACACCAATCACACACCATCACACACCATCACACACCATCACACACAATCACACACAATCACACACAATCACACACAATCACACACAATCACACACCATCACACACCATCACACACAATCACACACACACACACACAATCACACACAATCACACACAATCACACACCATCACACACACCATCACACACCATCACACACCATCACACACAATCACACACAATCACACACAATCACACACAATCACACACAATCACACACAATCACACACAATCTCACACCATCACACACCATCACACACCATCACACACCATCACACACCATCACACACAATCACACACAATCTCACACCATCACACACCATCACACACCATCACACACCATCTCACACCATCACACACATCACACACATCACACACAATCACACACAACACACCACCACCACACACCACACACACACACCACACCACACCACACCAACACACACCAACACACAACACACACAATCTCACACCATCACACACCATCACACAATCGCCTTCTCACACATTTCTACAGACCCAGTACCAATCATTGGTTTAATTCTATGCTTTATTGTGTCTTTTTCAAGTTTCAAATTTCAAGTACCATATTAGACACACTTTTTCATAAAATCATAAAATTAATTTACTTACTTACTTACTTACTTACTATAAATGGGCCTGGGTTAGCTTTAGTTCAGATATTTTTTCAAATGAATCTACAGCCAGTGCCACATGAACAAGTCCATGTAGGATGCTGTAGTCTGTGTTCTTGAACTGCATTTGATGTATTGATTCATCCTGTGTTTTCAGGACCAGTTGCCTAGTAATCACACAAATAGCACTTTTGCCCCATCTAGTGGTTGTTTTATGAGAATATTTATTTGAAATATTTCCATTATTGGTAACATTTATCTTTTTTTGTAAATTATTGAAAATGTTCAAGAAAGTCAGTGGACCGAGGGTATGCTCTGCCAAAGCAATTTCCAAGTGGTGACTTTTGTTACAATAAAAATGATTCTGATTCCTACTCTTCTGATCAGTAGATTTAGTCAATCATAGACATTTTACACAAATACAAATATAATAAATGTATGTTATGCATCGAAGGGCGTCTCAGAATTGTTGATTTGCCAACAGCAGATTATAGAATCTGAATGTTTGAATGAGGGAAGCTCTCCCTCGACAGGCTGTAGATCCAGCTCAGTTGAGCCACAGTCACTTTTTTGTTAATATTTGTAACTTTGTAACTGACCCTGACCAAAACATAATGGAATGTCTTGTTTTATTATAATACATTGTATCCACACGTATATATCCACACGTCTGTATCCACACGTCTGTATCCACACGTCTGTATCCACACGTCTGTATCCACACGTCTGTATCCACACGTCTGTATCCACACGTCTGTATCCACAGATTCCGTCGCTGGTCATCGGAGAATGGAGCATGAGGATCTTGAGCAGATCTCAGACATACAGGACTTTACCCATGAATCCTCAGGGGCTGGATGATACAATACATAATAATTGTATTTAAATATGGAAAATAAATAGTCTCTAATTTTGTTTGTTGGCTCACTTATTTACCTACAAGGCAGAACACTGGCTGAACTGAAATGTCTGGACAATAGTTTTAATCTTTTTAGTTCATTTTTGTCAGTTAGAACCATTTTATGTGACACTTTTAGTTTTTATCATCATTTCCCTTTTTCCTGCACTATTCCTATCTACATGACAACAATTGTCCTCAGTTGACGCTGACAGTAGCCTAATCTTTTCTTTACTCTTCAGACAGTCCACATTACTTCAGTGATATAAAACAGAACTGAAGCATTGCCATTGCAATTGAAGTACATGTGTTTATTTATTTTTATACTTTATTTTTGAGTTTTGCCTCTAGAGTTTAATTTTTCAAAATGTCATAATTCAAAACCATAAGGTTACAATTATAATCACGGCGTCGAGCAAATCTCACTGGTGAAGTAAAATGTGGCCGCTGTACTAAAAAAAGGTCTTGTTGTGATTCTCAAATCATTAATAAAGAAACAAGGAATAAAATGAGGATTTATATCGGGGCCTTTGTGAAAAAGGTGTTGGTTATAGATTTGACAAAACTCTTGTCTATTCAGATATTATGGTCCCAGCTGGATTCACTGCATATCTGGCAAACCTGAGTCAGGGAGAGTGGGAAAGACTGCAGTACCACCTTTGGCCAGATTTTTACATACTGCTCCTTTAAGTACATTGTATTTTGAAGTAGATTCACTACAAACTTTGCACAATCCTCAGGTGAGTAAGTGAGTGTGTGTCTGTGTGTGTGGGGTGAGCCTCTGGAGCTCTCCCCTCGTCCCCCCCTCACAGTGAGGTGATCTGAGCCTCCACAGTCAGAGACAAGCTCCTATTGGTCCAAAGCCACATGTGTTACCTTTCCCTCAGTCACAGGACACACCTCCTCTCACTTTTATGTACTGTTGAACTTTGAGAGTCAGGAAACCCTGCTTTGACTCCTCCAGCTGCAATCATGGACCTAACTTTGGTAAGAAGCACGTTTACATTTGTGTCTTCTGTATGTGCCTCTTTTATATTATTATTCCATATTTGTGTATCTTAGGTGGTGGGAGTGTGTGTACTCATAGCCACAGTGCTGTTTTTCATTCTCCAAATGTCTGGTGACAAACAGGAGAAAGCAGTGGCCACTCTCCAGGATCCTACTGTCAAATATCCGCTCTGCCTCATCGACAAGCAGGTGAAAAGTCATAATGAGTGTGTGCTATTCTCTCTCCTCGCAGTAAAACATGATACAAGCCACATTTCCTCTTACTTACAAGTCTGATGCATCAACACTAGGACTCCCAGAAATCTGAAAATACCAGAACTCCCAGTGCAGTAATTTTCACGGCTCCCATTCATAATAATGGAATTCTGAAAAAATCCCCCCAAAAAAGTGTCAACTTTTTAATTAAAATGTAGTAATTTATGCAGTTTTTATTTTTAACTTTCATAAACATAATTACATGAAAAATAAACAGAAACATAAAAAAGTGTTAGTTATGAATTTCAAAAACATACATAAGAATATTACTCCCACTTACAAAACGCCGTCAATTTGGCTGCTTTGGGAGTTCTAATGTTAAGCAATTTGTGCAGCTAAAATATTTTCTGAAGTGAATGCTGTTGTTTTTGTTTATTCCTAGGAAATCAGCCATGATACAAAGAAGTTTCGGTTCGGCCTTCCCTCTGAGTCGTACATCCTTGGGCTGCCAGTTGGTACGACATCACTCTCTTTTTATTAGACTACTGTAGATATTTACAGTTGATAAATGTAAAAAAAAACATTGATATTTCTCTGTTTTAGGTCAGCATGTTTACCTGTCAGCAAAAGTCAATGGTTCTCTTGTGGTTCGAGCTTACACCCCAGTGTCCAGTGATGAAGACCGGGGATACGTGGACCTTGTTGTGAAGGTTCATTTGTTTATTTATTTCAAACATGCAGGGGATATACATACGATCATTCACAGAAATAAATGATAATATTTCATGGTTTGAAAAGGTATTGGCCGAAGCAAAAAACGTATTTTGATCCAAACTCATTCCAGCCATTCAAACACATACTACAATACAAGCAAAAAGAATCAAAACCTTACAATACCCTCCAACAAAACACGTGACAGCCAGTGACACACACACACACACACACACACACACACACAAAGAGACAAGGCAAGACCAAGACATTTTATATCTTGTACCCACAGACAAGACCTGAAAAGGTGTTAATATTTCTATTAAAGCACAAGTCATTTTTACTCTATAATGTGTGTGTGTATAGTGTGTTAGTGAAATATAAATTGTTGTTCTCCCAGGTGTACTACAAGAATGTGCATCCGTCTTATCCAGAGGGAGGAAAGATGTCTCAATATCTGGACAACATGGCCATCGGAGACAGCATTGATTTCAGAGGCCCCAGTGGGCTTCTCATCTACAAAGACAATGGTGGGCTTTGCTTTATGTATCAACTGAATAATCCTCTACATTATAATGCATTTGTTAATCCAAGATTGTGAAAAAAATAAAAATAAAAAATCATTTTGGGTATGGGAGAATTTGAGATAATACTTTCTTTCTCCAGCAGATGTCGCTATAATGCAGCTCAAACTTCTATAACGCTCTGTTTTGGTTATTTCAGGAAAGTTTTCTATTCGGCCAGACAAAAAAGCAGAGCCTAAAATGAAGAGGTTTAAGCATGTGGCTATGATCGCTGGAGGAACAGGTTTGCAAGATTTTTTTCTCTCTCTCACACACACAAGACACACTGAAAACTGACAAGTATAATTATTAATATGATGTCAATTTTGTTCACATATAAAATCCGAATCAGAATCAGTTTTAAGCGTTATAATGGATATAAGCAAAAGGCACTCACTGTTTTAAACTTAACCAATGTATAAACGTGGCAAGTAATTAATTAGTTTTCATTATATATTTTACATTAACTTTAATTCAATTCAATGGATTCTTGTATAGCCCTAAATCACAACAGTCATTATCTCGGGGGACTTCACAAAACCGCTGAATTGGTCTGTGGAGAGGCAAGTCTTCTCACGGTAAAAGTTTAAATCATTTTTTGTTAACCAATCACACTTGAGGTCAGAACATTGTGAACCAAAATAGCGAATAGAGCGACATTTTGAGTCAAGTAATAACGCAGGTATCGGACTACAGCACAAAAAGTGAGTTCATTTTCATACAAGCATCTATACTTCAGTACCTAGGACAGTATTTTTATTTGCCCCCTTATGGACCAACACCAATATGATTTCTGTTTTATATCTTGTGTTGGCAAATTCAACGGTTGTGTAAAGTCCTTCGAGATAACTACTGTTGTGATTAAGGGCTACACAAGAATACATTGAATTGAATTGAAATGTATCTGTTCTGAACACTTATTACACCACTTACACTAACACAAATCTCTTTAATGACGTCAGGGATCACCCCAATGCTGCAGCTGGTTCGGAGGATCACGACGGACCCCTCTGACCCCACCAAATGCTCGCTCATATTTGCCAACCAGGTCAGTCATTTTCCAATACACTCACAGGACTATTAGGGTAAAGATATTTCATGATTTTGGTCCTTTTTCAGACAGAGAAGGATATCTTACTGAGAGAAGAGCTGGAGGCTGTAAAGAAAAACCATCCTGACCAGTTCAGCCTGTGGTACACACTGGACAAACCTCCACAAGGTAAACCTCTCCTAACAAACTTAGATTTATCGCATGTGTAACTTCAAAACACAGCAGGTTTGTGCATAAACTGATTTTTAACAGTGTAGTCCTGTGTTTTAGAACTGCAGAAACGTTGTGGGTTTGTTGGTACAAAAAACATGACACTTTTGTTAGAAATAATATTGGATTTTCAAACTGTACAAATCTCTAAATTAGTTATGGATCCTGTTCTTGCATGTGAGTCCTTAATAAAGTCCAAATAAAAAATAAAATAGGTTCTATAAGTGAAGAAACAAAAACAGATATATCTGCTTTGAAAAACTGGAAAAAAGCTGTGTTCCTCAAGCTACAATCTTCAACATGTTTTATTGTTGGCAGTACATTTGGAAGGATTTGCTCAAGAAGGGGTGAAATTTGACATTAGTATGACTCTAAAATAGATCTAAAAAAACGACTTGGTAAAGGGCATTTCCAATACTTTTCTACTTTCTGTTGTGGCAAATGAAATATTCAAGTGTAAATGTAGAGCTCCATATCCACAACTGTTTTGTTCTGAACCCTCCGACAGTGGGAGGCACTCTTAAAAACAGGAATGCCCTCAAATTAAAGTGGGCTTCAGCGAAAGTGGATTATTGTTCTTTTCAAATCTATTGTTGGTTGTGTGTAGTAATATAGACAACAAAATATCAGATTTAAGTCCCAATATTCAAGAACACATCTAAATACTTATGGCATAGTGCCCTTAAAGCTGTGGCCATAGACTGTTCATTTTTGTCATGTATTTATTTATTTCAAACACGCACAAGAAATACAAACCGTGACACATTAATGACATATTAATAACAAAAAATAACTGTTCATTGTTTAAAAAAGGATTGGTTGAAGCAAAACAATTATTCCAATCTCCTGCCACCCATTTAGACAACACTACAATGCAAAACAAAAACAACAAGCAGGACTCTATAGTGCGTTAGAACAAAACAAAACACACACACAAACACACGCACACACACATACATTACCACCGGTGGCAGGAGACACAACAAGACCAACACACACGCACACACACATACATTACCTGTGGTGGCAGAAGACAAGACACACACACACACACACACTTACACACTATCACCAATAGCAGGAGACAAGACCAAGACACACACATACATTAACACCGGTGGCAGGAGACACAACAAGACACACACACGCACACGCACACACACGCACACACACACACACACATACATTAACACCGGTGACAGGAGACAAGACACACACACACAAACACACACAGTTTAGTAAGACATTTTAATGCATTCACTTTATCAGTAACTTTTGTCAAATTGCGCAACAGTTTCTATTGAGCCAAAAGTGAATTCCCCATTGAGTTCTACTGTACCTGCCGCTTAAGCCGGCGAATAAATCTGCGTTAAACATGGAATTGGGTGCAGAAGATGGAGTTGGCAGTCCTAATACCTCGAGAATGATAAAAGCGGAGAGGATTTTGAAGTCTGCGTAACATTTTAGACACTTTTTTTCAAATACAAAGGCATCAGCTTGAGGAAAATCCACAAGGCTGACACGATACTGGCCACTTCTCCCAAGGTGTTTCTGAAGCTTAGCCACTCATGTTTTCGTTCACATAATCCTTCCAGCAAACTCAAATGAACAAGCGTGACGGAGTTACATAAGCGGTGTCATCTGCATCCGTTAAAATGAACCAGAAGAGGCCTGTGATCCTGGCTTAGGTTTTAGCTCATGTAGTCAGTCTCAGTAATTAGTTGGATTTACAGAGACAGATCATATCGTTGACACTTCTTAAAAACTACCAGTTCAAGCCATGATCTCTTCCCCAAGACGGATGCTTAATTTTAGTTTTGGTGGTGTGATCTGTCTTCACTGAAAAAAGTGATAAAAATAAGTCAGAAATCACTCAATTTTGGCAAAATGCATCTTAATTCAAGCACATATAAAGGTAAAGGTGCACTTTATTAATCCCCGTCGGGCAATTCAATCCTCTGCGTTCGACCCATCCTGATGCTGCTAAGGCTTACGTCAGGAGCAGTGGTTGCTGTAGTAACAGTGCCCGGGAACCCACCTCCAGATGTTGATGCTCTGCTTGGTCAGGACTACCAGAGCTGGAGGATTTAACCTAGTGAGCATGTTTTTAGTCGTAGGAGAAACCGGAGTACCCGGAGGACAGCTACGCAGGCACGGGGAGAACATGCAAACTCCACTCAGAAAGACCCTGTTCCGACCAGGATTCAAACCCAGGACCTTCTTGCTGATAGGCGAGAGGGCTATCTACTCAGCCATCGTGTCTCCCTATATTGACTGTCTTAAAACAAGATTTGCTAATGGGACAAGCAAAATGAGCAGGAAAGATACAATATTTTATTAAGATACAAGAAATTTCTCGCTTTGAATGAGAACAGTTCTTGAAATAAGACTAAATGGCTTGTCCCATCGTCCCAATGTCCACAAATTAAGATAATAAACCCTCAATTCAAGCAAGTATTACCTCACATTTTTATAATTTTTGCATCATGAATATCACATCCGTTATCAACTCTGTTTTTCTCAGTCGCATTTGGTTCTCTGGTAGAGGAAGTCGTCACATGACATGTTAAAACAAGATTAATGTAAGTAGCAGTAGCAGTAGTTGTTTAAGAGAATGTCCCAAATTGCATGAGTGTTTTGTACTGTAGCTGGACTATAAAGCACGCCTGTATACAAACTGCAGCAGCAAACATTTTAAATTACAAAGTACATTTTTCCCACATATAGGCCGCACTTGAATATAAGCCGCAGGTTTTCATGTTGTTAAGTTACGTAACACTTAACTAACAAACCAGATGGATGAAATAATGACAAGGGGTTTTCAGCTTAACTGTTAGCTTCCATCTCATGACTCATTCTCATCTAGTTTGACAATAAATGTGTGTCCTGACTACACCTTAGGTGAAGCCAGAGTAAACTTATCCCAAAAAAGGGAAAACTTGCTAAGAAGTACAGATGATGGGTGAGAAACCTTCCTTTGCTTTGACTAATCCCTGTACGACTGAGGGCTTACACAAACTTGTGTGTCCTAAAGCTACTAAAACTGAATGGTGTCAACAAAATAAGTCCCTAAACTCTGCTCTGACAACATTCCAACTCTACCACAATAAAAATTCAAAAAATGGTCAAATCACTATATACTCAGCAGGGATCAAAATACTAGAAAAAAGTAGCAGTTTTTAGTTTGGCAATTATTCAAAACTGTATGGATGCTACAATCTATATTTGATTTACTTACTATATTTATTTTAGAGAATTTACCACTAACTCTAAGATTCTGCTTAACTTTTATCGCTGCACCATTGAGAGTTTACTTGTTGGTTCTGTGTCTGTGTGGTTTGGTAACATCACAGATAAAGAAAAGAGAGCTTTAAACAAGGTGCTCCGCTCTGCAAAGAGGACCGTGGGCTGTGAGCTTCCTGTTCTGGAGGTTCTTTATAAATCCAGACTTTTAAACAAAGCTCTGAGGATTGTTAATGACTCTTCTGGCCACCCTGGAAAAGCCATGTTCCAGCTTCTTCCCTCTGGCAGAAGATATTGCTCTCTGAGATACAGGACATCTTGTTACGCTAACAGTTTTATCCACAAGCTGTTATCAGTGTGAACAGAGCACTTTAATGATTTGCACTTGTTTTGAAACTGTTTTAGTCGATCGATTTCACAGTGACACTTGTTTACTGTTTTATTTGTTTCATTTCTGTCTTTTAATGTTGTTTTATGCCTGCATTTGTCTGTGCATACTGGAGACTTTTTGCTACTTGTATTCCAATGTGTTTTTTTTTTTACTGCAAATGGCAAATAAAATGAATCTGAATCTGATATTTTTACCATTTTCTAAGTGGCACAAAGGGGTGTAGATACAATTTTTCACATTTTTATCTCTGTAGCTCATACGGAAAGTCCTACCAGCAGCCCCAAAGTGACATCTCAAGAATTCTAGTTATTGCTTCCTTATTATCTAGAGACTCAGATACAAACCAGAGGAAACCTTCACTCAAGTAAAATCTAAAAGTGTTCTATGGGATTCGTTTGTCATCATGTTGATTGTCATGTCCTTGTGTGTTCTCAGACTGGAGCTACAGTTCAGGGTTTGTGAGCGCAGACATGATTCGGGACCACCTGCCTGCTCCCTCCCCTGATGTGCTGGTGGTGCTGTGTGGCCCTCCACCTATGATCCAGTACGCCTGTTTGCCAAACCTGGACAAGCTGGGCCACAACGCGGACAATATTTTTGCATACTAATTTGGATAACAAAAAGGCTGCATACTACAGATGTCTCTTCTTATTTTTCTTTTGTATGTTTCCTCCCTTAAAGGAATATTATTATTACTATCCTGTCGTCATTATTATTATTATTATAATTGTTATGAATGCAACTTAATTACAAACAAAACATATACCTTGCAAAATACAGAAAATGGTCCGATATAAAAAAACAAGAACAAATGGAAATGGTGTTATAGATTTACAAACTACTATTTTATTAAATTACATAATACAACGGGAAAATATCCAATTAATCAAAAAACAAAATCAGTTTAATGAGAGTGAGGGACTAATTTTTACTCATTCCAATATTAGATATGGTTCAGTTCTTCAATTCAATTTCATTATTAATTCTGTCGTCTTGGAGGACTTTACAAAGTTATCGATTCACCAAAAGCAGATCAGAGAATTGGAGAGTTGGTTCGACACTGAATTTTAAAACACTGAATATTTTGACACTGCATTTTAAAACAATGAATTTATTTACACTGAATACTTTTTTGTTACAGTTTATAGAATTCAAAAGCAAAAAAAAGTATTGATAATAAAAACACAAAATAACCTTCATATTATTGCTTTTTCAGAAAAACCGTTATTTAAGTTATTTCGTTTTTTTCTAATGCATTCACAAGCCTTCCATTACATTTCCTGCACTCCGTAAACGCATCGTCAGAAGTGGGCGCGTCCAAAATGTCTGCTTCACGGTGAAACTTTACGCTCAGATAAAACACAATTGAACCCCTTTTTGCGGCGTCTGCAGGGAATATGTCCTGGGAGCGTGTGGCAAACCTAACCAGGACGTTTCTGAAAGACTCAACCCACATGTGCACAGTTTTATTAGCGTGCATTTGCATCGCGGTCTCCCCGGTGTTGGGCACAAGCATCAGCCCGGGCAGATGTCTCGTGTGGGGGTCAGGGCTACGGGCAGACACCGTTCTCCCGGTCCGCTACTTCTACATACAAGCAGTGGATCCAGAGGGACGCAACATCACTGCATCTCCTGGTATAGTATTAAGACTCCATCAGCTCCTCATACGTTACTACTGTGTAAGAAAAGTATTACTGGATTAAAGCTGGGGTACCCAACTTTTAAAGAAATAATACTTTTAGTTTTGCTGCAACTGTCCAAAGTAAAATGCTGTGAACAAATCAGATCACTTTGCACTTTCTTAATCGTATTTTGCAACATGTTATTGTATGCATTCTTGAAAGAAAGAGTTATTTGAGTCATATTTGTCGCTCTGGGGGTTGAGAATTAATTGTGTGAGGATGGTCCTCTCGTTTTTACTTCTCTGCCTCCTGATCTGCAGACATGACAGAGGCTAAAAAGACATAATAGACCAGAAATACTGGTGTTTGCAAATGTTTTGAGAGCAAGTTTTATGGATTTTTATAGCATTGTAAAAAAAAAAGTGGCTTAAAACTTAGGGATTCCAGCTTTAAAAGGATGCATTGTGCAGCTTTTCTGATGGCTGATGTCTATTTGTTGCTATTGATATGTTATTTCCCAAATTATTTTATAGAACTATATAAAGCTCGAAAACATGAATTCTTACATGGGTTTGACTCAGATTCAGATTGACTCGTCTGTTTGTCTCCAATGTAGGTGGCAAATTCTGTGCCATACAATGTACAATTTCAGGCCGAAACAACAACATTTAGACAAACCAAAGCAAAAAGGCTGGCTGGCTCCTACACTGTATAAAGTTGGACAATATTCACTGAAATCCAAAAGGGAAGTGCTCATGGATGACATTTTGCTCCAACTTGCTCTGACTCCTATTGACTTGCATTAAAAAGTAAACTCCTCTAACTCAGCAACTGTTTGTGTCACACTCACAAATATGAGCTTTAAAAAATCTGTTGTTTATATTTTGATACTGCCTTTTATAAATCCAGATATGGGCCTGATAAGGACTTATGCCCTCATTTACAGGGGAAACGCCAGCTTGCCATAGCAACCATCCTAGCAACGCATCTACACCTGTTACAGCGCGACACTAATGCGGTCAGAACAAATACCCATATAAGGAAATTGGCTCCTGCTATCTTATGTTCAAATCGGCTTCTTCCGCAACACTCTTCAATACCAAGAAACTGCAGGACCCTAGAAGTTCTTATCGCACTTGTCAGATGCAAACACATGTAAATAATAATTTGCTTGCTGCAATGAAAGGCAAAAATGAACAAGTGGAGCTTCTCACTTCTGCAGTTTTGCACAGGAAACCAAAGGTCCCATTTCTATTATAAAGCCACTGACTTATCTGATGTAAAATTGAATAACAAGAGTGACTATGGGTAAAATGGGACGATGGGTATGTTTTTATTGAGACAGGTTGTTATAGGTAAAGTGGGACAGTTATTAAACTCTTAATGACTCCTGAAAAGTATTTGTTGCTTGTGATAATGTAAAAAGTATTGTTGAAAGTATAGTATAGGCTATTGTTATTATCAAAGTAGGTACATATTTTATAAGTTTTTTTCCTTCTAAATCATTATAACTGATGCTCTAATATACATTATTTATTTGATATCTTCTGTCGAGTGCCAACAAGAAACAGCAAGTGGCAGGAAGGCAGAATGGTCAAGTCATGGAAATAAGAGCAGAGACAAAAAAAGCAAAAAGTCAAAGATAGTGAATATAAAGGGGAAATAGAAATAGGAGGATTCACATTGAAACATTGATCAAATCCACGGCATGAGAAAAAAACAGCCTACAAGGGACTGACAGCGAGCTGAAGCCTGTCTCACCCAGAGAAATGGTTATTGATGAACACATTTACAGAGATATATTGACGCCTGCTTATAAATGGCACCAGCTGAAGTTGAAAAGAAAGTAGTTTTGTCCACATTTAGGCCATTCTTTAAAATAAGCCACAGGTTTTTATGTTGTAATTCAGTTATTCAGCAGTAGAGTCAAAATATATTTTGTAGTGGAGTTACTTAGCTTTCTATAAATGTATTGTAATATTGGTTAAAACATTGGCCATACCTTCATCCTGTCAGACCTCTGAAGCTAAGCAGAGCAGGGCCTGGTTAGTACTACGATGGGAGATCTCTGAGAACACCAGGTGCCACAGTGGGGCAGTAGCGGCTGTAAAATGCCAAACTGTTGTGTCCTTAGGCAAGACACAGGGGGAGATGGCTTCCGTCGGTGTGCCCCAGGGCAGCTGTGGCTACAGTAGTAATTTATCACCACCGTGTATGGAGTGAATGAATGATGACATAAAGCATCTTTGAGTGTCCAAAAAGCACTTTATGAAACCAATGCATTATTAAATGTATTCAATCAATCAATCAAATTTTATTTATAAAGCGCTTTTCATACAAAAGATGCAACACAAAGTGCTTTACAGTTTGGTTAAAAACAATCCCGCCGACCCAAGACCCCTCCCCCAGACCACCCAACAGACCCACCCCAAACCACAGACAAACACACACACGCTCTCATGAACACTCATACACACACACACACACACACACCAGTAAAACAATAAAACCATGATGAGAGACTTGGCAGGGTTCAGATGCAACCAGCTGAAAAAGCGTCATCCAAGGAGCCGTCTGCACCAGGAGCAGAGAGCCGCCTGTAGCCACAGGGGACGACACAGGATCTAGAGGAGACCCGAAACCGAGGCCCCAGGCCCCCACCAGGTCCAAGAGTCCGACCCCCACAGCCACACCGACCACTGCTCCCAGTGCAGAGGGCTCCTCCAGAGGAAACACTGGGTACACTAAAAACAATACAATAAGTAAAACACTAAAATGTGAGACTAAAAGGAACACACAATACATGAATAATAGCAATATAATAAATAATAAATAATAAAAGATAAATAGAATGGAATAATAAAAACTAATCAAAAGCTAATCTAAAAAAGTGTGTCTTGAGCCTACTTTTAAAAATATGAATGTTCTCTGCGGCCCTGAGCTCCTCCGGCAGACTGTTCCAGAGACGGGGGCCGTAGTGCTGGAAAGATGCCTCACCGTGAGTGTGTGTCCTGACTTTGGGGATGGTTAAGAGTCTGCTGCCGGAGGAGCGCAGAGGCCGGGAAGGTTCATAGGATAAAAGCAAATCTGAAAGATAAGAAGGCCCAATTAAGACATCTAAAAACCATTAAAAGAACCTTAAAATCGATCCTGAAACACACGGGGAGCCAATGCAGCGATTTTAAAACCGGTGTAATGTGGTCCCGCCCCCTGGTCTTAGTCAGGACACGTGTGGCCGAGTTTTGGAGTAATTGAAGACTTGCAATGTTCTTTTTGGGAAGACCAGAGAGCAGGGCATTACAATAGTCAATGCGACTGGTGATAAAAGCATGCATCAGTGTCTCCGTGTTGCCCCGAGAGAGAATGGGGCGGACTCTGGCGATGTTCTTTGGATGATAAAAACCTATTTTTGTGATACTCTTGATGTGAGGAATAAAAGTCAGCTCAGAGTCAAAGATTACGCCCAGATTTTTCACTTGTGATGATGGATTAAAAGAGTGTGATTGGAGTTTTGATAAAAGTTTCTCTCTCTGGGCCTCGGGACCGATGACTAAAACCTCAGTTTTGTCCTGGTTGAGCTGGAGAAAGTTTTCTGCCATCCAGGATTTCAGGTCTAAAATGTAGTTAAAAAGAGCATCCATTGGTCTGGTGTCATCAGGAGACATGGAGATGTACAGCTGTGTATCATCTGCATAACTGTGGAAGTTAATTCCATGTCTCCTGACGACACCGCCAAGAGGGAGCATGTACAGGTTAAAAAGGACTGGACCTAAAATGGAACCCTGGGGCACACCACATGTGATTTTATGGACCTGAGAGGAGCAGGTATCCAAACTTACCATGAAGGATCTGTCTGTTAAATAAGAAGTGAACCATTTGTGGACAGCACCAGAGAGGCCGAGGTGTTGTAGGCGTGATAAAAGAATGGTGTGGTCTACTGTATCAAAGGCAGCGCTAAGATCCAGTAGAACCAACACAGTCACCTTTTTGAAATCATAACTTAGTCTAAAATCGTTTAAAATCTTTAAAAGAGCCGTCTCTGTGCTGTGGTTCACCCTAAAACCTGATTGAAATTTCTCTAAAATTTGCTGCTGATCTAAAAAGGCATTGAGCTGGGTAAAAAAAAGTTTTTCTAAAATTTTGCTTAAAAATGGTAAGTTGGATACCGGTCTGTAGTTGTTAAAATCATTAAAATCTAAATTGCTCTCCTTCAGAAGGGGTCAGAAGGGGTATTGTAATATTGGTTAAAACTTTATAAACACAGTACAACATTTCAAGTGAATTTGAATATGCCAAAAGTTTCTCGTTCGACCCATATTCATCTGATCACATGCCGCCTTCTTACGTGAATTTTAGATGCGTTTAAGGTGAAGATAAGTTCCCTGGACCAAAGGGAGTACATCCGGATCCACGCCTCTCAGCCGCTGGACCGAGGAGACGGATCGTTCCTGGTCCGTTACAGACTTTATGGGACTGCGTCTATGGGCCTCAAAGTGGAAGTCCTTCACAGAGATGTTCCTGTCGCCAAGTCACCGTACACAATACAAGGTTTATCTTTTTATAAATAAGTAGAAGCAACTAGAGAGCAGCGATATTCACACAAACATGGTACAGCCACAAAAGATACTTGGTTGAGATTTGAGTATTGCTCAAAAAATCTTAATATGGGTTAAATGAATAGGTTTCCATTAGGTTTGAGAATTCTCTTTCAGTTGAGAGGGCAGCTACTAATACAGCTCTATGAGAACGTTTTTTTTTTTAAATCTAGAAAAATAAAAGGCCCAGATCATTACTTAATTTACTCGCCATATTATTTGTCTGAAAGTCCTTTTTACTGGCCAACACCATGCATATGTTTTTGAATGATATCACCACTTCTAGCCACCTTTTCTGAGAACCTATTTGGACCATAGTGATATGTTCTGACAAAGAAGATGTTTAACTCTATGACCGTTTTTGTTTTATGTAGATTGGCCCAGGAATGACAGAGAAATTTGCACCAAACTAAGTTACTATAGTTACCCAGAAAGATTTTTCAGCTGCCCTCCTTTTATAAAGTAAAGGTTCTCATTAACTATGTGTATTAATTGGTTGACGTCACATTAATCCAGACCTTTATGCCTCCAGGTCCAGTTTACCACGAGTACTGCGACTGCCCAGAACCCGATCCTTCAGTCTGGCAAAAGGAGCTGCAGTGTCCGGAAAAAGAGCCTCAAATTCTGTCAGACTTGAAATCCTTCCCCACCGTCGACCTCCAGCGCCTCAGACAGGAAGTCCCCAAAAGGTTTTCTAACAGAGGCGGCCTCATCCATTACGCCATTATTAAAAACCAGCTGTATCGACGCACCCAAGGCAAATACACAGACTTCAAGATGTTTTCTGATGAGATACTATTGTCTTTAATGAGGAAGGTAAGTTTGGCCATGATTTACAAGTGTGTTCTATTTAAAGCCGGTGTATCTAACTTTCAAGCCATCTATATGTAATGACATCTAACTAGTTCCTCACTCTTTAAATAGTTTGGTTCTCTCAATCGTTTTCTCATGAATGTCATTTTTGGCCTCTCGCAATTTTAGTTTGGCTAAAAAGTGAAAAAGAGGAGAAACCAGAAAATATATTTTTCTAATAATGTAAAGATATTCTGTTGAGCCCTAATGTGTTCATAGAATGTTTCTTTTACACGTCTTTCTGTTGGAACAAACAAAACATGTATTATTCAGGGTACCTACAGCTTGTATGTATAAAGAGGCTCTGTACGCACTATGTATACAGAATAAAAACAAATCTATAAATCATGAATAAAATATGTATTTAAATTAGAACATTACTTATTTAATGTGTCAGCTAGAATTGGCAATAGCTATTTTCATCCATACAATTTTATTATGTAATGGAAAGCTACTACTTATTTTGCAAGCCTTTTTAAACCTGGTTCAAAATTGTGAATAGATTGATTCTTCTCTCTGTTTATATTTATCATTTTCTCCTGGTCTATTATATTCCTATTTTTTATTAATCTTTTATAACGTGGCCCTTTATGCATAAGTAAAAAACGTATGCATAAAGTTTGGTCACCCCTGGTATTATATGACGGATACATTTCAAAGTTAATTCAATGTACTTATTCTAGGTTAAAGTGCCTGATGTGGAGTTTTACGTAAACGTCGGGGACTGGCCGTTAGAGACTAAAAGTGCAGACGCCACTCCTGGTCCTCTGCCCATCTTCTCCTGGTGTGGATCCACAGACACCAGGGACATCGTGCTGCCCACCTATGAGGTCACTCACTCCACACTGGAGACCATGAGGGGAGTCACCAACGACCTTCTGTCTGTCCAGGGACATACTGGTAAAGTGCTACGTCATTGATTCATTGAAGCATCAAGTTATTACAAGTTACTACAAGTACAATGAGGAAAAATACTCTTGTTAGTTATTGGCTGTCTCTAAAGCACACATCTGTATTTTATTTATCCCTAATCAGTAATACAGTATACAGTTGTGCCTAAAAGTTTGCACGCTGAGGAAGAAATCAAAATTGTTAAGTTGGACTTTTTATTTGGCCATGTATTGTCAAATAATCATTTTTCCTATTTTCACATTTTAATGACAACAGCAACTACTTAACTGACACTGATCTGAAGTTTCCATCGCCCACTTCTCAAAACCACATATTGACCTTTAACATGAGATAGATGAGATAGATGAGATAGATAGATCTGATGGTAAAGCTGCACGTTCTTCATGGGAAAAAAAAAATTCTCAAGGTTCTGTAAAGTCTCAATTTTGTTATCATTTGACAATATAGAAATTATTATTATGACTATAAATTCATTCACACTAGCACTAACGATGGGTGTTTGTGTTATTATTCATAATTGCCAAACTATGTCCAAAACTTTTACATCTGGCTTGTGGTGTAAACTTTCAAGTGTTTATTATCGACTGATCTGTGCGGGAAATGATGTCTTTTCAAATAATACATGTTAGCATTCTGGCCCAGGACCTCCATGGATAAACAAAACCTCCAAAGCCTTCTTCCGTGGACGGGACAGTCGAGAGGAGCGTCTGCAGCTGGTCGCTTTGTCCAAAACACACCCTGAGCTTTTGGACGCCGGCATCACAGGGTGGTTCTTCTTCAGAGACCGAGAGAAACAAGTGGGCAAAGCTCCGCTGGTGGGATTCTTTGACTTTTTCAAGGTAAATAAAAAAATACAGTCTATGTGACATGTAAATTTCTCCAGTGTGAGATCAATAAAGTCTATCTTACCTTCTTCTCTACTCAGCCTACCGTAAAATATTTCAACCATTTACCCCATGTGGATTAACAGATATTAGCCTGTAATCTGATCTTAAAAGTCAGCTTCATTTGATAAATTTCGTCCACTAGATTAATCCAATGTTCTAGTTAAGGAGAATCTACTTGTTTTTTTAATGAGCAATTTACAATTTGATTAGCAACAATTATCGATGGTGCTTTCTTTGCTTCTCAGTTCAAATACCAGGTGAACGTGGACGGCACAGTCGCAGCGTACCGTTTCCCATACCTGATGCTAGGGGGCAGTCTCGTTCTGAAGCAGGATTCTCATTATTACGAACACTTCTACCTCCACCTCAAACCCTGGACTCACTACGTCCCCGTGAAGAGGGACCTGTCCGACCTCCTGGATAAAGTCCGTTGGGCCAAGGAGAACGACGCCGAGGTGCTGAAAGTGGCCAGGGCGGGACAGGAGGCGGCGAGAGAGCTTCTTCAGCCCAGCAGACTTTACTGTTACTACTACAGCGCGCTCCTCATGTACTCTCAGAGACAGAGCGGTCAGCCAGAGCGCCACGCCGATATGGAGCATGTGCCTCAGCTCGACGACCACACCGCCGCCTGTACGTGCAAGAGGCAAGCGCATCAGCACGAGCACAAGCACGAGCACAAGCACAGACTCGACGATGAACTGTGAGCCGCAAAGAATGCAGTCTCAACTTTCCACTACACATTCCTCACACTTTCATTCCAGACACGGACATAACCGGATGTCCACTTAAAGGTAAACTGGTCTGTATCCATTAAGACAAGCAGTTAGTACCTCCAAGCCAAGTTACAAGTCTGATCTCAAGATTCAAGAATTTGCAGTAAAACCACATTGGAAAAACTAATCAAGTCTTACCCCAGTGAGCACCAGACAGCACAACTGGCAAATGTCATAATATTTCAGAATAAGTTAAAAAGTGCCAAAACCAAATATCAAGAGTTTTATGACATGGCGGCAGGCTAACTTGTTACTACTATCCACTCGTTGTTTTTAGCCCAAAAAGCAAAATAAAAATGTCAAAATTCTGTGAAATGTGTTCAGGCACTTTAATGATAATAATAATAATGCATCAGATTTAGATAGCGTTTTTTTGGACACTCAAAGACGCTTTACATTTCATTATTCATTCACTCCATACACAGGGGTTATAAACTTCTACTGCAGCCACAGCTGCCCTGGGGCACACTGACAGATGTGTTCAGGCACTTTAAATGTGTTCAGGACTAAATATATGTAGGTATTGTGGACATTACTCCTCAGCTCATCCATCTGGCTTGAACACATTTTTATAATCATTATTTTTGAATTTGAATGTTAATTCTGGAACTAGCAAGCTCCACCCACTTTGTATCTCAATGTGGAACCATCTATGTCTATTATGAACATCTGATAACATCCTGCGACACACGCACACACACACACACACACAAACACACAAAAGTTTCATAGAGCACCTTTAAACAAATCATGTGCAGTCTTCTTTTTATGTGACTAATACTACTATATTTGCCAATTCTGCCTAACTCCTGTTTTAAATGATTCTTTTTTTTTAACACTTGTTTTTGTTTGACAGAATAAATATTTATAAACAGCATCAGTAACTGCATACCCAGGTAAAGATTTTTACAACGAGAACAGTTACAGTAATTGCTCATTTTTTCAAGGTCTTTTAACTGAAACCCAATAAAGCACATTTGCAGCTGTGTTTTTATTTTTTGTTAAAGCTCCCAACGGGGTGCAGAAAGAGAATAGGACACAGCACTATCAACTGTTGGTCTTCAGAGCTGATGTAGGATCACACATACCTGCTTCAGTGTGTTTATGTGAACAGCAGAAAGAGCCGACAGAAGGAAATGCAGGGAAATACTCCGTTTTTATGTGGTTGAGGCTGTTGTCAAAGCAGAGTAAATGAACTTAGAGTGCTCTGATCATCATGAGTCAAGAATGCATTAACTGTTTAATGGTTTCCTCAACCAATTAGTAGATCACTACATCAACTTGAAGCTTGGAACTGAAATATACCTCTTTGGGAAATATCACTTGGTTTTTGGCACTTTCTCTATCCAACTGCATTTCAACCATTTGGTAAAGGCCTATAATTAAAAAAACAAAAACAAAAAAAAACATAAAACTAATTATTTTGGTTATTACTGCTTACATTAGAAAAACCCCCCAAAAAATTGTGCTTTCTTCAAAAAGTGAACATTAAAGGGTTAAGAATCTAAATCATGTTGTGTACAGTTAAAACAGTTGTCAGCTTTGTGTTGCTCCATCAGCTGTTGGTGAAGAGTAACAATACAACATGAAAATCTGCTGCTTATTCAAGTGTGGCTTGTCTGTGGGAAAAAAACTACTTTCTCTTAAGATACAGCTGGTGCACGTAATAATCCTGCAAGTAACAGCAATTTAGGATTAGTTAAACTTTTAGGGAGCAATTATTGTTATCTTATAGTAATACATGTTTCTATGTAATGCACATTGGAATCAAAGGCCTCACTTAGGTTAGCAGTATTGTGACTATGTATTTTAGCCGTGACTGTGGGAACAAGAAGAAGGGAGAAAAAACCGTTAGACTTGATTAAAGGCCAAAACCAACAAGTCTCATGTACTCAGGGTAAATTTACATCCTTTAATTTTGTCGTGTGGATTTAGCTAAATTTAATCAACAAAGTGAGGGAGTCATTATTTCTCTTGGTGACAATGGCCTGCATCATCCCGGTTGGCGTATGGAGGTACCTGGACCCTTTAAAGAAATTCTCAATCAGACCTCTGTCGATCTTGTCACACTTTCCTATCGCCGCCTGGAAATTATTACTGAGGACCCCGTAGATGTTTTCTTTGTCGTTCTTTCGGCCCATGAAGAGGAACAGGGCGTAGCAGTCTTTCCCAATAGAGGCACAGAAGTCCACCATTTTCTCACACATGTTCTTGTCGCTCGCCGCCATCTCCGCCATTTCCATAGACTCGTCAAAAGTCTGGTCGGTTTTGCTGGGGCGGTGGCTGCTCTCCTCTCGCTGGGGCAGGTGCAGGACTCGGACTGCGATCTGGATGCGTGGGTCCTTGGAGGGTTTGTTCAGGACGGCCCACACCCAGTCGGCCCCCAGCAGGACCTTCTGCCCCGGGGTCATCACGGTGCAGTTGAACCAGCTCGTCAGCGTGTGCATGACCGACTCCGAGATGTACGTCATCAGGAAGATCTGTGAGAGGAAATGCACGGATGTAGTTGTGTCTGAAAGTTTACACGCCCAGGCAGAAATGTCCTTTGTGTGCGACGACATCACACAGAAACTGGGTTCACTCATTGTTGGTATTTTTTTTTACAAATAAATGACTTTTCAAGGGAAACCTGGTCAATATTTTACCCCTTTTGCATTCTTGAAGTAAGTCATTTTTTCTTTTTTGGATTTTCTAAGATATAGGAGCACTAATGACAGATTTTTATTATAGGCCTTTGCCAAATGGTTGCAATGATGGTAAAGTGCCTAAAACCAAGTGAAATGCCCCAAAAAGGTACATTTCAGTTCCAAGCATGCTTAAAGTAGATCAATTGCCTCAAAAGGTCCTTAAAGGATTAAAAAATAACCTTATCACTATTTATGCTTTTAAATGATTTCCCCCCAAGTGTTTTTCATTTTCATTTTCTGAGCATCTCTCCGATAAGCACCTAGTTTAAAAATAATAATGATTTTGAAACCTTCTCAGTTTAATAATTATAACATGTTTGTGCAAATGTGCAGTTCACCCAAGATAGCCCAGGAATGTACAGTAACTGGAGGCTTTTTGCCGAGAAAAATGGGCAGCTTTGCCATCAGAAAGGAGACATAATTCTCCACAACTACCACAGAAGACACCAAGCTGTTATAGATGTTAAAGGGGAAATACACACTGTCGAGAACTGGGGGATGGAAACTTCAAATCAGGGTCATTTGAGTCGTTTCTGCCATTATACATGTATTTATTTGACAAACAAAGACTAAACAATCCTGCCTGGCTGCGTAAACCTCCAAACACAACTGTATATAATAAGTTTAGTTTTGTTTGTCTTGTGACCTCACTTCCCAACACACACACACACACTGCACTTTACCTCTGTGAGCGCCTCAGGACTTGGGGAGAACTTGTTTTCTGGGTCTTTGAAGGTGAGGTATTCCAGAGTGCGGGTCGCGGCTAAAGAGATGCACTCGTTGAACAGGGGGATGAAGTCGTTGGGTTTGGCGGTGGGGGGCTTCCGCAGTGTGGCAAAGATGCTCTTGTGGGGGGGCGTGCTCTCGTCCTGGGATGAGCTCCTGGATGGGACAGCTTTGAACGGGGAAGAGAAAAACTGGTCTGGTTTACTGCCTAAAGCTCCCATGACGTACAGCGCACAGGGAGGCTTGTCTCTCCGAAGTACTGGGAACAAACATGACACATTCCGAAAACTGTAATTACAATTATCAGATGGTTTGCAAATACACATTTTACAGGAATGAATAAAAACAATGTATCATCTCTCACAGCATTTTGTTAGAACTCATATGTGCCAATACCACACTACTCACTATTGATCAAAAAGTAAAGGTATAGGAGGATTTTCCGGGTGGATCAACAAGACTATTGGTCCTCCTAATTGTCAATCATTCTGGTGATACGCGCTCGTCAAATAAGACCAGAGTTTTTCCAAAAAGTGGAGAGGACGATTCTTTCTTAAAATTTGAGCAAAATCCTCCTATATTCTTTGTAAGTTGTTTGCATAGGACATTTCTTAATCTGAATAATAAACACTTTTTTTGTTTCAGTATAACTGACTCATCACAAGAATGAATATGTGTGTGTCAAAACGTGTGTGTCCAAGTACTCACCAGGATGAGTGATTTCCTGATCTGTGTCTCTGGTTTGTTCCACCGAAGCAATAAGCGTGAAATGACACCACAACTTTGTTTAAAATGAGAGTTCTACTACATCCAGTAGACCCTTATCCACAGTGTAAGCATGGGTGTGGCGCTTGGAACTTAAAATGGTTAATTTATTTAAGTCAACAGTGAACTCAACTTACCTGTTCGGTCTACCGGTAAAGGCTTGAGGGGTTTAATGGGAAAAAAGGACTTACATAGTCACAAGATCATCTAATTTGGGAATAAATTACTCAATACACAATAATTGAATAGTTATTCAATTGTAGGGAAAGTGCTGAGAAAACAATGGCTTTTTCATATGCAGGTTGGTCAACGACAGTCCAACCAGGTTCATATAATCTTCTGACAGATTCTACAAATTGATTCTTTTTTTTTTTTTTTAGACCAGAACGGTTTTTCCCTATTTGACAGTTTTAACAGCTGGCGCACAGTCTTTCTCAGATGGACAAGACCCAGACGGACAGGAAGAAGAAAGACACATCCAGACAGTGTCCTTATGCCAGATGGGCAATATACGGAAAGGATCACAACAAGTCAAGCCAAAAGAAAACGGACAGAAAGAACACAGCCATGGTCACATCACTCTACGTCTGGGGTCTAACGGGCAATGAAGAAACACATTATAAACCAGTTAAACCATATTGGCCGTTGAGACAGTTCACCCAAAAGATAAAATAGAACTGATTCAAAAAAGTTCATTTTGTGAGTTAAAATGCTTTTTCTGTGGGTTTTTTGAAAGACAGAGGAAATACAAAATCGGTACAGAAGTCAAGCCTTACAATAAACTTTGACAACAGTTACCAGATAAAAAATTCAATATATGAAATTCAATGCAAGTCGTGTCCAAAATCATACATGGGGGGAAGGGTGCGGACATTCCACTCATGAAACAAGAAACATCCGACAGAGTGTGAAAAGGAGACACTTTCAGTACACACAAAAAAACGTGAGTAGGATGTTGCAAAGGAAAACAAGAAAAACTCATATCAGCCATCAGAACCACATTATGGACTAGAACAAAGTATGTATCATCGGGGCAGAGGACAACAAACAAAAAACGCTGGATGAAGGAGGCTATAGAAATACGGAAACGTGGTCCCAGGACGATAAACTGGGACAAGGGGGGCATTATTACTCTCACACACCTGGGATTCTGTCATGAAGAGGTCGGACTGCAGATGGCGCTGTCGTCCTTGCCTCTGGTGGTAGGAAGACAGCGCCAAAATCAGCTGACAGGACACATATGGGGACATCATGTGACCTCTCTGCGGAATCCCAAGTGTCATTAATGGTTAGAAACAACGTCAAATTTCAGTGTTGGACAAATACACTCATTTACTCAGCGGATAACAAAAACAAAGGGGATGAGTCAGAGAGAGAGAGAGAGAGAGTGCACTGGAGTTTGCATTTGAACTAATTGACAGAATATTGCACGATTTGTATAACAAGAAAAAGTGCTTTGAATTTCAAGGTAGTCTGGCATGCAAAGGTTGGGAAACAGTAAGGGAATTAGGACGTTGCTTTTGGTTCAATATTAGACTATAAAACAAGCTTTGCCCTATGTGACCTGTCTGTCCTTTGCTGCTGTGTCTTTTGGATGAGTAAGAAGCATACTTGACAGATGCAAAAATAAAATCCCAAACATAAGATTCTAACACTAACTTGATGTGAGGAAAAAGCTCACAAATACATACTGTACAATGCATTTTTAGAGCCAAACAAATTGTCTGGGTAGAAACGTTTCAGAATATATATTTCTTGTCTGATCTTGGTTCTCCAAAGTAACTCGCTGCAAGTTTTAGTCCATTTTAAATACTTGTTTCAGCTGCACTGGGTGTGTGAGGGTAAGGTACAGCTCAGGTGAAAGATAGAGGAAGAAGATGATGGTGCCATGTGAGGGCGCTGCAACACAAGGACAGAAAACAGTCTGAGCAGCTGGGAGCTGTTTGAGAACATAAAAACAGCCCTAAACATGTTTTTGTTGGTTCTTATGTATTATTTTGTTCTCTGTCCTAGTATGGCCCACAGTCTGGCATGAAAAGGGAATGCAAGTTGTCATTTTATTTTGCTTTACAATAGTGGTTGAGTGTAGAGTCATAGAAGAGTCACAAAACAGTTTCTCTGTTTGTGACAAATGAGCGTCATTTGCAGAGATCTGTTTGGTTTGAAGTCTGCACTGTTCAGATGATCTCGTGTGTTCGAGCAGTGAGCAGTGAGCTGAAGATGAGGCTCATTAGGCAACAGCGGGCAGCGAGAGGACTTACTGTGAGGAACCTCCCACATCAAGTCTGTGGCACGCATGCGCACACACACACAGACAGACAGACACACACACAAACACACACACGCACTCTCCGGTCATACCCCGTGACAATCGTATAAACAGGCCGTTGTATATTCAATTATCTGATTTAACAATAACACAATCCAACGGATGTACTCAGTGTGGGAAGAAGGATTTTCAGTTCAACATTTGCCACTCTCGCTTCTCAACAAAAAAAGAGTTTGATTCCATCTCCAGACAGAGCCTTTCTGAGTGGAGTTTGCATGTTCTCCCCGTGTCTGTAGGTTTCCTCCGGGTGCTCTGGTTATTTTCCCCAACCACAAAAAACAGGTACAATAGCTCCCCTCTCTCTGGGGCCAGGACTCCCCTGTAAAAGAGAATCTGAAATCTCAGTGGGACATTCTTGGTTAAATAAAGGTCAGAAACATTTTAATTGGTAAGATTTCAAGATACGTACATCCAGATCTTTGTAAAGACTTCCCCGGCAAAGTCATGTTACTACAATCTCTACACAGTCCACACAAGAAAGCTTCAAACAGGAGCTTTGCAATGTGTGGGTGATTGGAAGTTCTAAATAATAGACCTCAGTTAGAAGCATCTTATGGAAAGTGTAACTGTCCACTGTGTTTTGAGACATTAACAGTTTGGATTAAATAATTTGATTTACTTTGCAGTTTAAATATTTTTTTATTAAAAGAAATTCTAGCATTTACACTTTCAGTGGAGGAGAATTTTCATCACTATAAAAAATACTATTCCAGTCAGATATGAAAAATAACCATACAAAATATCACTGGTTTTCAACACACATGCTCAGTTTCATTGCAATGTTTTGATATAAATATTTTGCTATCATAAATATATCCCTCTGTATTATGCAAATATTGCACAGTCCATCTCAACCACAGAACACCACTTTACATGGTGATACTTCAACAACACCACTGAGAGGAAGTCCAAACTAGAAAAATCTGTATTATGGGATATGTATGTTCTTAACATCATTAGTCAACTTTTCTCATAAAGTGTTTGTGTTTGTATAAAACTAATATTCTACAATGTTTCATGAGGTTAAGAAAAGCGCGACAGTCCTGATGGCACCTTCTGAGTTCACGTAGTTTCCACAATTATTTCTTTTCTGAACAGTGCATATTTAGCAGTGCATTTATAGTTGTTTATAATGTATTATTTGTGTTTCTATTCACACAGACACGGCCCTCAGGTTCACTCCTCTTCAGTCCGGAGCTTATGGCACCAGGGTCAGTCGTGTCTGGACAGGAACAGCACAAGGCACAAAATCGGGGCAGGTGACGTTAAAGGAAAGGGGCGGGGCCAACACGACAACAGTCACGACAGTTTATGTTGTTTGGTGTCGTCATGGCGATGAGTCCACCATCCTGTCATGCGGTTCCACCTGGTCTCTGGGCGGATCGTCCCGGTCCAGGATGGGGCTGAGTCCTCTGAAGCCGGCGTACGGCCGCATCAGTGTCCCGTTAGACAGAGACTGAGCTGAAGTCGAATCCACGGGACAAACGTAATCTGTGGCCTCCTCCTGACGCCGCCGCCTCAGGTGAGCCAGGTTTGAGAAGCCCAGTTTCTTTGGCTAAAAACAAACAAGACATATTTTACACTCTGCCTAATATTAACATATAATAGGAAGCACCAATACATCATACATACAACTATAATATATTGCTTGCACTAGAATACACAGTATTCTATACTTGCATCTTATTATCATTATTATTATCATTACTATTATTATTCTGTATTACAGAAAGACAGACATCACAAAAAAAACAACAGTCCTTATTATGCCAAAGAGAGAGATTTTAATCTTGTTTATTTTTTATTCTAGAGTTAGAAATGTTATTTTAATATTTCTGTTCTTTTTTGTGCTGTGCTCCTCATTCCTACTGTTCTGCTACTTGTGATGCAACACTGAAATTTCCACGAAATGGGACGAATAAAGGATCTCTTAATCTTAATCTTAGTATCACGTGTATCATTACAAATCACTGCTTAATGACATTAAAAAAGCAGTTTTTCAGCCTATATGTTCACCAAATTGATACATTCAAAATAAATATATATATACACCGGTACACATATTTTTGTGCTCAGATTCCGCTGAGGTCGTGGCTCGGGGATTATACGGTTCAGGATTACACTGAGTTGACACTGCACGGATCAAGGCCTGTGTTCTGCTTTTGTACCTTGACTTTAGCGGTGATGCTGAGGGGGGAGTAGCCGGGGGCCTCTGTGTACTCCCTCTTCTCCTGCTGAGCCTGTGGACCCACCAGGCTGTTGAAGTTAGTGTTAAGATGGCGTCTCAGCAGGGTTTTCTGAGGGGGGATGTTCAGCAGCATGGCCAGAGTGTCGGAGCTAAAACGGGGCTCCAGCATCTGCACCGAAAAACAGTAAACCACACACGGTCAAAGTATTTCTTATACATATAACCTGGTTTTATGTATGTACTTGTCTGGTGCATACTGGGGACTTTTGCAAATGTATTCCAATGTGGTTTTACTGCAAATGGCAAATAAAATGAATCTGAATCGGAATTTGAATCTTTTCCAAAAGAATTGTTCACATTGATACATTTGTTTTGTAATGTATCAACTTTTCATTTTGGGGTACACAACTTTCCCTCCACAGATGAGTTTTCAGATGCGTGTAGTTATGGCCTCTGTCATGTCACAGCTTTTTCAGACAGAAAAGGGGAAAACAGGGGACCACCCTCTCTTAGTCAATCATATCTCAGACCAAAGCACCAAATAGTGACTCTCAGGGCTCTTTGTTAAGATAAAAACAGCATGTCCCCAACTGAAGGATTTTATGTCTATTTTTAATGCACTGTGGTTATTTATTTTTTAATTCGTTGTGTGATTTCAAAATTTTAACGGTTTTAATTTCTTGAGTGATTTTAATGTTTTAATGGTGATTCTGGTGTTTGTTTTATGTGATGATTTGTGCCTTGGGTGATGTGGACTGTGATTGATTGATTGATTTGATGTTGTGGTCAGATTTGTTCACAACATTTTACCTTTACATAAATCTTTCTGTTGGGACGCACACAAAATGTATTATCTATATTTCAAAAGATAGTTACCCCAGCTTTATTCTTTTTTTGTTTTAATGTTTATAACCTATGAAGCATGAATTTACTCACAATGAGGCCTCCGTGTACACCGCTGCCCCTCAGGTTGGGCGCATACTCGGCTAAATCCACAGACCGCAGCCACTCCATGACTCTGTGATTGGACCATTGCACCACCTCGTTTGGCGTGAATTGACTCTGCAACAAAGAGATCCACAGTATGTTTCGATGCTCTCTTCTTCTACACATTCAATCTCAGCACATGTTATCTGTAATGCTGATGACCACTGCTGACCCGACCTCACATGTGCAATGATGTCCACTGTCACTGTTTTACTTCCCAGAGCCACATGCTGCCAACATGTACAGTAGTTGCCTCCCTGGTAATATTTGAACCCACAGAGATAATGACTATTTACTTCAATATTCTTGCGCGATAGTGTATTACAGATTTATCTACAGAAGGATACATGCACATAGATTTTTTTTAAAACAGTAGACAGGGCTGGAGTGCTTCTTGGATGTAAAAAAGTAGGGCAAAAATGTAAGGCAGAGAAATGTATACATATATACTGTATTTAGTTCCTCAAGAGTATACAGGTTTATACCATATGTTTATACTGAACACATTGTTTCTTTATTAGGATCATAAAAGATCATTTGTGCTAGTTGTGCTACTCGGAGTGTTCACTTGTGCTCCTCAATACTACTCGTCTATAAATCGTGAAAGTCTATAAACACTGATATTTCCCCGCTGTGGGACGAAAAAAGGCTCTTGATCTTAATACTGGAAATGTCCGCGTACCTCGTTGCTGGGCCGGCGTTTGAGGCAGTTAGGGTTAAACTTGTTGACGTGCAGAACGTGAATGGCACACTTTACGCTGAGGTGGTGGAGCTGACTGGTCACTTTCAGGAACAATAAGTCATTCTATAAAACAAATATAAACAAAATGAGGCCAGAATATATTACAATTGCAAGCAGTGAGGGCTATATTAATCAATGCGGTTGCAAAGTGAAATACGGGGTGAAATGTTTTGTGTTTTTGTTCTATCTGCATGAAAATAAATCCTAAATCAGTTTGAGGGAGGCTGATTACTTTTGCACACGCACACACAAACCCTTGATAAACATAGCCCTGAGTGTAGAAAGGACTTTTACCACTGTGAGGTACTGCAACATATGCCCATCGACTCTGGCTTCATTGAACTGGTCTTTGTACTGAGGGAGGCCGATATCATCCAGCCAGCCTTTTATAAAAGGATAAACACGGGTTCAAAAGATTGTAAATGGGTGATGTATTAGTAAAAGCATGAATAAAATGAGTGGGTGTGTACGTACGTGTGACCCAGATGTAATCCAGATCGGAGGACTTCTCTTGCCGTTTGCCGCTCGCTGACCTGATGGCGAGGTGAAGCTTCTTCCTGTGAAGTGGGTTCTTGATGGCGAGTTCCTGAAAACAAGTATTTTAGTTATTCTAGGTAGGGATTTAAAAAACTATGAATTTTCATGACCGACCACCGAGCCTCATTAACCGGTTGAAACCGGTTAACCGCGTAGTTTAAAATAGTCCACGTTCTTTGAAATAACAGCAATTTCGAGCCGCGTACTTTTCATAAGTGCAGCTCTGCGTTCTACTGGATCAGAGTTGAGACAGCGGCGCCAAAACCCGCAACAGCTCCGGCACCTTTGCGCACAGAGAACTGCTTGTTTAATCTTCCCATTCTGCTGTGCTGCGGGTTAATACCAAAACTTTCTAGCAGCAAACGACGGCTCGTTCACATGGTCAGAGCAGCGAGTGACGAGCCGCGTCTCACAGGTCTTCACAAAAGTTTAAATACAAGTGATGTGTGTGGAGCTGATCCCGAGGACCATAAACACAAACATGGTCCATGTGGTTTGACTGGAGCCGTGTATTTGCACGAATCCTTTGGGCTCCGTGACACAGAGGAGCGCGACAGACCGGTATGAGTGTGTGTATGTATGTGTGTGTGTATGTATATGTGTGTGTGTGTAAATGTAAGCTCCAATGTAGTTCTGACCCGCGCCAGTGTGCAACTTTGACGGTAACAGAGGGGAGAGATGATGCGTGTGGATGTTACGTATGGAGAGGGGAAAGTGTGTGTGTGTGTGTGTGTGTGTGTGTGTGTGCGTGCGCGCGCGTGCATATGTGGCTCGTGCGGCGTGAGAGTCGTCCCGGAGTTTATAATACATGGGCGCACACAGCTAGATACAGACCCGCTCGTCACACCGTGCAAATAGGGCTTAAAATAGCGTTATTAAGAGACCTCCCCTCTCCCCTTTTACTCTTTTTTAACCGACAGCTTTGACCGGTTAACGCTGTGACGGTCAACCACCGGTTAAACGGTCGCCGATTTACATCCCTAATTCTACGTTTTGATACATTTCTGATAAAGACCAATAAATATACATAGATTTATTATTAGTTGATGATATTCCACAATTATTCAGGAGTTATCTTTCTTTTAATATCCATAAAGTAGTATTAATTTTCAAATCTGAAATTAAATGACACAGACCTTCGAACAAACACAAAATGAATATCCACGCTAACATCTTTTTTATGTTTTTGCATTTGAGCTAAAAATATTTATCAAGTTATTTCAAGTTATCAGTCAATCAATATTCTTATTTATATAACTTCTTAAAACTAAATGAAAGACAGTGGTCCTCAATCTGAAAACAAATAAAAACCTGCAATAAGAGACATCTGAGCGGTCGCAGCCATTTTCACAACACACTTAACATACTTTTCAAATCATCTGAACTCACAACGCAGCTATATCAAACCTGCTTCGGTTTGAGTGCTGCTGCAGCTGTCAAAAGCCAATACAGCCACAGAAGACACCGCACTGAGGGGCAGGACTGAAGTCTACGGGAAGACCGTGGTAGTCCCCACAAGCCGCAAGTCTTCTTCTGACTTTAATTTATTTTATTTACAGCAGGATGCAACTGATGTGACACATACAGAATGTGTAGCTAATGCTGATTTTCAACTCCCAGATAATTTTTATGTACTAGCAATTATATTAAATTAATTAAACTACATATTTATTTGTACTGTCCTGAATCACAGCAGATCACCCGGTTATGAAAATAGCAATAGCAGCAGTTCTAAATTTGCACCGGACCTTCTCAATCTCCTGGGAGCTGGTTGACAGTAGAGTCTGGCCGGTGGCGCCCCAGTGTCGGGCCGAGTTGCTGTACTGACCCAGTCCAATATCCTCCAGCCACTCGCACACTTGCTCCTGTGTCCACTTGTAGATCGGGCCCCTAAAGTCCCTTCAGGAACATCCAACACAACCAGAGTTTTAGCTTCAACTATGAGCCACCGTGAAAGACGATTATGGTGCATGGGATCTGTACCGTGCGCTTGGGGGCCGTGCTAATCGTGGTCCGGCCGTGGCCCTGAAGCCGCCTCTCTTGAAGTCTCCTGTGTCCGAGTCGTGAGCCGGGACCGGGCTTCCTGATTGACTGCGGCGGATCCTGCAGGTGGACACATATTTTGACATGGTTCAATACATCAGGGCAGATCTAATGGCTCAGCTCACACCTGAGATCACATGTCACATCACATTTGCGACTGGAACTACACAAATCCGGTTAGACAATTCAAAAGAGCTTCCTTTACTGTGGATGTGTTTTACTACTTTACCATTAAATTGCTTATGACGGGAGAGATTACTACAGTTCGTAAAACCAGACACGTTTTATTTATTTATCCCTGCCTTTTTTTTTGGTAATTATCAGTGCTACGACTTGTATCGTTCAGCTACATTTACTCTGTTTTTGTCCATAAAGCCTCCATTTTAAGAAAACTGCAATAAGCAAAATGATTCCTTCTCCCCGAAACCATTGTACAACTACACTGCATACAACCCATATGCCAAGTGCAAAGATGGATGGCTGCAAGCTGTAACGTTTCATCAATTTGTCCCAAATAATTTTGTTATTTTAATAATCGACAACTAGCAGTGATTACAAAAAACTTAAAAAAGATGACCTAAATGTCTTTTTATTATAAGAAATCTTATTTCTAAGGACCACCTCCAGAGGCGTCACTTAAAAAAATTTCTGCATCAAATTGAGATTAAAATCACATATCTGCGTTCTAAGCAACTAATACACTTTTTTTTTGTGGTAATTTTTAATGGTATGTTAGAAATGCCACTGTGGTTTAGGGTTAGTCCAGTTTACCAGAATTGGCGCATGCTCATAACACATTTTAGTAGACCAACTTTTTTTCTCTTTCAAAATGGTGTATGGAATATATGTAATAACTCTTTATAGCTTGTTAAGTACTTACTTCCCCCACAGTTTCCTGATGCCTCGAGGGTTCTTCCTGTTTTCTGGAGACACTGGGGACTGCTGCCCTGAGTCCACCCCAGAGGACAGAGGGGATTGGTCTGACAGAAGGCATTCATCCAGCTTATCTGAGGCACAAGAAAACCACAAAATGAACTCTCAATGTACCACACAGAAAGTCTATTTACAGTATGCTGCCTGAAGATATCTCACAAAACTCCTAAGCTAAGAAATGAAGTTAATGCCACTGAGCACTGCACAATATTTCTATGACGAGCAAAACCCACCGACATCATAAAGGTCGTGTTTTCCGGGGGATCCTGAGCCCGTTAGTGCAGCGAGGAAGAGAGCAGAGGCGAGTATTAGTCACGCTTTATTATCATCGCAGAGAAGAGCTTCAAAACATGCTAATGTGTGTTCAATGACTGCAGACACATGCAAAAAGAGAAGCGCTACGGGACATGCTTGTCTTGGAATGCTGAAGTTTGATTCTGAATATGCCATGATAAGCACTACATTTGACAATACTAGTTATTTTATAGCACCATACCATAGTTTCATACGACATACACAATACTATTTTAGGTGAGTGTGGGTGTAAGGGATCACACATAAACATTCTTAAGCTGGTCCCACTCTTTTAGTGATGAGCCTCTGCCTTAAGCCCTGGGCAAGTGTAAGCGGGGTGCACATCTCGAGCTGCTTCTACATTTTTATTACATAACATAAACATTAAAACCCCAGTCTATAAAAACAGGACACCCGTACCGCGGTCTCAAGTGTGTGGGGAAAGTTGTCCCTGATCTATTACATTGAAAGTAAAGTTTTTTAACAATGAAGGAAGATGAAAATATATATGTTCAGCTGCGTAAAATGAGTACTGTAAATCTTGGGTGATTAGCCGCTACTATTGTCAAGTGCCTCAAAGTAAAGAGTCTATTTTAAGATATGTGCAAAAGGCCCCTGGAGGCTCATGTCCTCCTGCTCAGGATGCTTAAAAGAGAGACACAGGTGAAGAAAGTTTACTTACTTATTTTGCAAGATTTTTGTTTTCAATTACGATGGGGACCAGGGAGAGCAGGGTTTTTAGAGAGCTGCCGCAAGTGCCTCTGAGAAAAGCCCGCAGCTGTAAACAAACACTGAACTCCATCTAACTGGATTTCAATTACATATATGGAAGAAAACCAAGTAGCATTCAAGCGTTTAAGGACTTATTTTAAACTCTGTTTATTGCAGACATAGAGGCTAACAGCTAAGTTAAGCAATAGGATGCCCCTGGTCTTACTGGACTCTTTGCATTTCATTTTGTCTCCGGCAGAAGGAAACAACATTTTGGTGCTTTTTGTGACTCTTAAAATACACATTTCAGTAACAGAATCAGATTAAGGGTTAAGGTAAGGTTTAGGCAAATTTTCCCCCTGGTGAAACACCTAGATTTTAGTGATCTGGCAAATTAAATGTTATCGTCCTCAGAGCTTTTGCCATTTCGGTTACAACATAAACACCTGCGGCTTGGATTCAACTGCGTTCTATCTAAGTACAACAAATATTTTCTTTTAAAATGTAACTAATGCGGAATATAAACAGGTGTGCTCAAACGCCCAAGAATTACAGTAATCAAAATGCAAATCTATTTTTTTAACTGTACTTGTAGTGAAGATGGCATGGCCTAACAGAGATGGTGCACATATACAGTACCTAGCACTGGAGCACTGGCGCTCCTGCAGCGGACTGAGGCCACAGGGACAGACAGAAGAAAGAGCATGTGAAGTATTGTTAAAACCAATCATGCGACAGGCCCCTGTTAGTCATGACAGCGGTGTGAGGCACAAACAGATCCTTTGGGTGCGTTAACACTGGGTCCGATCGAAGTGAACTCTGGGGATAACTTTGCTTCATTTGTGGAGATGTGAAAGCGTCTAAAGAGAGTACACTTGTGGCACTCGAAACCTTGCCATTTCAGGTTTGGTTGATAGGGTAGAAATTATACAATGTGCCTGCCCTATCCCAGTTCTCCCACCAGAGAGGGGGCTGCATCTTTATTTTTTTCTAATTTATTTTTTATTTTGAATATTACCGTCTGCAAAAACATATTATTGTAAAGAACGGTTTCACTTGAGAAATAGAAAAAACTATTTCACGGATAATACTTTAAAAAAATAAAAAGTAGGATGTGAGTGTGATGTCACAATAGTTCAACGACAACATAGGAGATGGGAACTTTTAGAAAGAAGAGCCAGAGTCACGTGTTTATGGCCGAAGTTCCTGATTTAAGGACGGATCTAAAAACAACTCCAGGTCTGTGACTGATGAGGGAACAATGTTGTAACACGGGGAAAAAAGCTCCAAAAAGTTGATTTGCATAATCAAACAATCAAAATGTTATACTCATCTCTGTTGGTTTACTTTCTTGGAAGTGAACTGATAAATGTCCATAAATAACAACATTTCTGGACCCTTTACCAATGGCTCCTATGAGTTTATTATGATTGCATTTCCTGTGTGCGAACTGTTGATGGTGAATTGACAACTTTGTACAGTCCTCCAAGACGACTGCTGTTGCAGTTTAGGGCTGTACCAAAAAAAAAGTAAACGAATTGAATTGAAAAGTAAAACTCACTTGGAGTGTAGCTCTGCTCGAGGTTGTGAACCGGAGACAGTCGGACAGGAGACATGTACTCCCCGTCATCTTCTTCTGTGATCCTGTTCTGTGCCTTCTTCTTGCTCAGCTTTCCTGGTAACGTCTGGTAGTGGTTTAGATCCATGGGCGCGATCTGCATCACAATAATCCATTCAGGGCATATAGTTCAACAATTGTCACTTCAGAACTTATTGGTCAGTAAAAAAACACTGCAAATGAGCATGCAGTTAAAGCTGGGGTACCTCACTTTCAAACCACAACAATATAACTATATATATTTTAAGTAGAAAAAAACATGTTACTAGTTCATGGCTCGATAGCAGTTTGGTTCTTTCAGTAGTTTTCATATGTATTTTTGACCTTATGTCTCATCTTTAGATAAGCTTTTCAGATAAATTATTGACAAAAGAGAGGACTGCCCCCACTCAGCCAATAGGCTCTCTGCCCAACGCGCCAATTTGTGGCTCTCAGGGCTCTCTCTTAAAAGTATGCAAAAAATATAACATGTTTTATAATTAGATGAAGGAAGCATGTTGTGGTCTGATTTCATTACAACATTTTACTTGTACAAGACTACACATAAGACAACACAGATTATTCATGAAACGTTAGGTAGCCCAGCTTTACAACACCTTTAACGTCCTCATTATGTCACAAGAAGTTTCATGCTGACACCAAAATACGATCTTCTTACAAGAGCTACAAAGTGCAAACTTGTGGAGTATCGGTTTAGCCTTAAGACGCAGAAGTATGAGTGGTGACGTGCGCTCGGCATTTTCTCCGTTACATAATCGCTCTCCTTCGGTGCGGTGTGGAAAAACAGAAAAGGTCTAGCGGACGGTGGACACGGAGCAGCAGTGACAGCCTCCTTTGCCCTGCCACTTCAGAGAACGTGAAGGCGGCCGGTGCTACGTGTGGACAAACGGGATGTGAGTTTGAGATAATGCACTTTACATGTCACGCTGGGGTCTTTGGAGGTCTGCGGAGAATGAACAAGGATGCTCCGCAGTGAGTGAATAACTGTGCTCGCCATGCGGAATATACAGTAGTCACGTTCTGTCCGTTATAAATGCACAGCGCACAACACGGGGAAGGCACGAAACATCCAAACCATGCGGGGGATGAGGCAGGGAGCAGGCAAGCAGCACACGCCAGTACCTCAGTAACTATGTGAGTTTCAGGCTCTACAGGTAGGAACTCTATGGCCTACGGCGAACCAAGCACAGAGACAAACAGAGCGGAGTTAGAGGTTACAGGTGAGACTCGCACATGTTTGGAAAGAACAGTTTTAGGGCTGCACGATTTTGGTAAAATATCAAATTGCAGGCATGTAAAACTTTCCATTGTGAGATCAATAAGTTTATCTTATCTTAAATTGTGATATTTCTGACCAACATTGCGATGGCGACATGATTTTCGATATCTTCCATCTTAATAAATAGTCTGTTAGAAAAAAATTTCATAATATGAGGTTCTATCCTATGATGCTTTTTTCCAAGTAGAAATAAAAGATTGTATAAAACGCTCTAGTACTGTAATTTCTGGACTATAAGCCGCAACTTTTTTCTGATTTTTTAACCCAGCAGTTTATATAGCGATGCGGCAAATAGAGTTTATGGACTTTTTTGAGCTATAGCTAGTGTCCCAGTTATAGGACGCTCAATGATGTTTAAGACCTCATCATTAAATCATGTTAGACCAGATAAAATTTAGGTTTTTCACCGCCTTTTAAAATGTCTGTGGTGTGGCTTATATACAGGTGCGCCTTATAGTCTAGAAAGTACATCTAGAAAGGGAGAATTAAATACCAATTCAAAATGTAACTTGTATGAAAATAATAGGTCACACATTGGTACCAATAACGGACGCACATTCACAGTGGATTGCCCAGTCTGTTAATGTATGTTTTTTTTGTGATTTTGGTGGAGAATAAAAAAATAAAAATTCTGTTTGTGAGTTACTGAGACGATGTGAAAAACAGTTAAGGACCGAAAGAAAACAAGAGTGGCGGCGAGGCGGGACTTCTGGCAAAATCTCCCTAAAAGCCTTTAAGTAGTGTTATCTCAAATCAAATCAAGAGAATTTTTCCTCAAGTGATGTTGGGCTTATCTTGTTTGTTTGCTTGCAGCGTAAATGTAGTATTTGATTTGACTGAGGTTAATCGTGCATCCCTTGTTAGTTTCAACTTATTTTTTTGTTAAGTGTAATTGTTAGACCACCATGAATACAATGCTATTAAGTTACAGGTTTAGAATAATAAAATATACAGTGATGGGGACCTTTTTGAAGGATCCACTCTGCAGCTCCTCCAGGCTGTTTGACAGGAGGCGCGGCTGAGGCCTGTGGAGAGGAGACCATTTAGAACAAGTCCATAACGACATTTAACATATTGTATCATTAAAAACGTTACCAAGACCCGTTGAAAAAGCTTGTGTCTCCGGCTGACACCAGAGAGACCTCCATAGAGTTCTGAAAGCTGCAGAATATTACAGGCGAAACATTTTAAGTCATCGTATTAGATGTATTATTCAAAATTTTACTGACGGATTGTACCTATTTTCCAAGTCTCTGTTATAAAGGGAGGACGAAAGCATAAGGGGTGAAGATCCTCTGGAGGACATCTGTGCAGAGAACAAAACATGCAAAGCAAGGGAAGTATTATTATATAGCACAGTTCATACAGAAGTCAAATCAAAGTACGTAACAAAACAAGAAAAGAAACATAATCATACAAGGCATTCAAACCATAAATAATCACAGAACATTAAAAGGAGTGCAGAAGATACAATCGTTCAGTTGTATGCTCAGCTAAACAGAACTGTTCTTAACCTGGAATTGAACATTGTCAGAGAAGCCTGTGTCACATTTTCAGGAGGACTGTTCCAAAATGCATTAGTCTGAAATATTGCCATCCCATGTTTAGTCTTGACTCTAGGCACCAGCAGTAGGCCACTCCCTGTGCTCCTCAGAGTTGGTTCATATGGCAATAATGTCACGGATGGACAAGTACAGAAGCCATGCAGAGACTTGTACACGAGCAGAGCTGCTTTAAAATCTATTCTCTGATCCATGCATAATTGGAAAAATCTTTGTTGAAAATACAGAACAGTGTGAGCCCATCAAGCTAAAATAATTATAGTAATTAATAGTTTTTATTCACAAAAATTAAAGAGAAATATCGCTCTCTAACCAAAGCTTGAGGGAATCAATGAAAAAGCTACTCTGGGCATGTGTATGAAGGCCAACTAGCACTGTAAAGCGTAATATGGGACATTTAACTTACATTTTTATATAGTCTTTACCTCTAATAACATGATCTTTAGTGGGTAGTGGGTACTCTCTTTTGCTCTTACCTCTGGCCTGATGATGTCTGAGTGCGCTTTACTAGTGATGGCTCTGAGTTTGGGACTGCAGCTGAGCTCCTCCTCACTGCTTCCTGGAGATTTAAAATACATTATACTTTATATTTATAATTCCCCCCACACCTTGAGCATTGTTGCATTTACCTAATGTTAGACCCATTATTTCTCTCATTTTTCTGTATTGGGCGAGCAGCAGTGAGAGTTCCTCAATGCGGCGATCCTAAACACATATTATTAGTATTATGAGTATATCGACATCATCAACAAACAAGGATCTTTTACCTTTTCATCATTAGATGCTAAAAGTGTCTCCATGCCGACCTTCAGTCTCTGGTATTCATGGTCTAGGACAAATTAAGATTTGTTTAATTGGTTGCTGCTTCATTGTGTCAAGAGCATTTAGCAGGAGACAGGGATCTTAGGGACAGCCATGCTAACAGGACACTTACAGTAACATGAATAAACAGGCAGAACTAACGACAGCATGCAACACCTGGACAGGAGCCAACTATATTTATATTGGATACAATGGGTTGAGTAAGGATAATGTTATTCTTTATCTTCATTGAGTTTAAGAAAATCTATGACAAACAACAATATTTTACATCCTTTTGTTTGAGGAACAGGAAACATGATGAAAGCACAAAATATTAATACGGCCCGAAATATAAGATTACTGCGCACTTAGAAGCATGCCAAGTAAGAAATAACAGTAAGTGTGGAGGAAAACAATGTCAGGGAATGATCCCTAAGAATAATCTTTACATTAATAATCTGGTAGCAAATGTATTTATTTAGGTAGGAAAACAAATCTATTATTATTCAGGAAATGTTCCTTTTATTCAAAATATTCAAACTGATTGCAAATCCTATACAAAGGCGGGAGTTGGTTGACATTTCAGTTCCACATGCCTTACATTTGTTAATGAGCTGCTTGATATACACCTCCTCTACAGCAGAGAGCAGCAGAGAAACAAACATTTGGGAAAAGAAACAGGTGTTATTTGTGACTGTCTTCTTAACTGTACACGTCTATATACAGATATTAAATAATGTCTATATACATATACAATACAATACAATTTATTCTTGTATAGCCCTAGGTCACAACAGAAGTCATCTCAGAGGACTTAACAAAACCATTGAAATCACTAACACAGGTCAGAGAATCAACAGTTAAAACACATGAAAAATATAAAGCACACACAAAAATATATATATGATGTCTATCTACCTCTGTCTGCGTTGTCATTGGCCGATCCACCTCTGGCCAACAGCTGCGTCTGTAAACACTCGATCTCCAGATCCTTGGACGCCACCAGCTGCTGCAGGTCAGAAATCTCAGCCTGTGGAACAAGAGGAAATAACAAGTACAGAAGTTATTGAGGATGATGCAGATGTGACACAGGATGACTATGAAATTAAAAATACAACTATCTGTTGCTTAATCTCTGATGTACTTCTACTGCAACACTTGAGGCCTATTCTACACACACCCAGTAAACACCCAACTAAAGACGCGATGAAACTGTTCTTTTACAGATGGAAAGACTTTACAACTGTAACCTGTTACTGTGCAAAGACGGCTCTATACCCTATTGCACTACATCACAGCTCAGGAATGAGAGACTTGAGCCCAGCCCAGTCTTCTGAGGACATTTATGAACCGAATAAAGGGATTTTCCAAGGCGAGTCAAGAGCTTTCTTCAACATGGCTTTTCCTATTAAACAAACATTTAGGGCTCTCATGTGAGTGGAGAATTAAAGTGCTGCAGCCCAACCAAAGAGTCCAAGTGAACCAAGTCTGATACTGAAGGCACTCATAACTTGATTTTTAAAATATAAGGAACAGTTTGCCGTCTAATGTAAATTATTTCAATAATCCGCCCAGTCGAAGTTAGTTGATGAAGCCTTACGGTTAACTTAGTTCTATTATTACAGACAATCGAAATGGAAACAGCTGCAGGAGATAAAGTTGCAGACAACAGGTGCCTTTAAGAATCCACATAATACAGACTCAACAAATCCTTCACCTGCTCACCATTAAACATAAAAAAGGAAGTAGAAAAGTAAGGTTGTAAAATGACGCAATTTACAAACCTAAAACTGTCTATAAAGAAATTAATATCTCATCAAACATTTCTTATGCAATTCATAAAAATCACAACATCCACGTGCATTACAATGTACAGTACAACGTCAATGGGAAAAACAATATTCAACAAAAATGGTAGAAAGTTTAAATAGACGCAACACATCTGTGATCAGTGTTGGGGAGAAATATAATCAGTTACAGAATATGTGTTATCATGATTTTGGTATTCTGTTACATGGTCCAATCAGAGTACTGTATTCTTTTACGGATCTATAGTCTGTCTGTCCGTGGGAGCGGATCCATGACTCAATGAAATGATTGAATTGCATTGAATTGTATTTCAAATATATTAAGTTATGAATTTAAGTTAAGAATCTTCTGACTAACTCTTCCTGGCACATTCAATTTAATTTGACTTAACTTATTTATGTACAGCCTTTAGCTATACAAAAATACAGCTAAAGGCTGTATGTCACAACAGACAACTTGTCTCAAAGGACTTTACAATCCTTTTCCCCGCTCCTGTCTCTGTGTGGAGTGAGAGGACAAATGCCCAAGAATAACAATTGTAAACCGCTTTGTGACTCTGATCTGTGAAAGGCGGTATATAAATAAAGATTACTTACTTACTTACAATATGGTCAATCGACATAATTGTTGGTATTCCCCAACACTGTCTATAATTTGGGATGAAGATGCAGTCACACTAATAATCACCACAACTGAACTAACTACATCTGGAATTCTTTGTTGTTGACACCACTTTGTTTCCTCATTTTCTTCTCTGGAACAAAAACATGCAGGGATTGATTCTAAACTGGAATAGAACTAAACCGAACCAATTGTGTGTGAACGCATCTTAAGTCAGGACTCACGCTTACAAGACAGGATTAAAAAAAATATACTCAATCAAAACACCAGCACACCAAATGACACGTGTGAGCAAACAGCCACAGTGGGGGTTTGGGGACATTTAGGGGCACCTGGGCACTCCTCCAGCGCTCCTCCCAGTGCTGCCTCTCAAGCTGAGTGTGCTCCACCGTGAGCTTGAGCCCCGACAGCTGGCTCATAAGAGACTGGTAACACACATGCAGAGAGGACGAGATGGACAGCTACGTACAGACAGGAAGGGCCCAAAAAAGGGGGGAAAGAGGCAGGGGACCAGGGCAAAAGAAGTAAGTTGCACACATGAAAAGGAAGGTTAGTCAGTACTGTGGTTTTAGGTTAAGAAAAAAACCCCACAATAAGCGAAATCCATGAAGTAGCAGCTATATGTTTTAAGAATGTAAAAGCCCTCACCACACATCGCCTGAACTCACGACTGCTGAAGAGCAATCGTGGAGGTATCAAACCTATTTGTGGTAAGTCTGAGTGCTGCTGCAACTGTCAAAAGTCGTGCATACACTGTAAAATGCAGCTGCAGAGGACACCACATTGAGGGGCAGGTGCATTATGATTTTAATGCCTTGTGTAACTTTCTCCATCTTGTTTTGTTCAGCACTTTGAGTTTCCTTGTGAATGAATTGTGCTAAACAAAAAAACTTGCCTGGCCTTGTCAGGACTGAGGGCTACTGGTGCAGACTAACCACAATAATCTTCTTCTAACTTTAAATAGAGGTCACGTTATACTAGCGGTTATATGATATTGCAGTATATACATGGAACATGAGAATTTACCCCAAAAATCCACAAAACAGTTAAAGCGAGGGACGAGGGATGATTATGATTAATCTGGTCATAACGTCATTATGAGAAATTATAAAAAAGTAATTATGTGGCGCCGCCTGCATGTAAAAGACCTGATCCTGTCAGATCTCAGAAGCTAAGCAGGACAGAGCCTGGTCAGTACTGTGACGGGAGACCTCTGGGAACAGAAAGACACTTTACCCACATTACCAAGTGTGACTCTGGTCTGTGTGTGAATGATTGGTGACCGTTAGAGCGGCCGCCGGCAAAGATTGTTAGCCTCGCTTAACTCAGTCTGTCCCTGGGGCAGCAGTGGCTATAGTTCCCCACCTATGTTTATAGAAGGAAAGAGTAATGCCATTGCAGTATATTATATCGGATTCACTTGAAAATTAAACAGCAAAAATCCATCCTTCTGTGAATAAATATTTTAAACAAAACTGAGTTTGTTGCTTTTACCTTGGTGACTCTGAGTTTCCGCTCATATTGACTCTTCTCTGCCTCCAGTTCGTCCACTCTGCTCTTCAGCTTTTTCACCTCCTGAAGCAAATCCTATAATAACACATAACAAAACACAACATATATATTACCTGGATATCCGTGTGAGCAGAGCATTAAATGTACATGCTGATCTTATCACTGGGTGAGTAAAATCGAGAAACGGCTTTAGATTCGGTTGTGAATCAGCAGGAATCCGCAATCATGCTGGTTCAAGGTGGGGAGGGGCCTAAACACCACAGCGTGCAGTTATCGTCCTGGATAAAACATCTGTAAGCCATCCACCAACACCTCCACTCCCATTGGGTTATTATTACAGACTTTAGTTCAACAATACAGTCCTGCCTTCCACCTGAGTATAGAAGCAATGTTAGTACAGGGAGGACCCACATGCAACTTCAAATCAACAACCATTTCCAACAGTTGACCAGGAATGAACAGATTTTCCAAGTACTTCCAAGTACACAGTTGAAAGTTGTGTCAAGAGCTACATGTGCCTGGCAATAATTATTTGTCCTATGATTGGATTTAGACAAATGTTCCACTTCAATCCCAATAATAATAATAATACAAAAAAGGATTACATTAGATCTATGACAAGTTCATCATTAATCAAAATAGTTTTTTTTTTTTTTAACCTTCCATAGATTTAAACATGCAGAGAAGATATTTTATGACTCAGATAATTCTATGACTGCATTTGTCTATTTTGGATACAGAATTTTGGCAACATACGTACAGTACATACTGTACCAGACTATAAGCTGCTACTTATTCCAGCTTCTGTGAACTCTGCAGCCGATGTATGTATTTTTATGTTGTTCCCAGAGCTGATGACACAGCACACATTCCTGCTTCGGTAGGTTCTTGAAAATAAGTTTTTTTTGCAGTTTTTGTTTAGCTTTTTGAAATATAATTGTCGTAAAGCCAATGGAAGTTGGAACAAGCAAATAGAAGGACCACAAACCACTGAGAGGTTTGGGATTTGCCAATTGCGTCTACTAAAATTGCAAATTGATTCGATTCAGATTAATTATGCAGCCATATTGGATACAATGGCATGGCAATAAGAAATACAAATAGTTGGCCCATGACACATACTGATACATAATGTGCAGTAATTTGGAAAAGCCATTCAAACGAACATTGCTAGATCAGCTTCCCCCCACGCTGCACACAGACACGAGAACAGACAGCGGTTAGTGTGATTCGTGGAGGTCCGGTACCGGCTGGAGTGGACTGTTAGAGAGGGGGAGGTAGGGAAGGGGAGAGGAGATCCACGGAGTCTCCCTACGTGAACGCTGTGTGCTCCGCTGTGCTTGGACGTCCGGGGCTCGGAAAAGGACAGGCTGTGGCCCCTGTGCGGAGTGTACTGTCCGGCCTCTTGCTCCTCCAGGGCGCGTTTCTCCTGGATCTTACAGCTGATCTCCTCCTGAAACCTGCACATCTGCTCCTGCAGCTCACTGATCAGGTTCACCACGCACTGAGCAGGGACGAGCCGGCAGGAGTGGGAGAGAGAGGGTCAGAGTGACAGAGGGACAGGTCATGGAGAGTCAAAGCTGAGAAGGAAAACAATACATGCTTTGTATAAGGTATTACGCAAAATTGACTTTTTGAAGCTTTAAAACCCTGTTACAACATACAAAAACATGTAACTCTGCCCCTTCTGTCGAAAAGCTTCTGTTTCAGTCCTGTAATAGTATGATGTCATTGTAGTTGCACCACTATGACATCACATGCAACACTTAACCAACTGATACAGCAAAACAAAAAAGAACAGACTGTGTTTTTGTGGTTTTGTACTGTTGACTTGTTATGGTAAAAGCTAAAGGTAAATAATACATTAAACTCGGAGGAGACAAACATTACGTCACGTTAGAATGCTTAGCTTAACTCTTTGCTTCCATGTCGTGACTCATTTACCATTCTATTGTGTTAGATGTGATAGATGTGATAGATGTGCGTCCTATAGCACAAAGACTTGCAGACAAAATAATAAGTTCATAAACGGGGCCCTAATCAATTTCCCTGCATTTCGTTGTGTCGGCTCTCAGCGCTGTTCACATCAGCCGGAGATAGACACTCTGCCACAACACAAATACTGTACATACAGTGCCTTGCGAAAGTATTCGGCCCCCTTGAACCTTTCAACATTTTGCCACACTTCAGGCTTCAAACATAAAGATATAAAATTTAATTTTTTTGTCATGAATCAACAACAAGTGGGACACAATCGTGAAGTGGAACAAAATTTATTGGATAATTTCAACTTTTTAACAAATAAAAAACTGAAAAGTGGGGCGTGCAATATTATTCGGCCCCTTTGCTTTCAGTGCAGCAAACTCACTCCAGAAGTTCAGTGAGGATCTTTGAATGATCCAATGTTGTCCTAAATGACTGATGGTGATAAATAGAATGCTCTTTGATAGTCTCAGGGTTCTGGTTAAAGCGCAGAGAGAACCATGAAGACAAAGGAACACACCAGGCAGGTTCGAGACACTGTTGAGGATTTGGATACAAAAAGATTTCCCAAGCTTTAAACATCTCAAGGAGCACTGTGCAAGCAATTATATTGAAATGGAAGGAGTATCAGACCACTGCAAATCTACCAAGACCAGGCCGTCCCTCCAAACTTTCATCTCAAACAAGGAGAAGACTGATCAGAGATGCAGCCAAGAGGCCCATGATCACTCTGGATGAACTGCAGATAACTACAGCTGAGGTGGGAGAGTCTGTCCATAGGACAACAATCAGTCGTGCACTGCTCAAATCTGGCCTTTATGGAAGAGTGGCAAGAAGAAAGCCATTTCTCAAAGATATCCATAAAAAGTCTTGTTTAAAGTTTGCCACAAGCCACCTGGGAGACACACCAAACATGTAGAAGAAGGTGCTCTGGTCAGATGAAACCAAAATCGAACTTTTTGGCCACAATGCAAAACGATATGTTTGGCGTAAAAGCAACACAGCTCATCACCCTGAACACACCATCCCCACTGTCAAACATGGTGGTGGCAGCATCATGGTTTGGGCCTGCTTTTCTTCAGCAGGGACAGGGAACATGGCTAAAATTGATGGGAAGATGGATGGAGCCAAATACAGGACCATTCTGGAAGAAAACCTGTTGGAGTCTGCCAGAGACCTGAGACTGGGACGGAGATTTATCTTCCAACAGGACAATGATCCAAAACAAATAAAGCCAAATCTACAATGGAATGGTTCACAAATAGACGTATCCAGGTGTTAGAATGGCCAAGTCAAAGTCCAGACCTGAATCCAATCGAGAATCTGTGGAAAGAGCTGAAGACTACTGTTCACAAACGCTCTCCATCCAACCTCACTGAGCTCGAGCTGTTTTGCAAGGAAGAATGGGCAAGTATTCCAGTCTCTCGATGTGCAAAACTGATAGAGACATACCCCAAGCGACTTGCAGCTGTAATTGCAGCAAAAGGTGGCGCTACAAAGTATTAGCGCAAGGGGGCCGAATAATATTGCACGCCCCACTGTTCAGTTTTTTATTTATTAAAAAAGTTTAAATTCATCCATCCATTTTCTACCCTTTAATCCATTTCTGGGTCAGGGGGGTGGCAATCAGAGATGCCACCCAAGTCTCATAGCACCAGCCCCTCACTGACCCTCTGCAGGTGGTGAGTCCACAGGAGGAAGGCTGCCCTCTGAGTGTGAGCATAGCCTTGATCTTTCAGTGGGGGCTTTGGGCAAAGTGGGGTTAAGTGTCTTGCCCAAGGACACAACGACAGCAGTCATCAGTGGGAGCCGGGGGAGAAGGTGCAGAGGTGGGAATTGAACCCACGACCTTCTGGCCTTAAGGCCAATGCTCTACCAACTGAGCTACTGTCGCCCATTTAAATTATCCAATAAATTTCGTTCCACTTCACGATTGTGTCCCACTTGTTGTTGATTCTTGACAAAAAATATAATTTTTATATCTTTATGTCTGAAGCCTGAAATTTGGTGAAATGTTGAAAGGTTCAAGGGGGCCGAATACTTTCGGCACTGTACATTGGCTGCATCAGTATATGGGCCACAGGGTTCAAAGAGAAAAGCATCGTCTTTTAGTCCAGCAATTTCAGTAATGTTATGTCAGTATTTTTCAGCTTAAAATCTATGTACATGGTCTTTTGCATTGTGGGTGATGATTTGCAGGACACAGTAAATGTTTCACCAATGAACAAAAATGGAGCAAAAATATGGTTTGATAAAAACACTATATTGCTGCCTCCACCACAAATCTTCACTTTAGCTAGTTCAATCCATAAATTCTCAATGACTTGAACGCAAGATCGACAGAATTTGAGAATCTTAACTTAATTGAAGAAGAAAACTATCTAAAGATGGGGTAAAGAAAGCATTGGTCTGAGGCTGGCCCCCTGATGTCGTCCCTCTTTCGACACATGGAGTCCTCTGGCACAGCTGGCCCGTCCCGCCCCCTCCTTCAAGACCAGAGTTATTATAACACACTTGAAGTACAGCCACAAATGGTGCTGTGACCCTGAAACCAGCGCAAACCGGAAGTGCAGGAATGAAGGACTGATGCAAGACACTCTCTTTTCTTTTCTTACGTGCTTGCCCCAAAGGTGTCTGTAAGCAACTGCCATTTTAACTTAGCGCTACAGGAGGGCCCGAATTAACGTGGCGTGACTTGGGTTGTTTTTGTATTGTAAGAGCCGGTAGGAAGGGTCATCGCCTCTCAGCTTGAATGTTATATAAAGATGGAGCTGTCCAAACACACGGCATGTCCAATACACGTTTTTAAAACTTGGCCTAAATGTGAATGTGACTATGACAGAGAGTATGGGGGAGTAACTCGTGGATGGATGATCAAATGTATGTTTTTGATATTTTGAGAGTGAAGACTTGTGTGCGTGGAGAGTCTGTAGTAGGTGAAAGTGAATGTAATTGAGGAATTCTTCGAGTGGATTTTTGCCATTCCTGTGTCCAGCCCACCGGAGCCGTGCAGCTGTCCTTCAGTGAGTGGAGAGTCACTATACAATGCACTGTGGACTGTGTCAAGCCTGTGCTGGTTTTATGGCTGATGCATTTACAAGCCCCTGTAAAATACGTGTGTCTTCATAGAATTTGTAGATTTGATATAACCATTACTCATATTTTAGAAACTGCCTCTTTGTTTGAAAAATATTATATAGAAAAGCCATTGCATCATCATTTGCAAGTATATTCCTGGACAAAAACCACCCTGTTTCCAATCATAAATGGCCGTTATTGTACCTCCTCTTGTCTGCTGCTATGATTCTTATCTCCTCCTTTCATACTGAAGCTCATATCCTAATCTTCCGGAGGCCGACACATTTATGGTTTGTATCGCGATGATCCTGGTGCATGTGGCTCACACCAGCCCACATCCTGCAGCTCCTGTGTGGTGGGAACTGGTGACCTTTTCTATTTTTTTTTACTCTTTATAATCCTTTTTCCATCAATCTCCATCAAGGTATGATATAATAACCTCTAGAACTGTTTTAAATGCTAAATAATGCATCAGTATTGCCACCAATTTCTATTTGTTTAATCAAATTCACCTGACATGAAAATGTGTCCATCAGTCAGTCAAACTTTGAAAAACATATGGCATCGGCAACAGATTGACTCCGGAAATAAATACTTCTGACAACCTTTCATGATATCAGCCTGTAAAGTCAGAAGGACATCTATACATTTTGTGTACAGATTGCTCTCCGCCTGGTGGTATCCAGATTCTTCTGCCAGATTTCAGATATGCAGGAAAGACATAAACATTCACGGTCTGTTGTTATCAAAAACAAATATGCCCGCTTATAAAGAAAAACATGACATTTGCCAAGCACTAACATCTGAGGTGAGATCAATTTGATTCCAGTTTTAACCAAGTCTTTTTGACTAAAGGGTGGTGACCAGTTGAATGAATCTCATTATATTATCAGTCAGAATTATTTTAGGGCAACATAATATTAGATTGGGAAGATTGATCTGGAGGTTAGTGACATATTTTTAGATTGAACATCCAACAATTGAATAAATATTAACTGTATGACCTCTACGTCGATAAATTATGCACAAAGTCTATATTATAGACAAATAAAAGCTGTCAGCATTACACCCAGTAGCTGACAATGACCAGTAAAGGAATCTGGAGATACAAGAGGCCCTTTTCACACCACGCACATTCTTCAAGTAATCAAGAAACGTCATTCTGCATACACGTTTAAACCACCCTTGTGTGAAAATAAATGTTGAGGTATGGGAAAAAACAGAAGTTGTTGTTACAGAAAACTCAGCTTAACTCAAAGCACACAGAAAAACCCGGTGATAAGACATGAAGTGGATCAGATAGGCGGTTAATCCAGAAAAGTCCACAGTGGAAAGGGTCCTTGAACTTGGGCCTGTTCCCAGGGTTTTAAAGAGTCTGGGAAATGTCTATTTTGGATTGGACTTTTGAATAAAGGAATAGCATAGGCCAGCCAAACAGCCAACCAAAACATTCAGAAACTCAACAACTGCATACTTTTACATCTGCAGCTCATTGATTGGGAGCAGTCAACAAATACATTTTTAAACATGGCGGCCTATGTCATATACTACTACAAAATACATTTTTCCCCACATTCTTGTAAACATAATAATAAATACTGCATGTATACTATGATCAATTTTGTAAACCTGGTTGCTAGTTATTGTCCCCCTCTTTTTGCAACCAAGAGATTACATTACATTATCTTTCTTTGTTATTATCACTTCAACTCTCACTGAACAAAACTGTAACCTCTTGAACACTATACTAAGTCTTTGTTAAAATACCTCTGCTTTGTTGTTCTTGGAGTTGGCGGACTCTGGCGGTGGCGATGCGGTCCCGTTGACTGTGTTCTCGTCCATACTGACCAGCTTCAGTTTCAGATACGACACTTCATCCATGAGGTCCAACTTCTGAGTCTCCAGTGAGGTTCGGCTCATGAGCTCCTGCTGACACACACACATAGGCACGCACACACACGCACACACACACACACACACACGCACACGCACGCTTAGGATACGCTCAGCACCGCCTTCTGCCCCCCAAAACAACCAGGGTCTAGCATAACAAGTGCGCCTTCAAGCAGCCCCTCTCTCTCCATACAGTCTGACACAAACAGGGGCCAGGCGCTGACCAGGGGCCATGCTAAATATATACACTCACACACTGCGCTGATCACTATTAATACATCCGGAGGCTTCTTTGGTATGGGACACAACAGGAATAAATAGAGGCTAAATGTGTTTATTAGAAACATAGGCACTGGAAAGACTGTGGTGTTTATGTTATTCCAGATAAAAATAATTTACTATTCATCACCATTCTGGCCTTGCACCACTAACATGTAGAGTTGATGTACGGTATTTTAATAAACACAATACAGTAAGTTAGTATTCCAGAGAAAATTATCTCGAGGATTAAACACTGACGAAACTGGAAGAAGTCATAGAGGGGCACTTTACTCAGGACATACTCAGGATATGTTAATAGCTATACATTAAAATTAAACTTGACCGCAAGATTTTAAATGGAACTCCACAATAAGAATAGAAATTACCGGTATACCAACATTGTAAAGCACTTTGTATGACCGTGGTCTGTGAATCGCACTATATCGACAAAGACAAATAATACACATTACGTTTTTGCTGGGTTTTAGACTCACCGCTAATATCTGAGACGGTGGACTTCACATGGTAAACAGAGTAGTAAACATAGTAAAACCTTGCACTGGACCGCCTCCGCCTGCGAACGTGTTTCTGACTGATCCGTGTGGCTCCAGTCACGTCTCTATGGGCCATTTATCTGAGAATGCCCTGAGCCTCAGCTGTCAATGAGACGCCCCAAAGAAACTTCAAGGAACGACGTCTGACCACCACTTTCCACTTCTACTCACAGGATCACGGAGCTTCTTCCAACAGCTTTGTACCTGACCACAAGTTAGTTAACTAGTTTTTGTTATGATATTTTGTATATTTGACATTTTTTCCCCCTCAATGTTAAAAAAATGAATCAAATGACTAAATATGTAATTGAATGACACATGGTAATTGAATGAGACCCAACCCGGGCCTTACTCTGTCTCTGTTTCTGTTTCTGTGTTATTATTCTGTTATTGTGTGTTCCGAATACTGTCCTGAACATAAGAATTTCACTGCATGTATGTGACAAAAAAACTAAACTAAACTAAACTAGAGCAATCCAGACAAAGCAGTAATATTTCTATGGAGATGGGCATGTAGCAGAAAGTTACATTGTCCTATCTTTATGGAGAAGAAGAAGACTTACATTAGGGCTGGTGTGTCTTGTTTATTTGGGAAAGAGTCAAAAGGTCATTGGACGCTATTATCCTCAGACAGGGACGGAACAAAGTCACATGTTATCAGTGTGCACACAGTTCTTCATCTGTTTACAGTTAAACAGACTAATCACTACACTGTTTAACCATCGCTCATTAAGTCTTGAGGCGCAGCCAGGATCCTACGCTTTAGGTTTGCCCAAAGCAAGGTAGAAGGCAATAAAGAAACAATTAATTATACTTAGCAAACAAGTAAGTAGGATATATTGATTAGTTCTATGTACGTTCTTTTTGTTGGGCCAATTTGAACATAAACAAGATGGGGTCAATTACGGAGGATTTTTTTTTACTTCAGACTTAGAATTTTTCCATTTTAAATGTTTAACCATAAAAATATTGAATATTTTTGTCTTTGAATTTCAGTCACAAAATTTTCAAATTCAAGCTAATTTAAAATTCAAAATATGATGACAAAAAAAGCCTTTCATACCAATTTCTTTAACCAGGCATTTGTTCCTGGGTGTGTTTGTAACTGGGTTAGCTTTAGACCCCGTGAGTGTGACGGAAATGGTCATTAGGAGCCAGAGCAAGTTGGGGCAAAACTTCTTTCATGAGCACTTCCCTATTTGGGATTCATTGAGATGAGCATATACAGTCTATGGCCATTATCTTTTATTTTGTAGATTAAACAGTAGGGTATTCCATATAATTGGTAAAAGGACAGTATATTTGATACTTTCTTTGCCAGTGACCACGATCTATTTCTGTGTCTATTTATTAATAACATGAGATGTGTGTATATTTTGTGTGAATTAAAAATAATCATTGTAAAATATTGTCGCACCCTGAGGAAGATGTTAGACTGAAACACATTCTAAAAACATAGCCATGATGTTTGGGGGTTTTGTTACCCTTGTCTTCAATGAGCACCTGTTTTTAAAGAGTAACGATTAAAAAATACATTACATTTATTTTTGAATAAATAAAAACAAGTTTTGTAATTTTTTTTAGCATTTTGTTTTAGATTTTTGACGCCCTTCTTCTCAAAGTTGTGAAGAATGATTGTAAAATATGCTGGTAAGCTCAGGCCCCAGAGATGTGTTTATTTTGGTTTGTCTTCCTTTTATCTGCAGTGCGTAGGAAAAGGACAATGGAGCCTGTTGAACTGTCCCAACAGAGGACTGATTCTAATCCAGAGTTTCCTGGTCCCAAACCCGACTGCCTCAAAACTGACGTCAACAACAACTGGAGACATCTGAACACACTCACTTTGTTCTCTGCAGTTATGAGGCTATTTACAGCTGCAGGGTCTTTAAACTTCACATTACCACCACTGTGACCCCCACTGAGGGACGAATATGGGATTATTTTATCTTAACCATGACATAACTATGACAGGAAGTAGATGTGCTCATACTACCAAGTGTGCTATACTGTACATTGTGGGTTGCCTTGTGTTGTAACTTACCTTATGTCAAAACACATACTACATAACATTATCACCTTGAAATTAACCTTATTAGACACATTTTTTTTAAATATTGTGGGAATATCCCTAAACCCTAAAAGTAGTCAAGTTATCATCTGTTTTCCAATAGTAATGGAATTAACCAGATGCCTATAGTCTCCAAAAATTATTTAAAAATATTTTGGAGCGGACCAATAAAAATAAACCAATGGGATACATTGATCCCCAACGAACAAATGGGATGCGTTTACCCCCTTCACCCTCTTTCTGTTTCTCTCGAGTGCGGCACCTGAGTTATCGGGTTTTCTAAAACCTAAAAGGGTTGAACCGAAAATGCCAATTTCACATTTGCCACCCACTCTCCCTGTTGTGATAAAGAAAATAAAATGCTGGATGTTTGGTTTTGTGGAGAGGCGAGGGGAGGGGGGGAGTGGGTTTGAGTTGGTGCTACAGCTAAGCTAACAAAATCGTTTACTGCACCTTTAAGGCTCAGAATTCGTTTTAATTTTATGATGAAACCTTATTTCCCATCACAATGCCGAGTTCATGACACACATGAGTCCATGAGTTCATGAGTCACACCAACAGTGTAATGGCCCATCCCAGTGAATTCTGTCTCACCAGAAAAGCTACACAATTCCTAACAATTGTATATGTGCTCTGCATAAATTGATTACAAGCCATTTATATAAACAAAGCAGCCACTGTTTTTACGTGGCTCAAAAGGACAAAGAAGTTGACGCTGATATAAAGTGTTCTTGTTTCACCTGCTGCAGCATATCTTCGGTGGACGTCAGCTTCAGCCTGTGCTCCTCCAAAGAACTCTGCAAATCACGGATCTTGTCACCCTGGGCCTCCACCTGGTCGGTCAGAACACTCACCTGAGAGAACACACGGATGCGGTCAGTACCTTTGACATGTAACGGTCAAGGAATCCCTCAAACTGTGTGAAAAGAGTTCCACCAGGAATCTTAAAAAACAGCCATCACAAATTTACTGATGGAGCTCTGACGTCACCATAGCGTTTGCCGAATGCAGAAGAAGCTGATTTGAACATAAGCTAGCTGAGGCCAATTTACGACTAAATTACTGCTGTCATTTTCCATAATGTTGTTGCAATTTAGCATGCCTGGGGAAAACAACTAGACTAGTCATTTTGAACCCACCAACTGGCATTTTTTGGTCGAAAAACCTGTGTCTTTGTGCAAATGCGGGTATGCTCGAGACCAAACACACATGGATGAGCTAATAGCTGTATTGCTGTAATAGTTAGACTCTAGGGAATTAATCAAGATTTGTGATTGTAAATCTCACGGTGCACTGACAGAGAAGTGCTCCTGGTTTTGCTCAGACTTCACTGAACCACAGAGGAATGTGCAGACAGGGACAGCAGCACCTCTCCACACCCACAAGGCTCCACACAGCTGACTGCTCACTTCAGCATCTTCAATCCGCACACACTGAGATTTACAAGTGGTGGACTAACCATGTGCGGAGTGTGACACCAATGGTTACTGAGCGAGGAGACTTTACTTTTAAATGTTAGTCAATAGGAGCCAAAGCGAGTTGGAGGAAAACCTTGTCCATGAACACTTCCCTATTGGGCTTCTTTGAGTTCAAGGAGTTAGCATTGTCAGTTTATGTTCAGTCTATGGATAAAACACAAAATACAGCTGGAGATTTGTAAATTCACCAATGCCAAATTATAGCCCACTCAAAAAGAGTGTAATCAAGTCAATTATACATACATTTAAAAGAGTCAAGCATATTATTATTAATAGATTTATTTTGCATGACGATTCATAAATAAGTGTTATATTTACAAATGTCAGCATGAGCCAAAACTATTTTTTTCAGTCAGATGAGACAAATTTGTGATCGAATAAAAAACAAGAAATGAAACTAGTTCTTAAAACACAAATTATAAAAACTAAACCTATATTCGACCAACATCATATTTATATAAAAGTCATATTTAACTAAGATCCAAACATCAAAGTCTTACCTGCATGTTTCTAAAGAGGTCTTTACGTCATATCCAATAATCTCAAATAATTAGCCTTCAGGGCTCTCAAACAGGAACAAGGAAAGTGAAGAAGCAGCACAAACACTCAAAAGAGGAACCAGCAGGGAGCCAATCAGAAAGAATGTCTGGAAAGCTAAGAGCCAATCACAGAGGACACTATAGAGAAGGAATGCATAGGGGTGGCTAAGACTGTGACACGATTGAAAGAACTGATAATAATGAAGCAGCACATTAGAAGCATATTCACAACACAGTTACACAGTTTTTCTTCTTGTTCACTGGGTGTGAAAGTTGGACTCGCTTAAGAATGCATGTAATGATCGAGCATTCACTTGTGTGTGTTATTGTGATTCTGTATTTTTTTCCTGGTTCCAGTACGTGACTTTTTAACCCAAAAATCTGCTGTTAAAATGAGTGATAGCATTGCTTCTATGTAATAGTTTCTAATGGTCTTTAAATTTATTTTGTTTGTGCGTCCCGTTTTTACATTTTGGTTTAATCCTTACATTATTTTGACTCCATGTCAAAATAAATTGGGTGCACCCAGAGTGCTTTGGTCGTCATCACAAGTCAATAGTGCATTAAAACACCTCATCTTTATGTCGTGTTGTGTTCAGTTAAAACGGTTGTCCTGTTTGTTTTTGTGCATCAGTTGTTGGTGATGTGTTACATTGCAACATGAAAACCTGATGCTTACATTACATTATATGTGGATGCGGCCAATACGTGTACAAAGTAAAACAAAAAAGTCAAAATTTACATGGTGTGGTTTATATTCAGGTCCAGCAAGTACTGTAATTCATTTGCCGTGGTTAGCTGTGCTTCTAAATTAAGTTCTACATGTTTTTTTTATTGACATGTTCTGTGTCAGTACATTTCTAAGTGTTTCAAAGGCAATGCTTACAATGAAATTAATATATTTTGCAAAAACTATTCAACAAAAATGCATATTACATTTTCACTTGTGTACAGATAAAATCTTGAATTTTTATTTAGGTTAGAGTCGTGTCCTCAAGAGACATACAGAGACATAAAAAAAAAAATCATACATAAAATGTTATCGTTACTGTATTAACTCATATACTGTACATAATTACAAGCCAGACAGTTGCCAGCAGCCACTTTCTCTGTATCACTTAAATTTAAGTGCTTGAGTCCATATTTCCTGAAGTTGCACTAATAAAAGTTAATTAAAAGCAAACGTTGAATGTGGAGGAATGCAGACAGGCCGCAATGCCTTATGTCTCAGCTGTATAATAATCCATGGCTTTTGCAGAAGCAGCACGATGCTTACAGTCACCACCTGCTCAGACAGCGCCTACGTGCCCCGGCCTGTTTGTTATGGATGAACTACATACAGAAGCCGCGATAAGAGGTGTTTTTCTTTATTACTTCAGGCAAATCCCTGGCTCCTGTACTTGAAAGTTCTGTGTAAGATCCGTGCGATACTGAAAATTATAATTATTTAAGCCTGCTTCAATTATTTTGAACAAAAAAGGAAAAGTTTGACCTGAAGTGCAAAAAATGCTGGAGTAAATTAAATGGATATCTGCGCTAGTTATTTTAATGGCTCTAGTCAAAACTAAGTATCTGGTTACACAGTTGAATGTTCATATATTACGTTTATTTTTTGAAAATGACTAAAAAATGTGCATCTTCTTTGGTGATATAGACTTTTGTTTGAATAGAATAGAATAGATCTTTATTGTCTGTTCAAAATGAGCAGAGATTTGTCTTACAACATGGCACAATTAAAATCATTTATAAAACACATTTAAAATACATTTATCAAACAGTTAATAATGTTTGTCTGTGCTCTCCACTCCATACATTTGACCTGTAGCTTGGTCTGATGACATTTCATGCTTGACTCCAGAGAAAAGTTACATCATTGGTCACTTTTCATATTTGAGTCTATTTTAGGCCATATTAATCATAGTACCAAATAATTGATCTTTTGAAATGTGTACAAATGACAGTTATTCGAGCATCCTCACCTGCAGCACCAGGGACTCCTTGTCTCCCTCTAGACGCAGAAGCCGATCTTGGTAAGTTTCATTGTTGGACGGAGCGCAGATGTTGACCTGGACAAAATTTCAGACCATTACTCTTTACATGTTGTGACCATAGACTGTATATATTAACGGACATAGTCACGCCTATCGCCGCCGTTCAATCCAAAATGGCCGCGAGTGGTCCCGCCCACAAGAAAATTGTGAATAAACGCATCTGCGCATGCATCAGCCGGCGAGAGCTCCATTCATTTGAACGAGAGACTCACAGCAAGTAAACTAGAGTGGACCAAAAAAATTCACCCCCCTCAGCATTGACACACATGTGGAACGGAGCTTTGGGCCAAGAGCCAACTTTTGGACCATCCTGTAAAGGTGTTTTTGAGAGGTCTGCCAATGCTATATTAGCATTGGCTAATTCTTCTTCTGGGTCCACCCCCATCGGCCCGGGGTGGTATTGCAAGCATGTCAGCCCACGTCATTTTGGCCACTTTTGAGCCGGGACCCTCCCCCACTGGTTGTGACAGATACAGTGGACATGGTCGTCTACTACAGGGTGGTAATCAGACAGTCTATTGTTGGTCTTTTAAAGTTAAGGTACTTTGCAAGCGCCAGATAGACCTGCCCCCCACAGGTTTCTATTTGGATGCAATTCATTCAAATCCTTGAATATTGGAGGCCCCATTGGCATAATTATTCTCCTCTACATATCTCAAAAGGATAAACTCAAAAATATGGACTAAATATATCTATCATGAACAACACTTAGCATAGATGGTAGTACAGGGTCACATGGTAAAAAACATGTGTTACTTTCAAAATGAAATACAATTGAAGTTGCAGATATAACCTATAAAGACATCCCTGGTCAATAGCTTGGTTGACAAAAAGAGGACGTGAAAAAACAACAAAAGCAACTAGAAAACCATGTAAAAATGTGAATTATAGTTTTATCTGCCTTAAAACCAGCATAAATCCAAAACATTCGGCTTGTTTCATATCTTCTATTTTTGTATCTACAGTATATATACATGCACACACATATAGTTTTTGGAGGCTAAAGCACAGAAGCAAATAAAACAGTATGAGATAAGACTTCCTCCCAACAAATTGAGAAAATCATATTTAGGGAACTCTTGGAGATGTCTGGCTGCAGATGAATCACAGAGTTAAATAAAATTATCTTAAAATATAAATGTAGTGGACGATTGTGCAGCACAGAGCCACTGCTGTTTGGATGTGCATTCTTCACTGAGCACATGATGAAGACCACATCATCTGACTCTGCTGTCTGCTCACGCGCACCTCTGTAAGGCACAGTCTTCTCCAAAGCCCAAAACCATCCACTAAAAAGCCCTTTTGACAACAGATCCAGTGCCATTTGGGTTTCCTTCCATGGCACTGGATACCACATCATCAGTAGGGTAAAACTAAACGGTCTAAAGGACAACACATGGATGTCCAAAACTACACGCGCTACACACATGTGCCCAATCTGGGAAGTGGTCTCAGCCAAAGCGTAAAGGCAATATTAGATATAAACACTTCTCTTCACTAACTGCAGGTTGTGGTCTAATTTGTTGATAAAATGTTTTTTTTAAAAAGCCTCTTTCTGACAAAATAAAAATGTATTTAGGAAACCAAAGAAAAAGTACTACAGCTTTAATACATCTGGCCACAGCAGACAACAGGGCGTATGCCAAGGTAAATGTTACCAGTGCACATACACACATGCTATCACGGTATTTCTGTTTCATGCAGTCACTCAAAATTATACCAGTATTACCACTAATGGTATTGTATATCACTCAACCCTGCTGACTATTTAAGTAGAAACTCATGCTTATCTGTTTCTGAGTCAGCACGATTGTCTAGTGCAGTGGGAATAATTGCTTCTTTCCTGTTGTCCATTGTTTACTTTTAAGGAGAAAGGGATGGAAAGCAAAATCTCTTGAGAAGATTTCTGTTTCAAAAAGCAGTGCTCCAATAAAAAACAAAAACAGAAAAACACAAATATAACCAAGAAACCGGATAGCATGGTTTATTATTGATGAAGTGATCAATTTGAAGTTTCAATGGTATGATAACAATAACCAAAACAACGATAATAGTATGATGTTGTGTATTTCTATCATGCTTAACAAAAAGAGTTGTAAAATAACGTATTCAAATGGAAGACCCCATTAAAATAGAGAGGATGCGATTTAGGGCTACACAAGAATAAGTTGTTGTTGTTGTTGGGGGGTATGTGCTTGTTCTCGTTAATTGTCTCGGATGGTGCTTTCCTCTTGAGTGGTTTTGTAGGAATAAAATCAGAATCTCAGAATTCTTATTGAAAATCTAATTAAATGAAGTTATAATTCAAACACACAATAAAAAAATGTGTCCATGCCCATCACTGTGACTTACGTATAGACTGATGCAAAATGATGACCCTAAAGCTTGATTGTAGGTATCACATGCTTCAAGGTCCGTCAGGCTCTGATAGAAAATCACCTATCCCATGGCATATATACATATAGAATATAGAGGGATATAGAGAGATAAAAAAAAGGTTAAAAAGGGCAAAAAAACAATAGTCATATGTGAAACAGCAGAAAAAATGTTCTACAAAAAACAAAAAAACGGATTACTTTTCACACTCAAATTGTTATAATTGTAAATAATTATATTATACCGTAATTTCCGGACTATAAGCTGCAAGATATTTGGACTTCTTTAAAACTTGCAGCTTATATAGCGGTGCGGCTAATATGTGCATTTTTATTGTGCTATAGGACACTCATTTATTGAAAAAAAAATCCAATCCAATCCAATCCACTTTATTTATATAGCACATTTCATAAACACAGTTTCCAAAGTGCTGCACGATAAATTACTAAATAATTACTAAAAAATATGAAGGTGAACAAATACTGGCATGGAAGCTGATGGTTAAGCTTTCCAACACCTCGCCATTACATCATGATGTGACCGGTTAAAACATTATCTGTCTGCTACAAAACAACAAGAAAAACTGAGGCTTATATTGAGGTGCGGCCGACAACTAACAGGTTTTATACGTCCAGTTCAGGTGATTAGAAAACTAGAAAAGTGGTTCACAGCCTTGAAACATAGAGCTGCGATTTTGCGGACTTTGCTTGATGGGGGTTATTTTCATAACGGAACCCGCATGAAACATAAGGGACCACTGTACATTGCTGTTGATTGTATGTTTACAAATAAAATTGAATTGAATAAACACTACTCCAGAGTACTCATGCTAAATTATATAATTCACTATCATTCATATTTACAAAAAGCAATCCTAGATTCCCTAAACAAGTGTGATTTCTTCTTGTATCACCCTGTTCTATATTGCCTGCTAATGCAACATTACAGAAGAACTTTCCATCTCCTCAATGAAACAAAAGCACTATATGGCTCCAGGCACTTATTCAGGAGAGGGAAATTACATGAGGAATACTCTGCAATAGGAAATAAGAATAACATGCAAACAATGAAGCTGCAGTAACTATAGCAAGAAGAAACAGAACATTAGCTTTTAGATACGGGGGGAAACCGAGCCTTTTCTCTCATTTATGAAAAACATTGGTCAACAACAGAAAAGTGAAATTGTTGTGAACAAATCAAACCACAACATGCTGTCTTTAATCTTTTGCATACTTGTAAGAAAAAAACCCTTGAGTCACTATTTGAGGCTTTAGGCAGTGAGCTGATTGGCTAAGCAAGAGTCGTCCTCTCTCTTTTTCAAGTTCATGAAAATGACATACTAAAAAATGCATGCATGAGAAATCTAGTGATAGAACCAAACTGTATCAAACAACTTGTTAGATGGATTTCATGACATCGCTTCATTTGTTAGGATTTTAAAGTTAAGCACCCCAGCTTTAATTGTTTCAATGAATATGGGGTGGATTATTATGGGGTCTATATTGTTCTCCCATGTGGTGCCAATAAACATACATATATTATTAAATATATATAAATTATACATATATTGTACATAAAAAGTACTCAGAATATTGAATGTGTTCTGGTAAAAGATATAGAATTCTATATGGCCCTTCAGTTTTATTTGTACAAGTGCATGTACAGTATCTTGCTAAGACTTGTTCAAAGTAATAGACTCAAACTAATTCGGATGATGAGCCAAACTAAATATTCCAAAGAATATGCCATGTGAAAAATCCAACGCAAAAATTGTGTCCATTTAACCATTTACAGGACTATCAAATCCCTTCACAGAGAATTTTTCATTCATACTAACTGTCTAACCCAGATAGATTGATGACCAGATACTTTCTGGTCATCAAACATACTGTAATCTTTTACATGTTCTGTGTTAATTCTGACCTTTTTAAGCCAGGAGAAGTGCCTGTAGAAGTCAATGGGATTGTCCATGCTCCCTCCAGCCCATCTCTGGTTCAGCTGTCACCAAAGTCAGGCTATCTGAGTGCGCTGCTGTGGAGGAGGGACTAACAAGCGCTCTTTCCTCCCTCTTTGCTTCTTCTTTCTGTGTTTTCTCCTCTTTGTGATTTTAAAAGCAAATTCCAATTTAGTCCATGCGTGTTGCCTCAGAGTTGTCGCTGGTGGAGCTGATTGTATTGGGTGTATTCTTGTGTCTTGAGTTTTTTCCTTTGACTTTTTCCCTCCTCGGTCACTCCCCCTTTGTTTTGGCTTTGACGGACAAATGGGACGGTCCCAAAGCGGAGTGAGTGGGTGGGGAGTGGGGGCTTGTCATATGTTTGTGGCTCTCTCTGTCTCTCACAGCAGCCATGAGAAACTGTATTGTTCAGCTACGATCATCTGGTATAAGTTATAACTGAATCTGCTCACAATCTATGTTAGTTCATCCATTAAATCTTTACAAAGATAGAACAAAAACAAGTATACTGTCGGCATGATACATACCCTGGAAAAATATATGATTAATTGGTCTTTTGACAGAGAATTTGAATGGTCAGAATGTGGTTTGCTTTAGTAGCCATTCCAACCTGTTTGTGTCATCTTGTGAGCCCAAAATCATACTTGATACTTTTGATCTCTGACATTTGGGAAATATCTGTTGAAATTATTATTTATTTTTAAAAGAGACACAGTTGTTTCATTAACATAGCCATAAACTTGGAAAATTATTCCAGGTTATGTAAATCTATCTATAAGAAAAGGTGTTTTTCTCAGTGAGGATCATAGGACCTCATAAATTCGCTTCAAGTTAAAACTTAGTGAAAATAAAGGAAACAAAAAAAGGTAAATGCAATAAAGCATCTTTGTTTATGTTCCACAATGTTACTGTCAATAAGCTGGAAAGACAAACGAAAGGTGTTCTCTGATTAACCACAAATCTAACACTGTTTAACCAGTCAGGAATTTGCACAAAAACACTTTGGACATCCAGATCCAATAGATCAGGAATTTCCCCTTGAGGATCAATAAAGTATTTATCTATAGCTATGTACCTATGTACAGTATGTATCTCTCTTTCTCTCTCTATCCATTAGTGCACTCTCAGTACAACAGTGAACATACTGAATGGGATGGATACTAGATTTTTCCAATCTGTAGGAAATTGTTGGGTGGTTACCATGTGACCTGCCCATTTCACCCAGACTGTGTCAGTGTCTGCTGGGGAACAGTCTGCGTGGAAACATGGCTAATTTTCCAAATCTGAGTGGAAACAAATTTTAAAGGTAGGATTTCTTATCATAAGGATTAATGTTAGAAGCAATTAAGCAATTAACGTAGCAATCAACTAAATATCCACATACACGTATATACTGTAAGTGTGTATCTACTTCTAAACCTTAGATGTGTGTTTCAGTAGGAAAGATTTGGAGCGGTTAGTGTTAGTGTAATGAACAGTGTCCTGGGGCATTGGTACTTCCTGTCTGTAATAACGATGCTTCCTGTGTTTACATGCTCCTGTCCAGTCCTCAGACAGAAGCCTGCAGGGAGTAGAGTATTAGTAGAGTAGAGGAGCATCTTCGATCCTGTGGCTGGGTCAGAGACGAGGACAGGTAAACGAAAGGTGAGGGAGAAAGGAGATTATTTAAAATCCAGCACATTTTTTCAGTGGTGTCCAAGTCGTTTTGGCCACATACTGACACATATTTGGAACATGTCGATGGTCAACACAGGTCCTTTAGCACAGGTTTGATATAAAACAATGTGCCTTTAAACAAGTATGGAAAATTCACACACTGTAAATGTGCTTTCATTTGCAGAGGAAAATGATGTAATGTGACGATGGCTAACTCCTTTGTTGGCACATGCTTGACTGGCTGAGTTAATGAATACACTTTCTGCACCATACTGCCATCTGGTGTTCTCAGTCACAGTCATCATGATAAATGCAAAGTAATAATAATCAGACCATTAAATCTAAGTTCATTATGTCTTCTTTATGTTTAAGGCTTATGCAATTCATTTACTAAGAAAGAAAAGTGTAGTGCCAGCTTCTTCACACTCGTTGATAATAAACCTAATAAGCTTTAGTAACCAGACTAGAAACATACTGGTTACTAAACGTTACAATAACAGTCAAATTCAATAATCTGTTCACCGCTTCTTAAGCTTTTCTTCCTCTACACTAACACAATGCTGATTTGGTATTTCAAGCAACTGCTTGAATCATGTTGTTGTTGAAGAGAGTGTAAATTATCGAAATCGGTTCACTCACACAGATCTAACTAAAAATCTACCCATTAGAACAGCTTGACGCCAATGGGCTGTACAACAAAGACTCAATTGAAAAAAAGGAGGGGGAAATAGAAGTGGATCTAATCAATAAACCGAGGCAGAAAAAGTCGGCACAACATGAGACATCTGCTACAGGAACAACCCGTGTCTACAGCTGTTCAACTTGATCACTCACTTTCACTTGAAAACTTTTCAAACCATGAAGGACTAATGCATGCTCTGAACAAATAAAGTCTTACCTAAAGTCCAGAGTCTCTCGGTCCACTGTCAAGGTGACCACACACTGCACTGAACTGCTCATTTACAAACAAACTCAGAAACTCGGGAAGGGGGAAAACCTTGATTTGGGTCTGAGAGGGGAGTGGAGTGACATACAGTATGTATATGTATCTTCATCTTCAATTATTACCACATTTAAAATAACCACATCATTGCAAACAATAATACATGTCATTCTGTTCATATTTGAATGGAATGAAATAATTTTTTTCCCACACTTGAATAAGAACAACAGGTTTTCATGTTGTAATGTTACACTTAGCCGACAGCTGATGGCGCAAAAGCCAAAAGACAACTGTTTTAACTGTTCATTTTCAATAATATTCGTAAAAAACTTGATAGAGTCAAGACAATAAGTCCATAAACTCTGTTCTGACAACAGCCCTAATCACATACAAACAAGTCCTGTGTGTTTCCCTGGATTTCCTCGAGTCAGCACTCTCTCACTTTCACAAATATTTGTGCCTGGTGCCACATTGCTTTGAAGGCAAATCTGATTTAGCACTTAAGAAGTTTAAATGTAAGGCTTTTTATTGTAGATATGAATAATACCTTTCCAAGTTGTATTAAGCAATTGTTGATGTAGAAAAGTAGTAGTAATCTTTATTTATATACCGCCTTTTCACTGCACATCGGAGTCTCAAAGCAGTTTACAGTTGTGATTTTTGGGATTAGGGGTGCCAGTACAGGAGGCACATGCCAGACCTATTGTACATATTTTTAGTGGTAGGGGAAACCGGAGCACCCGGAGGAAACCTACGCAGACACGGGGAGAACATGCAAACTCCACTCAGAAAGGCCCTGAAAAAGTGAATACATTACTGAACTAATCGAAGGAAACATTGATAAACATTGATAGATTAAATACTCATCACCAGCCCCACTCTGTGCTGAACCTATTAACCAGTAGTGAACCTAAACCAATTAGGTTTTCTCTTTTTCTTTCTCTAAACACATGAGCAATTCCACTTTGGACACCTGAGGAGAAGAAACCACTGTGTGCTAATTCGGCCACAGAGGCAGAGGTGTAAAAACAGTAGTGCTGAAAGAGGCCTTTGAGCTCAACAGCTGGACCTTTCTCTTCAAGCTGTGAGTCTAACTTCATTTTAGACAAGATGATAAACACACTTATGTAATCTTCAAGCCCTGGGCAACAAGGCGTTATGGTATTTCAGAGCCGGCACAGTAACACCACGAGACAGCCAGTCCATTTTACATTTGTCAAAGGATGCACTGAACTACTACAGCTACAGCGATAAACAAGAAACTCATGATTTTGTCATTATGATCAGTAAGTCCAATTGATTATGGCACAAGTATTGATAGTTCTCAGTTTTGCCATCTGATAAAAAAAATATAATTTGCTTTAAGATGCTTACTAAATTATTATATTTCCAGACAAAACATGGTTACATTTCTTATATATATATATATATATATATATATATATAGAAATTAAAAAAACGTGGACCTAGTTCTGTCCTCTATGTGGACCTGGTTCTGTACTCTATGTGGCTTTTTTTGTAACCAAAGGAAGCCATTACGGGCGCTGAATTGCCATCATGTGTACACCAGAAGCAGTCAATCCATTTCATATAATGTACACTTTGAGTTATGAGCTGCAATATACTATAAAAATCCTGCATCCAGACAGAGATCAGGATCACCTCCTAAATGTAATCCCTTGTTCATTAGGCCATTACGCATGTTTACTGAAAATCTCCAAATTTTCTTGAGACTTTTTGAGTTATGTTACTCACAAACACCTTATATTGTTGTAATAAATGGGAAGAAAACCGTTCAACCAGATCTAATCTCTGGTATTTCATTAAATTGTGCAATCTGACTAGCATATGTTGTACTGTGGACCCCTGTTATATGTGTATTACTGCTAAAACATTATCATCTGAAGCAATGTACTTCTTTGTTTTTGCCCAAATTGTTTCTACAGAATCTATATTTTAAGCATTTAAGTCATTTTCTGTTCTTACGCACATTGAGACAAATCCAATAAAAAGTCTCGTCTCCTCTTGTTCGATCTGGATGGACTCGAAACTAAACCGTGGCGCAGGTGCAATCGCCGCTACCTTGTCTTAATTTCTTGACAAAGCATCCAGATTATATGCATGATCAATGTGAATCAAGGCAGCTCTGTTAATGAAGGCATAGATCGCACTCACATCTCCATCGGTCAGCCACTGTAGCAGGGTGTGTGCAGTTTGTGTGGGCAGCTGTCCGCGCAGACCCTCCCTCTCTACTGGACTCGCCTGGAGCTCCAAGGCCTCTTTCAGGTCCTCAGCCAGTCTCAGCACCCGCGCTGGACCAGAGCTGCCCGGGGACTCCAGCTCAAAAAGGCTCCCAGAGGACGCCACCGTAACCGACTTTGAGCCTGCAAGAGAAAACATGCTCCAATAGTTAGAGTCGGTGATGAGAGCTGATATGTGAGCACAGCACTTGAAGCGAGACAGAAGATTTCTTTCTTTGTGAGGGTCTCTGAATGGTTTTGTGTCAGCTGGACCTCTTCCCACACATCTGCATGCTCTCAGCTCATCCACACAGCTGAAGCTTTAACGCGGAGGCAAATAGTTCATCCAAATTCCAGCAACTTCACTTACTGAGCCAGGAGGATTCTGATCACATGAAAAAAAATATTAAAGTTGATATAGCTTTCTGGAACTTTGGCTGCGTAGTCCTGGCAAAAAGCTATGATTATGTGTTTTTTTCACTGTATGACATTAAAGGTGTCTAGAACAGCATACAAAAGCAATCCTAGATGATTAAATGAATGATGATGACAATTCATAGTGGGAAAAATACTAATACTGTCTGTTCCCCTTTTTGGCCCAAAATCAAGTAGTTTGCTGAGACTATAGCTGCTTAAACTCTTCCATAATTGTGACTGTCCTAAGTGCTCTCGTTTATCCCCAGCAGATGTTTGGATTGCACACTGTATACTCTAAATAAAACGATATGAGCGCAGTCCTAATTTCCTCATCACTGATTGGTTGATGTTATCACAAATGGGACGTTAATGTCTTTCTATTTGTGGCCACTGAACTGCTCAGCGTGGTGAAGTAGCCAAAGAAAATCAAAACAATGGGTTTGCAATTATTGTGTGTGTTACTTCATACACGTAATGCTCTTCTAAGAAAGGGAGACAACTGCATTTATTGTAGAGAGAAGGTTATCCATATTTTATCAGTGCATTTTGTATTTTGCAAGGGAGAACAGTTAATTGGTAAACTACAACATGGTAATCTGTGAAGCTTACACAAAAAATTACAATATTAATGTATGCAATTTTCAAATATGAATTACCAACACTAAACATGTGACAAATAAAGGGCTGTTTTATGCTGTATGGAATATTATAAATCTACATGTGAGGTGTAGTCTGTTGTAGGACTAACAAGTTAATCAATTATGTACTTTTTTCATCAGTAATGTATGTTTTGTCCCGAGTCTTATAAAGTAAAGTGGTATGAACAAATAAAACCATTCTGTCTAATACTATCTATTAATATTATTAGTATCATCTTTTGCACACTTGCAAGAAAGAGCTGCTTTAAGGATGTGTGTGTGAGGCAAAAATACAATGATAGAACCAAAGTGTTTTGAGAGTTAGTTACATGGATTTGTTTTCATAGTTCCATTATTTGTGGTTTAAAAACGAGATTCCCCCGCTTTAATTGCAACTAATTGAGCATCAAAATAGGCAACAAATTATATATATAGCTTTGATAAACGTAATAACATTTAATTTTGCGTTGCCACTGGAGCCTTGTTTTGATAAATAAAATTTCCTTTAGTGATCAAAACACTGAATTGATTAATGGAAAGACTAATCACCTATAGATTATCAATTACCAAAGGCCTCATTAATTATAGCCTTAGTCAGTTATTCCTGTTATTCACCTGCTATGATGTCGTCCATTTGCTCCAGAGCCGCCTCCAACATGTGACTGGCCTCCATCTCCAGGGCAACAGAGGGCAGCATCTGATTGTGAGTGAGCTGAAAGTACAGAAATGTTTAATCAATGACTGAAAACAGAATTAAAGTCAAACGTGTATATTACGTAGGCTGCACCAGACCACGTGTAAACACATCCCTGGTGGCAATGGCATCCTTGGCCCTGATCCTGTCCCTGTCACTGGCCTGTGTGGACCTGTCACAGTCACTTAGAGAAGAGTGGACATCAACACGAGTACATCAGGAGGACACTCATGTATTAGAGCCGTGTCCCTTTGTCCAACACCACGAGTTACACTGGCACTGAGCGTGACAGCCGCTGGAACCATCATGTGCCCATTTCACACAAAGTCATGTGTCCATTTTATTTACTTTAGATAATGAATACATACATACACAAGTATGTAAAGATTTTTCTATTAGTCAAACAAAAACAACAAACATACTTTAAAATGGTACTCAACATAAATATGTGATAGAGTATCACGTTTTTAATGCATATTAACCCTTTAAGGATCACCTAATTTCGCCTGCTCCTTCTCGAATTATGATACCCAAATGGAAATGCTTATTGTGTGGACATCTTGTGTCTGATTTTGTGTTATGAGGCCTCCTTTGAAAGGTAAAACCTTCTAGTTTCTGAAAATGTATGTTACAGTTTGTTAGGAAGGACACAGTCTGCACTACAGCTTCTCAAACATGAGTCAAAGTTAGTTTTTTTTGTCAAAAAAAATAAAAGGCAATTTCAAAAGGTTCTCCTGAAGACATACTTTATGGTATGATGTTCAAACTCACCAGATCAGATGTTTGTGGTGTTGGAAACACCTATATGAAATTTTAGACCTTTAGGTGGAACTATTTTGATGCTGGGGGCTTTTTTGTAACTAATGGGCACATTCGGCACAAGTGGTCCATTTTTGTGCCAACTGTGCCAAAGTGTTTTACATGCAAATTATCAATGTTTTTACATCAAAAATCCATTTATATAATTTTTTGGCTATTACTCTTGCTATAAATAGAATTTTTTCCAGTTATTGAAAGGTTTGCAGAAAAGCTATTATTTATATAGTTATAGCGCGTGTTCTCCGTGAAAAAGGCTCCGTCTTCCTCTTTACGCATTCAAATATGACGGGAACAGTGGGAGGAAGCTAGAAGTCCGACACATCGCCTGAAACCTGAGATTATTGGCTACAAGATGATTTGATTGACATCCAAATCGGCCAATGGTAGTCAAGACAATGCTGTCGTGACGCACAGATATCTATGTGAATGGAGCGCTAAAGCTAGGTGCGCTTGTTTTCCTCAACTTACTCTACCTTCCAAACCATAGCACTGAAAAGTCCGGGAATGGGCTTGTTTTGAAGGGGAGGCTTAGGGGAAGACGAACATACCCAGTGACGCTAGGTAAACAGTAAAATGTCCTCTTCATACAGTGCGCAAAGAACAGGTTTTGTTTTTGTTTGTGCAACTTTCAATGCTCAAATATGTTGTTGCAAGTGGATATCTACTATAAGGATGACTTTGAAGAAAAAACAACTGGATATAATTATTCTCTAGACCCTAAAGAACAAAACGAATGCACACATGTGTGGATTAGACGTGATTTGCCCCAGAATATTAGCATGACAAGGTAAGAAAGGACAATATATATTTTAAATATATATACAGTTAGACTACTTATTCTTAATTTTGGTTATATTTAATGTTTATTTGAACATAATACGCGTTTAGAGGTGGGAATAAGCTTTCAAAAGAGATATAGCTTGACTATATTGACACAAGTGAATTCTAATACTGATGCTGTTAAATGAAAAATAACTGAATCCTCCCTGTACAGGGAGGGTGATCCTTAAGAGGTTAAGTAGATGATTGTCTGTAGAAGAGACATGGGCTCTCTGAGACAAGCACAGCTTTGTGTGTGAGTGTTGGATCATTTACTTTTCACTGGACTGTAGTTTGGGAACATGCATGAAGATGATTGGTCAGTAGTTGGTTATGTGCTGCAGTAGTTTTCTAAATTGTTCAATAGCTCCTCCTAGAGTTAAATCCATCTATTTCCATCTTGCTTGAGTAGCCCGGATGTTAGTTTACACGTCACCTGCTCTTCGTTATATATGTGCGATACAAACATGATGACGTGAAAGCCCAGTCAGCACTCAAACACTTGCACTATGAAAGAGGACAGACTGGTTTTTCCTTTCTGCTTAAAGGTGTGCCTGAAGCTATATAGGCCGAGTCTTTAAGGAGACAAAGTTACACAACACATAAGTAGAATATGAATAATGCATATTTACTTTCTAAAAGGAATAATGACCATTTGTAGAAAATGCATTTAAAGAACTACTATTGTTAACAATAACAAAGAATTATTGGTCAATGAACTCCTGCTGAGTGGGATAAGCTACTGCAATGTGAAAATATTGCATAACCCTGAGAAGTGAACTGTGCCATTCAGAGATACTCCTTATCTACAAAGGGGGTTTAAAATAGAACGGTCAGCTGCAGAGAATTACCTTGTTAATAATAACGTTTGTGAATAAGCTATAGATACTTGAAAGCTAAATAAAATAAAACAAATTGTAGAAAAACATCAGCTTCGCACCCAAACATTCATTAAACTTTAGTCTGAACTCTGTCACACTGCGATGCAGAGAAAGTGAGTGACGTCCCTTGAAAACTAAAGCGTTGTTAAGAAATGTCTGTGGAAGGAGAAGCGCAGAGTGCTCCAAACACGTTTCCTTTATAAGAGCGGCACACTTTGCTTGCTCAGGCCGCCTCCTGAATCCTGCTTTCTCTGCACTGGGATTATTCCACAGGCTTAAACCACTGCGGCACAAGCAGCATCACTCTATTCTCCAAACACTGTGAGAAGGTGGATTTCCTCTTGTGCTTGGAAAACTCGTTTTGGCTCAATGCTTGATACATATTAAGCCTTTTCACATGAATATGCATTTATTTTGCACACTTTTAGGCACAGAATAAGGCAAGGCTTCATGCAGACATTGGTTGACTTTGCATATTTTTAGGCAGTTTACAAGACGCCTCTTTAAAAAGGAACGACCACAGACCATTTCTCTCTCATCAACCTGTTGTCCCTTTTGCTTTTTACTAGTGATTTCATGACTGTGATAACATAAGACGGGCTCTTCAACCCACACAAGTTGCTCAGGACTGCAGCTCATCCAGGATGGTATGTCAATCCACACAGCAAGAAGGTTAGCTAAGCAAGGCTCTCAATTGCCCTAGGTTTAATGGACTCTGCGGAGCTGTTTCCAATCCTGCTCAACTGCCCAGGCCACCGACTGCTTCATTTGTCTTTGTTTAGTGGTTGGTCTAGAAACCAGATCACTCCTCGGAGGTTTGGAGGCAAGAAGCAGAGTGGCACTTCTGACACGTTATGGTTGAGGAGAAAATGCATATCTATCATTACCTCTCTTTAAATCCCTTTGTTGAATTCAAACATTTAAGGTCGGAACTCTGACAAAATAGTTTGCTTCGACCTGCGGAGTAACAGAATAACATTAATATAATTCTCATTCATAGAATCTTACACGTGCACACATTTCCAATGTGAGCGTAATAGATTTCTGTAAATACTTACTGCTCCATTTAACCCAAAAAATATATTAAAAGTCAAATTGGGGGACGGGGTTCGGGGGGGGGACTGATTGGTCAAACCAGTGGGGGCGGGTCCCGGCTCAAAAGTGGCCAAAATGACGTGCGCTGACATGCTTGCAATACCGCCCCGGGCCGATGGGGGTGGACCCGGAATGAGATTTATTCAATGCTAACATATAGCATTAGCTGTCCTCTCAAAAACGTCTTTACAGGATGGTCCAAAAGTCGGCTCTTGGCCCAAAGCTCCGTATCACATGTGTGTCAATGCTGAGGGGGGTGCATTTTTTTGGACCAGTCTAGTTTAGTCGCTGTGATTTTTTGAAGGCACTCATTTAAATGAATGGGGCTCGTGCGGCTGACGCATGCGCAGATGCATTTTGAAACTGCCTATAGACCATGGAAGTTGTGGCACATTAGTTAGAACGGCGGAGATAGGCGTGACCACATCCGTTAATATTTACAGTCTATGGGTGAAACATTATGGCGGCCCAGGAGATTAGAGGAACTGGAGGATTTTTGCCAAGATGAATGGGCAGCGTTAACATCATCCACAACTACCACAAAGACTTCAAGCTGTCATAGATGTTAAAGGGCAATACACACTATTGGGGGGATGGAGACTTCTGATGAGGGCTGGAAGAGGAGTTTACCACCCCCTTGTACGGAGTGAAAGACAAATGCCATATGACGTGTCTTTGGGTGATATGAAAAGCGATATACTTAATCTTGAGCTTTATTATAATTACATTATGTTAGAGTTTGAGCCACTGGGTTGAACACCCTCAATGTGACCTGCTCACATCTGAACCAGGCTGAGTCCAGTCACATTTCAGCTTTTTCACTTGTATCTAGTTCATCCACAGTCAGCTTAATGAAGCATGGAAACACAGGACTTCAATCCCCACAGGGAGAACCATGCCAATGTCATTCAGATATCACTGGCAACTGTACAAAGTAAACAAAAATTCTGTTCAAAATGCCAGAGGAAGTTAATTCAGGCCTTGATAAGTTGCCCATGTGTGTCAGAACTTCTGCTGCTGAGACGGCAGATTTGCAAATATACCACACAGACTGAAGATTCAACAGATTACAGAAACGTTAACATAGACCTCACACAATGAAAACAAGATAATCCCAGTAACGCAGTTTACTCATGTTCACAATTAAATGATCATTTCACATTATTCATAACGTATTCAATCATCTACAGTCCATTTTAAATTGTATTATAGTTCAAATATGTGAAAATAGCAATAATCCATCCACTAATGCAAAGAAAAGTACAGGGGATAAAGATTGAGCCCCAAAATACATGTATCCATCAATTATTGAACAATAATCAAACAGTAACTATCATGAAAGGTCTAGGTTAGCATTTGCATTTACTTTTCACAAATTAATTAACCAGT